CTCAAAAAAAGGAGCTTAGGATGAATAGGATAAAGACAGAAATAGCGTGGCTTATGAATTTTACGTTTCTTGGATGTAGCCTGTAATAGTGAATTGACACGTGTGTAGAGGAGCAACGTAACTGAGACGCTGTAAAATGTAAGGCTTGTGTGCTTATATACTTAGTGCGTCGCTTTGTAGATCTCAAACATGAATCACAGTTAGCGATATTTGACCGTTTAGGGGGTATCATTTCGTTTTCTTCTATGGAGTAATTAGCTTCTAATAAACGAACACCATGCTATGGGGTAGCGCCGGTAGTTAGCACCACCTTATCAAGGATGCTTTGCCCTCTCCCATCTAAACTTGTATTGCCCTAATTAACTAATATCATGCGCACCTTCTTTTCCTCTCTCACAATGTCACCCAGCCGGGAACTTGATCCAGATCAAAGTCGTCTTCGTGCCTCCTTTCCTTAATTGTCAGCCAAACGTTTGGCCAGCCTGCCAGGACAGGGCTTCCCTTTGCTTTTGCTCCGATAATGGCGAACCGGCCCTGGCTATGCGCGACGAATCCATGCATAAAGCCCTGCTGAACAAGAGTGGCAACTGTCATCTCTATATCTTCGTAAGTGACCAGTGCGTTACCCCATATGAGCCCCTCGTTGGGGCGGAGCTTCCTGGGGCCGCCTGGGGGAGGGGCAAGAGTCGTTTCAGCAGATGACTGGACAGTGTTCTTGATGGCCTGCATGAAGAGAGGGTTGGCCTGTGATGTCCGGCCGTGTGTGGTTGGATTGCCGGGCAGCCAGCCTTCAAGACGGCGCTGAATGTAGGTAGCCACGGTGAGGAGATGAGAAAGGTCGAGTGTTGCTGCTTTGCGGGAGGTGGCATCTTGTGGGGGGACATATGTTAAGAGAAATGTCTTTCGACTGAGACTCCTCCAGAGGAGTGGTCGAAGGCGGTTGGAAAGCGGCAAAAGGAGGCCCTTTTCAAACAGCCATGATTCGTGAGCAGCAAGGTGGGACTGGAACTGCACAAAGTTCCCGGAGCGAATAGCCATGCACATGGGAAGAAAAATGGGTTTCAACGATTGAGCCTCCGGCCGTGATAGGAGTGTAGTTGAAGGGAATCGCCCAAGAAGAAGGTTCGAGGGAATGAGGTAAGTGAGAATGTTGGAGCGATGAGAGACTAGTTGAGGAGGAGTCTGCAAGTATGCCTCCTGGAGACATAACGCAGCGCGGTGATAATGTTGATTGGAGAAGTTGAAACGGCCGAGATAGTAGAGAAAAGTGACGCGCTGAGCCGCAGGATAGAGTGAGAGCGGAGGCGATATGGTTTCGATGTTAACAAATATCATTTTCGCTAGTTGAGTTCTTCGGCACTGTTGAACAATGGATTCCGTGGTTAGAGAATAGTGTTGATGGGCTACAACATAGGGAGACATACTGCGAAGAGAAGTTTCAGCACGAGGTTCGCAAACATGTAGACGCCAACTCGCTTTCCCTCTGGCTTGCTGGTCCGGGTACCTGACCGGTCGGTCAAGCAAGTTGTAAATATCTTTTGAATGATCTCAGCAGAAGATTCGGCAACAGACTTGCGGTTATCGTCGTCCACAACGCGAAGCCGACGGGTCAGATCAGGCCGGCGGTTGAGATTCATGGTAAGGCGAGCAAGTGTCTCTGAGAGAGACATGCTGACTTGGAGGAGCATTGAGCCATAGGTAGGATGTGCGAATGCAGTAGAACAAGAGCTGTAAGGCTTTGTTAGCATAAAGAGGCAATTCTCCAAGTTTCAAACCGCGTGTTTCTGCAGGTTGTAGCTATCAATGGTGCTCAATGGCCGAAAAAACTCACTTGACCAGCCCACTGAGAAGCTGATGAGCCCCTAACAAATCTGCAAAACTGACATCCCGCCAATAGGTCAAGTAATCCTTCAAAAAAGCCAACAATCCCGGCCAAGCCGTTGCCTGACCTTCGGGTAGATCGTCCTGCTGCGGTAGGGCATCTTCAACGATCTTGTCAATGGCGTCCTGGCGGCTAAATCTGGCGCGTAGCTCGTTCGCTAGATCGTAATATTGTTTTGGTGATTCAGGCTCTACTTGGAGCCATGACCGGAGTTGATCGCCTTGCTGGTTGCGGACTTGCTGCTGAATCTGGGAGAGGAATTGAGTAACTAGAGACATGGTATATGCTGAGAAAAATATAGTATATAAATATTTCGCCCTTTGGCGGCCAACGGAGTTTTGGAATTAGCGAGAGTGAGAGAGTGAGGACGGGCGAGAAGCGCGTTGAATGAGTGAGAGTGAGGCTGGTGTTGAAGACGGTGTGGCGTCGGACTGGATGTGGCGGTGATTGAATAGCTGTGGCGCGCGTGGTTGTTCTCTTGAGCAGTGACAAGCTGCCCTTTTATTGAATCAATTGTTGAGGCTCATTGGCCTACACAAACTGTTTATATATCTTAACACTTACTGTTTCTTTAATGATGATAAGTTTGGCAATTTCAAGTAAAAAATCAAGTCGAATGTTGAACAAATGAATGCTTCATTACTCTAAAATTACATGGCCATTGCTAACTGGAATATACATGCCCAGCTACATCTTCTCTTCGTTCAAAGTATATACATGTTTGTGTTTAGTTTTTCTTTCTTTTTGCCTTCCATTTTATTTTTAACTTCAGTCTAGACGGATTCAATACGCTGCACAACCATGGCTGTGGCAGCGCCTCCTCCGTTGCAGATGGCCGCAACACCGTACTCGCCAGGCTTCAGCTGGTGCAGCAGCGTTGTGAGGATTCGTGATCCGGAGCTGCCCAGGGCGTGGCCAAGAGAAATGCCGCCTCCCAGAGGGTTGACACGGGCGTTCTCAATGCCAAGAATCTTCTTGTTGGCCAGGATAACGCCTGCAAAAGCCTCGTTGATCTCCCAAATGGCAACCTGATCCTTGGTGATGCCGGCACGCTCCAGAGCGATGGGGATGGCCTTTGCAGGAGCGACTGGGAAGTCAATGGGGTCAACCGCAGCGTCAGCGTGGGCGACGATCCTAGCCAGGACGCGAGAGCCGGATCCGTACTGCTGTGCAATGGCCTTGTTGCCCAGGACTAGAGCACTGGCACCGTCGTTCAGGGTCGATGAGTTGGCAGCGGTAACTGTGCCGGTTCCATCGCGAACAAACGCGGGCTTCAAGGTTGGGACCTTCTCAATCTTGACGTCGAGGTAGCCCTCGTCCGCCTCAATGATGACCTCTCCTTTCTTGTTCTTGACGGTGACGGGGGTAATCTCATCAGCAAACGCCTTCTCGGCCCAGGCCTTTTGAGCGTTCTTGTATGACTGGATAGCGAACTCATCCTGCTGCTCTCGGGTGATGTTGTGAGTCTTGGCTGTGTTCTCTGCGCAGTTGCCCATGTGGAACTTGTTGTAGACATCGGTCAGACCATCCTTGATCAGCCCGTCCTCAAATGTAACATTGCCGAAAGCAGGCAGACCGCTGGCACGGGGAAGATAGTATGGGACCCGGGTCATGCTCTCCATGCCACCGGCAATCTGGGCCTCGGCCAGCCCTAGCTGAATGTTTTGCGCCGCAAAAGCGACAGCCTTGAGGCCAGAAGAGCACACCTTGTTGATGGTGATGGCCTCGATGGACGTAGGGAGGCCAGCGAAGATGGCAGCCTGTCGGGCGGGCGCTTGGCCCATTCCTCCTCCAAGCACGTTGCCCATGTACACATCAGAGATCTTTTCTATCGGAACCTTTGACTTTTCGAGAGCGGCCTTGATGGCGGTGGCGCCGAGCTGGGGAGCGGGCACGGTGGTGAATGAGCCGTTGAACTGGACAGGTGCAATTGTTAGCATAATCCCAAAATGGTATATGCGAGCCGCTCATCAACGTACCTTTGCGGTCGGTGTTCGCGCAGCACTGAGAATGTACGCCTCCTGGATTTCTTTTCTCATGACAGCGCCGGTTGAGAAGTGGCGAGCCGATTTCATTTGGCTGGCCAACTGGCCGAGCCGCCTGGCTGTTCTAAGCTGAGCCTCGGGCATTGTGGGATGGAGTTGTAGAGCTGTATAAGTAGGAGAAGAAGAAGCCAACAAAGAAAAGAGCTATCCGTAGTGAGGGTATCAAATAAAGCCAATCGAACGGTGATTGGAAGATAAATAAATGCAGAATGGGCTATGTTTTGTTTTTTTATACAGACTGTCGGTAGAAGAGGCGCAGAGAGAGGAGCTTCTGGGCCGTTTCGGTACGCTTCGGCTTAGAGCGGGGAGAGAATCAGCCGAGCGTTTAAGCCGGGATTGCAGGTGACAGCATCAGAATTGATGCTTGATGCGGGGAGTGAAAAGCCGGGGAAAGGGGATTTTGTATTATTCCGAGGCAGTGAGTGCTACAGCAATACTCATTACTCGGGCTCTACAACATCATGGAGCAGATGATTCAATGTTTTCTAATCTCTTCTTGAGTGCCGAATCCAAGCTCGTACCTACTCCGTCTTCTACACTCCCGCCTCTTCCTAAGCCGCACTCACGTCATCAACCCGAGGCTACAGTACCTAGGTAATTTATCAATGCGGCAACCTTTGGACAAATTACATCGCCATAACGAGCCCGCCAGATCAGTCCAGACTGTGGCGTCGCTCCACCATTGCCACATTTCTTTCTTCTACGTCTTTCGCGACGCTGATGCGCTGTCACATGATCATGACTAATCTTTTATTTCTCGCCCCACCATTGGCCCATACCCTGACGCCGATTCGCCTGAACCGGCGGGCTGTCAAGCGCTGGCCATTAGCTGCTAGTGCCGCTATCAACGCTCTTTGACTCGTGAGCAGGTTCCGATGGCTCAACTTTCTTCCACAGCACCGAGAAAAAGACTTGTCGGTATTTTGTCAATTTCATCTTTGCTCTATTCAACGCCTTTGCTTCCAACAGCCTATACTTGTAAATCGAAAAAAGAACTTCAGGAACAATACCACCACCTCTACTTTACCCAACTCGATCTACCCGATTCCTAATCAGGCCCCTTGTCGATAGCCATGTCGACAGCTGCCCGACGCCGGTTGATGCGCGACTTCAAGGTTTGTCTGCATAGACCGGATGGGATATCTTCTGGCTTATTTGCAGTTTCTAACGATGGTTTCAGCGTATGCAGACCGATCCTCCTGCCGGAGTTTCAGCATCTCCCATTCCCGACAATGTCATGACCTGGTTCGTTGCCCCTCACACCTCCACCACGACAGACATGCAAGGTGCGATTGCTAACCATGTCTCATCGCCCTCACTACAGGAATGCCGTCATTATAGGGCCAGCCGACACACCCTTTGAAGATGGAACATTCCGGCTCGTCATGCAGTTTGAAGAACAATACCCCAACAAGCCTCCTCAGGTCAAGTTCATCAGCCAGATGTTTCACCCCAACGTTTACGCCACTGGCGAACTGTGCTTGGATATTCTACAAAACCGATGGAGCCCAACGTATGATGTCGCTGCCGTTCTGACCAGCATTCAAAGGTATGCAAATATCTGCTGTGGGAGCCAATCCCTGACCGCCTCCCCTTGGCTCGACGGCTCATTCGCTGACTCGGACAACTTTTCTTTTTGCAGTCTACTTAACGACCCCAACACCGGCTCACCAGCGAACGTGGAGGCGTCGAACCTATACAAAGATAACCGAAAGGAGTATACTAAGCGCGTACGAGAGACTGTTGAAAGAAGTTGGGAAGACTAAAAGGGCTCATGATAACGCTGGAATGACGAGGACATACGGATAGGCGGCGTTTAGACAGCCACCTATCCGCTTCAGGATATCTGAAGGGGAACTTGGACCTAGCCCCCTCATCGTCTTCGTGCCGTATCCAGAAGACTGGGCTCCCAGCAAGAAGGAGGGAAGGATTCATTGCAGGCGTTTTGGTGCACGATATTGAACTGGTTATACCAAGGAAGAGGGACGAGTGTTCTCGTATCATGTCTTGCTATTTTCTACCTAGGATTCAAGCGTTTGTTTTTTGACATCATCGCCACTCTGACAGGGATTACCAAGTAGTGATTTAGGCGCAGCGGAATGCCATATGTTTTCGTTTGTCCATGTCAGGCTTCCTACGAGGGATGCTATACCCAAGTACTGATCCACCCCCTTTGTCATCCCCTATCTGCCCCTCTTTCTACAAGTTTGTTGAGTTATGCGTGAAGAAGACCTTAATCTATTGATTGACCTTCTATTGACCAAGTTTCTATTGACCGGGCTTCTATTGACCAAACTATGGCTTTTACGAGGGCATCGAGATATCGGGTATCAGTTAGCCGGTCCGCTGCCGCTGCGATTCGGCAGTTCACAAGCCCAACTGGGACCTGGTTGGGCCTACATCCAATCCGCTGCCAGCGTCAGCAACCACTGTCAGGCACAAAAGCACAAGGTAGTACTACTAAATCCTGCCGGAGAGTCGATGCTGGTATCTCAAATCAACACCATAATATCACCTGTAATACATCATGGCGCGCTAAGACGAAAAAAGAGACCAACTCGGTGAACTTTTACGCTGTTGTGGTACCCCATCTAGAGTCGGTATGCAGCAATCCATTGCAGCCCCTGGCGGGCTCGGCGAATATTTTCTCTGATTTTTCTAAATTATCTTTTTTTGAGACGAAAAGCGGCTGTTCAGTGGAAGAACAGCATGAAACGAAACAAAACGAAACACATCAAAACCAACATATAAGCATGAAATGTAGAATCAATGCGACGTGAAGTGCTTCGTATCCCCGGAGGTTGAACAGCATTTGCTACGGATACCTCCTTTGTATCGAAGGCACTTGCATTAGGTAAGCGGATTTGGTGCCTGGCCTAAAAATGCTACTGACGGGTAGTTTAGTGGCACTTGAAGATGTTTAGGGCGCATGTCCAGTGTTTGCAGTGCTGTAATAGCCCTCTAGGCGTCTGATCTCCAGCCCCTCCCTCCTAGCCCCCAGGGCACTTCCAACCACCACGCGGCGGCTGTTTTTAGCGCGCTTGTCACCTCCCAAACATTGGAACTCTGAGCTTTTGGGCCCCTCCCCGCCAGTCCCTCCCAGACCGCTGCTTTTGCATCCTCCCTAGAACTTCGTGTCTTGTTCTTGGGGGTTTTCCTTTCTTTTTCTTTCCTTCCTTTTCCCTCCCTTACAACGATCCTGCGGCGGGGTTTCTGTTTCTTTTGATCTCACGCAGCTTCGGTTGGGATCGACCATCTGCTCTGTTTTTGTTTCTCCTCTCTAGCCCCTCTCTCTCTTCTTTGACCCTCCTGGTAGGGCCAAACACCAGAGCCCGCCATTTGGGTGAAGAGAGAGAAGCCCCCCCTTCGAGAAACCGTTGCCTCTGCGGGCTCAACCGACAACTCAACGGTCGTTTCTCTTCGCCCATGGTCAACAACTTTTCTTGATATCGATATCCTAACGCCATCTGCCCATCATGTCGAACAACAGCATCAAGGTCGTCGCCCGATTCCGGCCCCAGAACCGGATCGAAATCGAATCGGGCGGCAAGCCTATCGTCAGCTTCACCTCGGACGATACCTGTACTCTTGATGTATATTACACCTTCCCCCCTATGCTCGCTATAGTGTTCATGATGTGGAGAGTTTGTCGCTGACCGTTGCCATGATTTATACAGTCCAAAGAGGCACAGGGCTCCTTCACCTTTGACCGAATCTTTGACATGTCATGTAAACAACAAGACATCTTCGACTACTCCATTCGCCCTACCGTCGACGACATTCTTAATGGCTACAACGGTACTGTCTTTGCCTATGGCCAGACTGGTGCGGGTAAATCATACACCATGATGGGAAGCAACATTGATGATCCCGAGCAGAGGGGTGTTATTCCGCGCATTGTCGAGCAAATCTTTGCCAGCATCATGTCCAGCCCCAGCACCATCGAATACACCGTGCGAGTCAGCTACATGGAAATTTACATGGAGAAGATTCGTGATCTGCTGGCTCCGCAAAATGACAACCTCCCTATTCATGAGGAGAAGAACCGTGGTATCTATGTCAAAGGTCTCTTGGAAATCTACGTCTCTAGCGTTCAAGAGGTGTATGAGGTGATGAGGAGGGGAGGAAACGCTCGAATGGTCTCTGCCACCAACATGAACGCAGAGTCTTCACGATCCCACTCCATCTTCGTCATCACCATCACCCAGAAGAACGTCGAGTCTGGTTCGGCGAAGAGCGGTCAGCTGTTCTTGGTCGATTTGGCCGGTAGTGAAAAGGTTGGCAAGACTGGCGCCAGCGGCCAGACGCTTGAGGAAGCCAAAAAGATCAACAAAAGTCTGAGTGCCTTGGGCATGGTCATCAACGCCCTGACCGATGGCAAATCCCACTACGTACCCTATCGAGACTCCAAATTGACCCGTATCCTGCAAGAATCTCTGGGTGGTAACAGTCGAACCACTCTCATCATCAACTGCTCTCCTAGTAGTTATAACGATGCCGAAACCTTGGGAACGCTAAGATTCGGTACCAGAGCAAAATCCATTAAAAACAAGGCCAAGGTCAATGCCGAGCTCAGTCCTGCCGAGCTCAAAGCCCTCCTCAAGAAAGCACAGGGCCAAGTTACCAACTTCGAGTCCTATATTTCCAACCTCGAGGGCGAGGTTCAGCTGTGGCGAGCTGGAGAGGCTGTGCCAAAGGACAAGTGGGTTCAGCCGATTGCCGATGGAGTTTCCGCAGCCAAGGCCGAGGCAAGAGCACCGCGACCCTCGACTCCCTCGCGGCTTACAGAGAGTCGCTCCGAGACTCCTATTGCCTCTGACCGTGCTGGTACTCCCAGCATAACATTGGAGAAGGACGAACGGGAGGAGTTCCTACGCCGTGAAAATGAGCTTCAGGATCAAATTTCAGAGAAAGAATCGCAGGCTGCCGCCGCCGAGAAGCTGCTTCGCGAGACCAAAGAGGAGCTCTCCTACTTGAAGGAGCACGACAGCAAAATGGGCAAGGAGAATGAGAAGCTTACAACAGAAGTTAATGAATTCAAGATGCAACTCGAGAGACTAAATTTCGAGGGCAAAGAGGCCCTCATCACCATGGACGCTCTCAAGGAAGCTAACTCAGAGCTCACCACTGAATTGGACGACATCAAGCAGCAGCTGCTTGACGCCAAAATGAGCGCCAAGGAGACGGGCGCAGCTCTTGATGAAAAGGAAAAGAAGAAGGCAGAGAAGATGGCCAAGATGATGGCCGGTTTCGAACTTGGAACTGATGTATTCAGCGACAACGAGAAATCCATCGCGGAGACTATCAAGCACATTGATGCTCTGCTTGAACAGAGCACAATTGGCGACCACATCGCGCCAGATGAGTTTAAGCTGCTCAGAGCAAAGATGGTCGAAACCCAAGGCATCGTGAGGCAAGCAGAGCTGTCCATGTACAGCGGGTCGTCCAACGACTTAGATGCCCGACGGAGACAGGAGCTCGAAGCCAGATTAGAGGCTTTGCAGCAAGAATACGAGGATGTGTTGGCTCGCGGCCTAAGCGAAGCCGACGTCGAGGAGGTCAAGGCACGACTGGAGGCCACCTACGCTAAGCGTGAGAAGTCTCAGGAGCAGCTCGTCGAGGAGCTTAAGGCCGACCTCAACCAGAAAGCGTCAGAGAACGCAAGAATGAAGACCCTCATTGAGGAGCTACAGCAGCGCGTCAAGTCTGGTGGCACCGCTTCCATGGCAAACGGCAAGACTGTTCAACAGCAGATTGCAGAGTTTGACGTCATGAAGAAGAGTCTCATGCGAGACTTGCAAAACCGCTGCGAGCGCGTTGTCGAGTTGGAAATTTCCCTCGATGAGACCCGCGAGCAGTACAACAACGTGCTGCGATCTTCCAACAACCGGGCCCAGCAGAAGAAGATGGCCTTTTTGGAGCGGAATTTGGAACAACTCACCCAAGTTCAGCGCCAGCTGGTTGAGCAGAATTCTTCTTTGAAGAAGGAGGTTGCTATTGCAGAGCGCAAGCTCATTGCGAGAAACGAGCGGATTCAGAGCCTGGAGAGTCTGCTGCAAGACAGTCAGGAGAAGATGGCAACGGCCAATCACAAGTATGTATCCCCAAGCTCCCCCCTTTTTTCATTGCCCACGACAGTACATCAACATAGTGCTACGAGTGAAACATGCTTGAAAAAGCTTGATGCTGACCTAGACTCCTTTAAACTAGGTTCGAGGTCCAGCTTGCCTCCGTCAAGGAGCGCCTCGAGGCTGCCAAAGCTGGCAGCACCCGTGGTCTCGGTGGTGCCGGCGGCGGCTTCAGCTTCTCTAATGCTGGCAGCCGCATTGCCAAGCCTCTCCGTGGCGGCGGCGGCGATGCCCCTGCGACTCCCACGATCCAAGGTGGTGACGGGACTCCCACCAGCAGCAAGCGCGGTAGTTGGTTCTTCAATAAGTCGTAGATTTCCTGCGCGCTTTTGCTTTCTCCGGGCGGCGTTATGAGTACACTAGAGGCGGTTTTACACACTTGGAATCTTCCATACCCACCCCCCTCATTCTCTCCCTCGCTTTCACCCTCCTTCTTCACTTTTTCTCACTCTTCCTTCCCACGCATATGCCGTGCTGACTTTGCTGGTTAAGGCTTTTTCCGCTTTTGATTTCCTCCTTTGCTTTGTATCTTTTGATATGTATTGCTGTTTCTGCCACCCCCTCACCCCTGTCTGCATTTTAAAACAAAGAAAAAAAAGCACAAAAGAACAAAAAAAGGTGAAACGAGGATGATGAAGAGGGGGGGCGTGTGTCCGCGCTATATACATTGTGGCGAGATTAAGAGCAACGAATGACGATTGTTGGATTCTGGGTTTTTATGACTTTTGACGGTTGTGTATTTGACTGAGAGAGCGAGACACAAATGCAATGAATGAGCAAACAAAAGACAGAGATGGAAATAAATCAAGAGCAAAGAGAGAAAACGGGCCGTAGGGCAAGGTAGAGAGTTATCTATAGTTGGAGTTATGCGGTTGGGGAGGGTTATATATGATAAAGATGTCACGCATGAAAGAGTAAAGAGTTAAATTACATGAGATACAAATCAGAATCTTACTTATGACGAGTAACTATGTAGATACTTGTGAGTGCATCTGCTATTTGCTCCAGGCAAACTCCGTGTAATTTTTTGCATGTAAGTTCACTATAATAGTAGCAACCGAAAGGGGCTTCGCCTTGAACGCACGCGTAATCTTGTGGTTCGATGGCGCTTTCATGGCGGATGGCTCGATGACAAAAGACTTGGCCTTCAGGATATCCTTATATTCTTGTTGATCGACGGCGTTCATGTTGGTGGCTTGGGTCCAATATCCCTTAACCGCCTTGAGGTTCCCATCTGGAAACTCGCAGCATGAACTTTAAGGGAGTGTCTGTTCGGCACACTCAATTTGTTATTCGGCATCTCATGTCTTAAATTTAAAGCTAGTGATGATATCAAGTAGTAGAGGAACATAGCTATGATGCCAAAGAAATTTAGTCATAATACCAAGTACTTTATCGCCATAGTAGCAGATACTAAAAATAAAAAATAAAAATAGCAATAGTTTCAGAAAATAGTGACAGTAGCAGATATTTGAGGAACTTGGTATCTACTACCTAAGTAAGTACCGTGCAGTGCCTATCAACAAAAGGTTTTCCTTCGCATCCCATTTCAGCACTTGAAATCCATGCAGTTGCTTGTAGATAGCCAACTTTAGGTGATGAATAGCTACCCCCATTCAATAGACATTGTCATGAGAGGCTTGTGTTGTAGAGCGAGCAATCAGGTGCTCTTTGATCCAGCCTTGATAATGGCAAGGCAGGTAGGGATAATAATGACCCACGACAAAAGAGAAACGAAAGCGAAGATGCCGACAATCTTGGCGTACAGGATAACCACTCGTCGCCAGGCGGCCTTGGAAAAGGTAGACCAAGCGTCGCTAATGGTGGCGTAGCCAAGTCCACCAACAACCGCGGGCTCAACCTTGCCTTCGAAGGATCGGTCGAAGGGGATGATGGGGTCTTCGTCCTCGGGCAGGAGCGAAGCCTGAATGCGGACGACGACAACACGGGCGGGGATGATTACGACGACGTACAGCATTGTGCTGAGGAGGATATAGACGGTAGCCTTGATCAGATAAGAAATGTCGCCGTCGCGAAGAGCGTCGGAGGCACCGCTAGACTTCTTCAAGTTGTCGAGAGTCGGGGCATCGAAGCCAATGAGGACAGCAAGCAGGTAGGGAACCCACTTGTGTACCTGAGTTGCGGCCCAGTAAATCACAATAGCCTTCCAGGTAGCATCAAAGGCGCGCTTGAAAGGAGGCAGGCGGCGCCAGAACCTCCGAGGAGAGGGGTGTGAAATGACAATGTGAACCCAGGCAGTTGCAAATTGAACCAGGACCAAGGAGGCCAGGAGTTCGGCAAAGGGCTTAACGGGACCCCACGAGAAGATGGAGGCGACAATGCCTGTGAGGACGTTTTGGGTAAAAGCACACATGAATCCACGCGTGTTGGCCCTCCACCCGCCATGCGAAGTCAAGAGACGGTTGATGGATCGAAGAGAAGAAGTCACTGTTCGGGCGGCGCCATCAGTAGGCTTGGCCGTAGAGCCAACAGTGGCCTCCTCATCGTTGCCTCCGTTGATAGGAAGGGGTTCGTAGGCAGGAGGATTCTCATCTTCAATAATGGTGAAGACAGGGTAAATGTGGAAAAGGGTGTAGTTGACCTACAGGTACATCAAGGTTAGTGGACATGATATCGATTTCACTGATATCGATTTCAACAGCGGAGGGGAAACCAACCAGGAACGAGATAGGAAGCAGAATAAGGAAGTTGACAAGAATCAGAGGCCAGCCCCATGCAGGCATGCTGAAATCAACCTGCTCTCCTCCTTCATAGACTGTCCAAGCCATTGTGATGGATGGCAAAACGGAATCTCCGGGCTTTCAAACGAGAGACAAATGCGCTAACAAAAAAAGCGTCACGACAGCCAAGCGTGATGGACTTTCGCTTTGTTTGGCAAGTTCCAAAGACAGAGAGTACAAAAGAACGAGACTAAAGAAAGTTCAATTCGCGCCGATGGTTGGGGGAGAACAAGACGCTTTATAATGGAGGCAAACCAGATTCTCGGTGGGCTGTCAGGAAGGGGTCACCCCAGTCCAAACGGCCTACTACTAGGCAGCACTGCCCTCCACCCACGGGAAGCCCATCCTGTTTCGACAAGCTCGTGTACACCCATTAGCTGGTAAGCCCGGACTATTGGGAGACGCGGCAAAAGCTTTTCGCTTGCTCGTGCTTTTCGGCCATTTCTGCTTCGGGACAATAAGCTACTGTAGTATCGAGGGGCGCCAAACAACGGCCTTTACCCGAAGCAGCGCTGTCGAATTATTTCTTACGAGCGCGCGCGAATCACATCACTTGCAGCGCCCAATGCTGGCGTGGAACTTGCATGAGATTGCGTCTCAACTGCGATGGTGTGGATGAGGTACATTGTATCATGTTGTCTCGTGAACAATTTATGAACAATCCTTTGTTCAACGGCTGCTTGCATCGCGGTTGGAATAAGTTAACCCGCGCATCCGCGGAATTTTGTCTCGTGAAATTGAGTGTTCGCGAGTCAGCGTCTCTCGGTGTCCGGCAGCGCTGCCTATGTAAGTGGGTATGCTCTGATACTGCAGTAAAGCGATTAAGAAAGAGAACCTAAAATAAGAAAAAGAAGACTCAGTGACAGTTTCAGGTGCCATATTGCCACCTGGAGGCAATATTGGCGGGCTATCGAAATTTCTCAAAGCACCGAAAACGTGGGAGAAGATGGAAATGAAGAAGAGCATGAAAAAAAGACAAAGAACGTCTGGCCTTCCTCGTTTTTGGGCAGGCAATGTCGTGATTCTTTTTTTCCTTTGTTAGCGCTGGCGATTCACGCGGCAGGCGCTGACGACGAGCTGCCCCGCCACTTCCCTTGCAAAAGAGCTGAAGTGGGGCGGCAGCTTCATCTGTCACTCGGTATTTCGAATCGATGTACTTTTCCACGAAACTCAGAGTGAGCAGTTACATCTAGCGCGTTCTCTTTACTCGTCGCCTTATATCCAATCCCTTGAGACTTCAAAACTTCCGACATGCCCTGAGACCGTCATTCAATGTCAGCGCCATCCATCCCCAATCTTCTCTCTCTCCGGGCTAGAGGCGGTCGGGGCCGAAGCCGAGGCCGGGGGCAAGCACGCGGAGGTTTTGGAACCGGCGCCGAAGCTCCTGCTTCTCGCGGCCAGGCGCATGATTCGGTTATTCAGGGAACCGATACGGATGCGGCTGTGTCGAGGTTGAGTGCCGTCGATATGGGCTATCTGAGTGATCCATACGCGCGGTATTTTGTATCTGCTTTTGATGGTCCGCCGGCAAGACGATTCCCCATCATCAACAGAGGTTGGTGTCCCATATGACCATTACCTCTTACTTGGCCGAAGCCCTCTTCGCTTCGCATCTTCCCTTTTGGTCGGAATAACTTTGGCTCACATCCCGCTACAGGAACATACACTCGTACAACAGCTATAGATAACCTTGTTCACTCGTTCCTTGCTGGAGCTGAGGGAGAAGAGCAACAGGAAAGAGTCACGAGGCAGATAGTATCTCTAGGTGCTGGCACTGATACTAGGCCTTTCCGGCTCTTTAGTCAACAAAACCATCCACAGCTGGTCTATCATGAGATTGACTTCTCAGTAACAAGTGGCAAGAAGCTCAAGACAGTTGAGGCAGTGCCGCCTTTGGCCAGCATCTTGACGAATCGCTTAACAGGAGACACAAGTAGCTGGTCAAGCCAGCCGTTGAATGGAGAATATTTCTGCCACGGGCTAGATATCCGCCGGTTATCATCTGCGGCTACCGAAATTCTACCTGGGCTTCGCACTGACGTCCCTACTCTCATCCTCTCGGAATGCTGTCTCTGCTATCTCTCTCAGGAAGAATCAGAGGGTGTACTTCAATATTTCTCTTCTCGGATACCCAATATTTCCGTCGTAATCTACGAGCCGATTCATCTTGGAGATCCTTTCAGTGATACCATGGTATCAAACTTGGCAGCGAGGAATATTCACATGCCTAGCCTCGAGCGCCGCAGAGACGAAGCAGACGAAGCGGCTCGGCTCAAACGAATGGGGTTTGAGAACACCCGTCAACTGACTATCGATCGCTTGTGGAGCAAGTGGGTGAGTGCTGAAGAGAAGGAGAGAGTTGATGGGCTTGAAGGACTCGATGAAATCGAGGAGTGGCAACTACTTGCCGGGCACTATGCCGTTGTATGGAGTTTTAGGGGAGACGGATTCGAGGGGTGGAGAGGCATTGAATAAAAGCAATTGCCGTGCAATGATATAATACATCGGTGGTTCCTGAGCCTGATCCTCACTGCATCGCCATGGAACCTGTGTTAGTCGCTGAGCGAGGCAGATGTCAAGCCTTAAGAGCTGCCCTACATATTAGCCTTGTTTTTTGCTTGTTTGCTATGCGCCATTTCTCGCTTATCGGAGCCTTGCAGGCTGCATACATATCGTTGAAGATTAATGTCGTGCTGTAGGGATGGCTTGTATATCCATAATTGGACCCGGCAGATTGAACCTCACTTAGGATACGACTTCTGTCTTAGGAGTCATTTTGGACCAGGAGCTGGCTACCTATGCACCTTATGTTTGGCCCTCGCAGCTCGTAATGAATCTTCACAGTTTGAAGGATCATCTTCATACATCGCTAGTGTGATACAACTGGGGGTCGTCACTTGGTAGACAATTGGCAGCTTTTTTATACCACAGCGCCCTACAGCAAGCATCTGCACGACTAAAGATCATGATATTTGCCCATAGCACACAGAAATACCATCTGGACAAAACATTCCGCCATTTTCTCAGCAGTGAGACACTGTAATTTCTGTAAGTCCAGGTGCCAGTATTACTCACGTGATCATATGAGATAAGCCGGAGTGTGTCTAGCACTCAACAGCGCCGCTTCAGGGGGTGCAGTTAGCATACTTTACTGCTAACGACACTTGGGCTCTAAACTCTGTGTCGCGTTTAAGCTTCTCATTTCTAAACCTCATTATTTTGCTCCAACGCTGCTTCATCCGTTCATTTTCTTGGAATCCGTTTGCTCGAAGTCGCTCTGCAGTGATTAAATTCAGTCGCTTGTCCTTGCTTCTCCTCTTTATATTTTCCTTTGACGCCTTGGAATGAAGAATCCTTTATAGCCGACGACCCATCAATTTCGGTTCGATTTTACGGCCAGCGGTGGCATATTAATTCCTTGCGAGGCCGCGCCTATTTTGCGGGTTGGTCGCTCAAAAGATTCGGACTTCTCTGCTCAAACACCCGGATCTCATATAAGACGAAATCCTACGGCGCTTAAAGGGGTTGCAAGGGCGCAAGGCTGGGCGTCGCATTCAAGGGAGAGGCTGTTGCCTTGGGACGCGCGCCGGCTTACAGGTTGCGACCTGATTTCACAGAAAGAGAAGGAAATTGTTTGATTGGGAATCACCGCAAAGATGGCCGATTCAAGTATTGCAAAGGCGTATAAATATCGCCAGGAGATTAGTCAGGTAAGATTTCGCTTTCATTCATACTTCACCGGGTTGTTTCGAGGAGCGATGAGCCTCAGAAGTCTGAGAAGAGCTCACTATCAAGCACCTTATGATGAGGATATACACTTCATTATCGCCCCGTCTATCATGACAACTGGACAATACCACTTCAACATGAGATTTACGATCTCTTTTCATGCCTTTACACCCCTGATTGAGTGTATCCGCTTGATTATCGCAGTTACTGGCTACGGGCAGCCAGGAAAGGGGGCCATTGGAAGTGTGCATCTCATTACTACTCCCTTCCTAGGAAGCAACCCAGCTTTACTTCAGCACTCATAACGATTAGGTGCCATGAGAATCTCATGACAAACGCCTTATGCGAACCACATTGCCCAACACCTGGCAATGCTGGCCTTGCGGCTTCATCGCACCGCTGCCAAGTGGCAAGCTCAGCCGACGTGATTGAACACATATTGAACAACTCCAGCTGAAAATTTGCTTTCTAAACCATCTCACATCCCTCTTCACATATCCCTCACCCGCTCTTTACTGCCCTCATCTTCCCCAAGGCATCTAGCCTCGCCGCTCTCTCATCATGGGATTCAGTGAATACATATACGTGAACGGGCACAAATATCGATTGAGATCCGGATTCATGTCTCGCCTTTCTAGACGCGCGATAAGGATTGACACTTTCCAACAGATGATGTACGTCTCTGGCGAAACCGCAGAGCCCTCCGTCGAAACCACTGGTATCATTGAAGATATCGTCCGGCAGCAGGTCATTGAACTGGTATGCTTCTCTTTCTCTTTTCACTTCACCAGTTCATCCAACTCACTCACTCTCTCGCAGCTACGAAATTGCACAGAGCTCGCCGCCCGGCGTGGCTCAAAATCCATCAGCACAAACGACCTCATCTTTCAAATCCGCCACGACCACGCCAAAGTATCCCGCCTCCGCACATTTCTCTCCTGGAAAGACGTTCGCAAAAACGTCAAGGACTCTGACGACAAGGGCGCTGACGCAGACATTGCCGCCGGTGACGATGCAGTCGGCGGCGTAGTTCCTGGAGGCCCCGTTGATGAGGCGGCCAAGAAGAACAAGAAAGCCAAGGTCGGTCTCCCCTGGGATCCGTCATCCTTCTACTCAGTCGAGGTCCCCGAGCGCGACGACGAAGAGGACGAAGAGGAGGAGGAGATGAACTACATCACGCTTCAGCGGCTACGCAAGGCCGACGAGCGCACAAAGGCCATGACCCGCGAGGAATACGTGACGTGGTCGGAATACCGTCAGGCATCCTTCACCTGGCGCAAGGGCAAGCGTTTCCGCGAGTGGGCCGGCTTCGGCGTTGTTACGGACAGCAAGCCGTCAGACGACATTGTTGATATTCTCGGCTTCCTCACCTTTGAAATGGTCCAGACCCTGACTGAAGTCGCGCTCAAGGTCAAGGAGCAGGAGGACATCTCGCGCGCCCAGACCGGCGCCTCCACGGGCGATTCCGGCCCGAACAAGAAGCGCAAGCACCAGCAGGGCCTTTTCGACCCCCCCAGCGAAGGCCGTTCGCCAATCGAGCCCAGACACGTCCAAGAGGCCTTCCGGCGGTTTCAGCAGAGACCCAAGAAGACTCGGGCTATGCTCAACGGCACGAGGTTGGCCCAGCATACGACCCTTAACATTATTTAACTTGGATTTCTTTCTTTCTTGCTCTCGTCCGCCTCTTCTTCCTCTTTATTCTCATATACTTTTCTCCTTTGTTTCCTTAACGCTTCAATGTCGGGTTTTCTTTTGGTCTCCTGTTTCTGGATTTGTGTTTCTGGTTTTTCTGTTTCAACACGGAGTTTTGAGTTCCACAATCGGTATATATACGCATATGCAGTAAGCTTGTAAAGCTGCCTTTACCATCGATAAACGACGAGACAGAAGTATTAGCTATTATAGAGCCGAGACTTCTGGATATCGACAATCTCGGCTTTTTTGGCCTTTTGGTCTAATGATGGCACGTCTTGAGCTGTTTCATTTTTCAATATTTATATAGTTGGCTCGTTGCTAGTCTCGTTGCTTGTCTCGTCTTCTATTAGGGACGGCACATCTGATTAATTCATTGTATTATTACACGTGTATTCTAAACTGCGTTTCGTGAAAAGCCTAGCGCTCAGTGACATTCAACCAAGTTGAAAAAGAAAAACGCCTTCCCTCTATCTATTCATAATTCATACCCATACCCATTAGTGTACGCTCATCGTAAACTGGTGATTGTTGACCTCCTCCTTCTTGCAGTCCCATTGCCCTGCCAAAGTCGAGAATTGACCCTCTGCAAGCTGATAGGCACTTCCCCTAGATTCTCCTCATATATACTCTCTCTTCTGGGCCTAGGTCGAGTCGCAGAATCCTCGCCTTGTAGTCTATGATTTGATGCCTCGGAGTGAACAGCAACAGAGTCAATCCGCCTTAGAGCGAAATCCTGCACTTCTCCCGCCCCTCCTTGCAAAGAAACGCCGCTTTGGTGAGCCGTTGATGAGCTGCTAGATGTGTTTGAGCGAGTCCTTGTTAAAGACTCTGGCCGAGATTCCTTCATTTGCGCATAGTTTGTGTACCGGGGCATCTCCAACATTCCAGATCGGAATGCATTGACTCCCACTAACATCTTGACCAGCTCAACCAATTCTTCCAGATACTCGACGATTTCCATCTGACCAGCAGCACTAGCATTCCAAGAGAGGAAGTTATGCTTGGTAATCAAACGAGCAATCTTCTCGTTTGCCTGGTCTTCGTACTCACTCGCGCTCCTGCAATGGCTGGCATGGCTTACGGTTGGCGTGACCGGAGCCGATGTCGACGCTTGCGATGTGATAATCTCACGGACCCGGTGTATCAGCCGCAGATGCGCTACACGAGCTGAGGGAATAAATTGCGGGAGCGGAAGCCAAGTTGTCAGTGCCTCGTTGACGGAAAACAACATTAAAGTGCAGCTTGCCGCCATGCTTCGTCGATACGTGTAAGCTTGTGGATTCAGTGCCTCTAAAACAGAGGAGCCATAAGCCCTTCGGAGCTGTACGACGTTGTCCATCCGATCAATGATCTGATGAAGCACGTATACAATCTCAGTGTAGATAGGCGCAAGCTTCTTAAAGCTACCTTTCAGGCGGGGTTCGGAAGAACAAAACGGGAGAAACGTCTCGGCCGCCGCAAGTGAGGCTTGAGCCTTTTCGCGCCATCTGTCAAAACGACGGTGCAGTTTCGGAGAGCGAGGATCAACGATTTCAGGCCCGTCAACACCCACGGACATGGCGCCCTGCATATTCTGGATATGCCGTACGCAGGAAGACAAAGATTCTACCAAACGATCTCGCGCACGCACCGGGGAAACCGACACCTCTACCAACGTAGCAGTAACGCCTCCAACTATAAATGCTATGAGACGCTTGTAGTAGACCTCGTGTGATGGCTCCGTATTGATATTCGCCGAGGCTGGTGGAGTTAGTCAGAAAGATGATGAGAGTGTGTGAGGAGGGTGAGAAGGCTTACCTAGGGCAACGACATTTATTGATATAATGGCCGCTGCTCCAGCCTTGACGTATTTTGTTGCGACATGTATATAGGCAGAAGGCAGCAGCGTGAAAGCGAGAACGACGACGGTTATTGCCCTGCTTCCCCCTGCAATAACAAATGAGACATATCCAGCAGTACAGCCAAGAACAAGCCCAATAAGCCGAACAACAAAGGTGACCAAGGACGTTCCGATGGCCACTTCAAATATGAATATCAACTGCAGCGGAGCCCAAACGCCGTGGACATCCCCGTACCATGCGTTCCAAGATGGCACAAAGGCTGGCCAGCTGACAAGAAAGACGGCAAAGGAGAGTTTTAGTGCATAGGCAAGATCATCGGAATCTTGAGCCCACTCCAGCACATCTGCCGCTTTACCTCGAAGCCATAAAATCCGACTATCAGAAGAGTCTTGCCCTCTCTTATCATTCCGTTTGTCTTGTAAATGTTTCTCTCCCTTCTTCTCCTTCTTTTTGTTTTTGGACTTTCTATTTCTTAGCGATTTCAAAATTTGAGAGGCAGTTGTTGAACCTGCTTCCTCATCAGGCATTCTCTGTCTCAGCTGCCCTTCACTATCAAGGATATTGCTAGAATCTTTAGGCTCGGAGATTGGCGGCCCGTTGCCAACCAAATCTCCTCGACGTGCGGCTTGCCTCGCGCCTTCGGGTAGAACCATTGAATCGCGCTCTCCCGCGGTACGTAGCCACTTCCGAAGACTTGAATAGTGAGGGATCCAGATGCTCAGCCGATCATGGCGGCGTTGTCTCTGCTCTACCAATTGACGAGCATGGCGGAGCATTTTGAAGATGTGCGTTGAGGATTGGCGAAAGGCCAGTAGAAACGACGAGATGAGAAAAGTCTCCATGCGAGGCATGAAATCGAGCGCCAGGCCCGTTTCTTGCATGGCAATAAGCTTGAGTTGTTCGGCGGATTGTTGATCAAATAACGTCAGAGCATCCGTGAAGAGGTCGACCCGCAGGTCAATCTCCTCCAAGTGTATGCCTCGAGGGGTTGGGGCACCAGAAGGTAGGGTAGGAACATCGTAGCAATATGCCAAACAAGATATCAGGAGAGCCACTGCTTCATTTGTGGAGGCCTGGAATTCTTGTATAGGAGCTCGTAGTCGCATGACAATTGATTCGAGAAGCTTTGCGCTACTCAATTCAATCTGCCTATTCAACTTGATGTAGTCGACTCTACTCGATGGAGCGGTTGAGTTTCTCGCTCTCGATCTCGATCTTGTACCAGAGTTGAGTCTGAGGTTTGCTTCTGGGACGCTGGACGCTGGTGTGGCAGATCCGTCTAAAGCACTCACGCACCCGGGCGATTGAATCATATCATCGTCAGCCGCTAAACTGCTCTCTTCTATGCCATCATCGTCAATTACGATGAACTTGTTTTCACAGGCGCCAATCAGTGTAATGATACTTTGAGAAAGATTGCTCATGAGATCAACACTGATGGGTTTCATGTCGCTTGGTGCAAGGGGTGAGATGGATATCTCGAAATTGACTTCATTTTGAGCAGTTTTGCACGATGTTAGTTTAGAACGGATTATGGGTTTCCTCTCCGTCAATGACGCAAGTGTGGTCGCATGCAGTGGTGACCTAGATGCTGTGGTGGCAGAGGTGGCCGGTAGAAAGGGGTTGGGGAATGGGGCAGAGAACTTGCGCCAGTAACGGATAGCGAGCTGTTTTATTTGCCACATCTGTCGCCGTTGTTGATGTTCTTGCTTGGTGCCATTATCATTAGCATGAGGTATAATGAGAGGCTCCCCTTCGTTTTGAGATTCGATACCATCGCCTCCAGGCGTAACAAACCAATGGGTAGCTCGCTCCAGTGTGTCGACCATTTCAGAGAGGGCACTGATGGTTGAAGTACCCAGATAGCTACTGGAAAACTCAGGGAATATGGCAACGTTGGCGAAAAACATGACTCCAACGCCAATGAGGATTGGCACATAGATTGTTGTATACTGAGTGGGCGTGGCCACAGTTGGTGCTGTGAGAAGTGTGATGGCGGGCAGGATGACAAACAAGACAAATAAGAACAATCGAGGAGTAGATGATCTCAGGTAGCCATGGAGCAAGGTGCATGCGAGATAGAAGAGGGCTCGAATAGTAAAAGCAGCAGGCTTGTTGGTGTCATAAACCAAACTCGCCAGATATAAGCCCAATATACACCATGATAAGCCCAGGCCAGAACCAAAGATGATCATGATGATGTTCTCAATGACGACGCCCATCCGTTGTGCTGGATGTGCAAAGGCAACAACCATTGGTATAAGAAAGGTTGACCAGCTCCTGATTTGAGGGAGAATGGCAATGATGGTGCAAATAACACACGCTATGAAATCCTTGAGAATCCGCTGCCAAAGTGCCTTGGTGCCGCAGTCGCCCCAAATCACGGTGACGGTCCTGCGTAGGAGCTTTGCCATGGCCATGACGAGTAACGTTGCTCCTGTAACCACATTATCTTTGGTCCAAAGGCCCCGGACTGGTTATGAGTAGCTGCTGAGTGCCTATTGCTTGGAATTGACCCGGGGCAGACCGGAGAGGTAAACGGACGTCTCTCGGCAAGGTGATAAAGGATTGCGAGAGTGTGCCTGATTAACTGATGATGGCTGCAGGAGGATACCGGGGTAGGAGCCTCATCTGTCTTTTTTTTATCGGTCTGGAGCTTTCAATTGGACTCCGAGCTGAAGCGGAGGGTGGGAAGAGGAAGATGGACGAGGAAAAGGCGGAGAGAACAGGTCAATCAGTTATGTATCAAACTTGTATCAAATCCCATGAAACTGTTTGAGATTTTTAAATAGGAAAATCAGGTTTGGCGAGATCGGCAATCGGTGAGAGGTCATGCTCTTTTTCCAAAGGGGGGAGGAGTCGTCGATCCAAGAGACAGGAAGAGAAAAGATCCGAAAAGCTGGATTGATCAGGCCACTGAGCTTAAGGCATTGACAGTTAGACAATAATAGCTGGGATTCCCAAATACAGTGGGGTCGGACGCTAGAGCATGGGTGTGGCAGCGTTGCTCTGTAATATTGATGAACTACATCCAAACTTTCAAGGTTAGTCGGGAGCTAAAGCGATTGATATGAATAAACGGGATGCACGACAATGGATAGGTTGAGTTGATTTCAAGTTGACTTGATTGATGCTAGAGAAGCCGAGTAAATTAAGAGGGCCAACGTTGTATTTAGAGCCATAGCTTGAGTGTTGCCCTCAAAGTCGAAATGTATGCATTCGTGCAAGGAGTGTGTATTACTCACCCGTCACCTCTATTGGATAGCTCGACATCTCGAGAATAGCCACGCCCGTCATATATGGTGCGAGTACGAGTCAACGCATGGCATCCGGCAACGGTGATCCGGACATGCTTAATGAGGTGGTGATTGCTTGACAGCAAGTGGTACGATTAATGAGTGGGTTTTTGTCTTTTTTTTTTTTTCTCAATCTCTCTCTTTTTTTCTCATTCTTCCACCATATATATCGTCTTTAGACGCATTGCAAATCCCACCAAGATAAAGCAATGTGCGCTCTCAGAAAATAGCATCCATCATCTCTGTTAATTCAGTAGTGGCTTTTTGCTAGGCTCAGCACCATTTGATATCAATACAAGCCACCCAAAGACATGTACATCTGTACTCCATCCATATTGAGCCTCCTCAACAATATCCAAAGTGATCATTACCTGTTCAATGAGAAAAAAACAAAAAATAACCAGTATAGCTATCAAATCCAACTCAGACTCCATACCGTCACCAAATCTATCTACTACCAACCTTGGGACTGTTGCTGTTTTGAGTCCCACTGCCCTTTTCGGCCCGCTGCCCAATGGCCATCCGTGCGCTCCGGCCCCGCGATCGACCACAGTTACGAGTACAGTTACAGTAAGCGCACTGCTGCAACGGCTCCAAACTGCCCTGAAGCACCTCAAACTTAGCACGTCTACCAAAAACACCAAATCGTCACCCATCGCAGCCCATTTCCCCTATACCATTAATCCAATCTCATACTACACACAACTCCAACCATGCTCTCCTTTATCCTCATCCAGAACAGACAGTAAGCTCTCTCTCTCTCCTCCCACGCCCCATACGCGCAAAAACATCAAAGTCACCCCCCAAACCCGCCCAACTTACCAATCAACTAACTCTTCTCCCCAGGGGCAAGACCCGTCTCGCCAAATGGTACGCCCCCTACAGCGACGACGAAAAGATCAAGCTCAAGGGCGAGGTCCACCGCCTCGTCGCCCCCCGCGACCAAAAGTACCAGTCCAACTTCGTCGAGTTCCGCAACAACAAGATCGTCTACCGCCGCTACGCCGGCCTCTTCTTCTGCGCCTGCGTCGACACAAACGACAACGAGCTCGCCTTCCTCGAGGCCATCCACTTCTTCGTCGAGGTCCTCGACGCCTTCTTCGGAAACGTCTGCGAGCTCGACCTCGTCTTCAACTTTTACAAGGTGTATGCCATCCTCGACGAGGTGTTTCTTGCGGGCGAGATTGAGGAGACGAGCAAGCAGGTTGTTTTGACGCGGCTGGAGCATCTGGATAAGTTGGAGTAGTAGCGCGCGGGAGGGACGCGTCTTTTTTCAAAAGCTCTTTTTTTCCGGCGTTAAATATTCCGTCCCTGATGCTTCTTCATTTTCCTCTTGGTGAAGAGAAGCGGAAAGGACGGAAGCGATTGCCAAATGTACATATAATATCCATTTCGCAGCTCGGAGTTGTTAAGAGGGAGGGGACATTGATTGGATTTGATCATTTGGGTTCTATCGCAATCTAGCAGGGCGCATACAGTACATGCGTGCATAGGGCAGAGCGCGAAGCATTAGAGCATTGGCGTTTTGGGCGTCTTGAAGATTGCGAATTGGAGCAATAGGAATATATCGATAGTCATTGGCCTGTTTGCGCCGTTGTCTTCTTTATCTTACTCCCTAATACCTACCCCTAAATCCCGTGTCGTGGTCCTCAATTCCTCAATGCATAGACAGGCAGCAGTGCTACTTGCTTAAATGCTCTATCTTGCAAGGTAATCATCATTAATAATCATCCAGTCAAGATCAAGTCAAATCATGCTTAACCGCAGGAGAGGGTCAAGCCATCATAATAGGGCGGAATGTAGACTCAGTTCTGCATATCCAGGTCTACTTGCTTTTCCATATCGCAGCCTGAGAGAGCATCATAATAAGCGAACAAGCACATCATCCCTGGCAAACCAATCTCCTCCGCTTTTCCCAAATGAAAAAGTAAACCCGGGACCAATTTTCCATCAACTCAAGGAAATAATGAACAACCACCATTGTCCCGAAAGCACTGGTAAGAGAGACTCAGTGCATGCAATCATGCCAGACACTGCGGCTAGACGGCATCTTTCAACGTTGCGCTATCAGCAGCATCCCACATATCAAGGGCCGTAGGACGCTTTGCCTTCTGGACCCAGAGGTTCTCCCGACCACGAAATAAGTCCTGGACAAAAGGGCTGTATGAAGCATCCCCATGGATCGACTTGTTGTCAACGCCAAACGAAATGTCCGTCATGATTCCTTGTCCGCTGCCCATCTCCAGAGAACTATCAAGCAGAGATGGCTCCATAGTACATGAGTCGTCCAGCTTCTGCTTTTTGCGGGCTTCGTCTTGGGTTTGTGGTGCTATGCCCAAGTCCTGCGTTTCTCCCTCAGAATGAACATCAACATCTGCTAGGAAATGATCAACTTCTTTCATGCCACCACTGTTGTTCTCAAAACTGATCAAATCGCACGAAATCACACAGTCTGCATCCATACCTTCCTTTGAGTTCCTGCCATCATGATCCTATTCAATAAGCACAGTGATTAGTAAGTAGGCTTGTTATTTCGCGAGAGGGAATGAGGAGGGTGTAGACTTACCTCTTCCTAAGGTGACAGACGGCCCTCGGTATGGCGAGCAACATCATTGTTGCCGTAAACAGCGGCTTCATCAGCTCCAGAGCTGCTAGAGAATAGAATTAGATCAGACATCGACTCCTTATCCATCTCCTTCTGAAGAGAGACTTGCGCTTGTTGAGCAGTGTTCCCGAAAGGGTGGTTTGCCTCGGCGGCGACGCAAGTGCTGGCCAAGAAAGCAGCTCGTTGAGGATTCATGACCATTTTATCATAAGCTTCAGTGCAATTCTTGTCTTGTCCAGGATAGTCTATGTCATCCGCAGTTAAGATGGGTTCACCAGCAAGATGGGAAAGCCAACCTATGATGCTGCAGTGCTTACACGCGCAGTCTTGCAGTCGAGTGGCGCATCTGTCAGACTGATTGGGCTCAGAGCCCCAGGAGCTAGCCTGTCCAAGATCAAAGGGCGCGCAGTATCCAGGGTGTTGTCGTTTCTGGGCCCCACGTTTGGCATCGTCATTGTCGCGACGGGAATGATGGTCATGACCTTGGTCAAGCTGCTCAAGGCTTGTCTCAAGGCGAAGATTAAGTTCAGCTGGCGACAACATGGCAAGATCGTGATTGTACGCAGGATAAGGAGGCAACTTGCCATCATCGTTATTCTGCTGAGCTGCTTCAAGATCGACCACGCCTGCAGGTGTTTCCGGCTCGTCGAGCCATTGATACCAGTGATCATAGATGTGGTCGACAATGGCGCGGAAGCTCGTCAGCACCACGTTGCCAACTCGCAGCGAAACCTGATTCGCATGGCTTTCTTTAACCGTCTGAAAGGCGTCGTAGAATGTTTGGCAGCACATGTCCCGCGAGCAGCCTCTACGTTCGAGGAAGAGGCAGAGATCCTTGATTTCAGGCCGCGTGCCCATGCCCGTGGTGGAAAAGGTGCGGCCAATCTTCTCGCGTAGCCAGACAGCACAGAGAGAGACGGTGCTGTTCAGATTGATGCGCTTGCCAGCAGCTTTGATTCGCCTTTCCAAAGTGTCTTGACGCATGAAGCCAAGGTTGTAGAGATCACGAAGGCCGTTACAGCCCAGAGTGACTTGGGCGTGGTAGAGCACGTCTCTGTCCTCCATGGCGTACTTTGGTGCAGACATACCGAAAGGGTTGTCGTTCTTGCAGTGACCGTATTCTAACTGATGAGAGCAGTCAAACTGATGGAGGTTTTGTTGCGTTAGATGACGAAAAAGCTGCTGCTCGCCATCACCTTCCTCGTCTTCTTCTTCCTGAAGGGCTTCAAAGGGAATGAGGAGAAACTTGACAAGTCTGCGTTTGTAGGTTTCGAGGTAGTTTACAAGGAGTGAAACCACGAAGAAGAATGTGAGGCAGATGAAGCAGAAGAAAAAAGAAGCCTGCAAGTTCTCTTCTTCATGCTTTTCTGCCTGTACGAGCACGTGAGGCGACATGGAGGCGGCCGGCAGCTGGCAAAGTCTGGCAAAGGCAAACACGCAGGTGTGCCAACCAGCAGCCATACAAATAAACAGCAAGTAAACAGTAACAAAATGTCAACAAGAGCGAGAGCACTTGCAATTGATGGACTAATAAAAAAACAAAAGAGCAGAGTCTAAGCCGTGGAAAGGGTGCGTCACCAATTGAAAGGAGAAGGCAAGGCAAAACACGAGATTTGACCAAAAAAAAGCAAACAATCCGGGAATGGCGAGTGAAAAGATAAGAAGAAGAGGAAGAAAAAAAGAGGAGGGACAGGGAAACCCGACGGAAACACGCACGACAACGCTGGCACCTTAAATAATGCCCAGCCGAATTGGCAAATATGCTGTGTAACAAGAGCCAGTCCTCGTGACTGGTCCAAATCGCGCCGAAGCAGCAGGCCGGCATAAGGAGGAGAAAAAAGAGGAGGAGACGGGCCAGAAAACCACAACAAATGCAGTGCTGGTACATGTACAAATCCCGTCGAGTCATAGCAAGCAAGTCGTGGACAAGGACAAGCATTGTATAAAATGGCCGGCCACCAATTGAGGTGAGGCAACGGAAACACGACGTCGACACTGCATGCGAGTACAAAATTGCAACTCGGAAGCAGTTGTACAAGTAACTTCAGTCGGTACCTACTAGACATAGAGATGGTATGGTATGGTATTAGAGGCATACAAACATGAACACGCGCGCACACGCATGTGCCCTCGAAATGCTTTCGCTCGGCTTCTCGTTTCCCTTCAAACTCCCGGCTCATGTCACATCACAAGCATACCACCCAAAATCATCACCTCTTCTTCAACGCCGCAAATCTCCTCTCCAGGTCTCCAATATCTGGTATTGACCCTTCCGGCTCCTTCTTCTTCCTCGGTGCCGCCACCTCCTCCTTCTTGCTCTTGAGCTCCACGGACCCCATCATCACCTTGGGGTGCACATTGTCCGTCGTCATTCGCGGCGGCGTCACCATCAGCGGGCTCTTGGGCTCTCCCAGCTTTGCGCTCGGCGGCGTGGCTTTGTCCATCTGCTCCTCGCCAAGCGAAAGCTTCCTCTGCTCCGCCGTCAGAGGCGTGTTCAGCTCGTTCTTCTGCGCTTGTCCCCCCGATGGATCTCCGCCGTCCACATCTTCATCGTCGTCCAACAAATCGGGGGGTGGCGGCGTCATCTCTCTCTCTCTTTTGGGCCAATCGACCCCGTACGCCTTTGCAATCTCCTCTAGATAGCCCGTCACCAGCTCCTGTCGGGGCGCCTCCACGCTCAACTTCTTCACCACCTTTTCATTGACCTTGCCATCTGCGTTATCCATGGCGGCGAGGACAAACTCCTTGCCGTACTTCTCTGCCAGCAGCGTCCGCACCGTCACGAGTTCCTTGATCTCTGTCTTGGGCGCCGCATAGAGAATGCTCTTGATGGCCTCTTCCAGCCCGGGGTCACACACAGGCCCTTCCATCAGCCCGGCCCGCGCAAGCAGCAGCTCGCAGTAAAGCTCCAGCAGCTCGTGAAGCTCGCTCGTGATGTCGGATCGGATGATGTTTTCGACGCGGATCGTTGCCGAGTCGACCTTGCCCGCCTCGAGCAGTTGCGCCATGGCCCGGCGCTGCGTCTTGCCCAGCTGCTCATCCCGCTGCTGTACCATGCGCAGGCGCGCAATAGCGAGCTTCAGCTGGACCTTAAGCTTGGTCTGTAATCGCGGCCATTGCAACGTCAGCTCAGCTCTTGCGGGTTGCGTCACTGGAGCTGGCGGGGTTTGCGAGATGAGATGGAATGGGATCAAGACTTACCAGCCAGGTAGCTGCGGGGGGCATCGCGGGGGATTCTTGGGTCTGGTTATAGTCTACGGGGATCAAAGAAGAGGTAGTCCAGAGAGGAAAACGGAAGAGAATGAGAATAGTGAGAGCGTATGGAACTGGCGATTTTATATCAACAATTGGGCAAATTGAGGCAGCAGGATTAAATTCGTGGAGTGCCTAGAAGTAAGGTAGGCAGACACGAAACCGGAGCTTCTGGAGGAAGTTGAGACAAAACGTCACTGGTGGCCCGCTGCCAATTCAAGGTACCTAATCGATTGATCCCTAGCCCACAGCAATAGTACCCGCTAATAAGCCTTGAAAGCTAGTGCCTTTAACTGCTGCCCGCCCCGTTACTGCGGGGCCTTCGAATCCATCACCTCGGATCTGAAGCCATCAAATTCCATCGTCGTTAAGCCAGCTCGATTTAGTTCAGTTCAGCTACGAGACACACATCCATGAAATCAACCATGGATGGAAAACCTGGTACACGGCATGCCAAGTACCAAAGACAAAGGGACGGTGTCTTAGTACTCAGCACCGCTAAATTATGAATTACGTTAGTACCCGCATACTACCACCAACACTTCCCTTTTCTCACGAACCTGCATCCATCCAATGCCATTGGCAGCACCCGATAGGCGCAGTCCCTACGTGGTGGACCGTGATAGGACTAGCCGGCAAGCTGCATCTGGTGCTGCATCTGGTGGTCTGAGATGATACCGGTTGGATGATGCAATGCATGTCTCTCATGTGCATGGCCTTACTAGGCAATGTAGGGAGATGGAAAGATGGGTACCAAGGTAGGCCGTAATTGATTAGCAGTAGACAAACAAAAAATACTATACTCGACGTTGTACTACCTATTCTACGGGTACTAAACAGCCTCTCTCTCTCCGTACATTCATCGTGCTGTACACTCCCACGTCTCTACCAATGATTCAGTAAGTCGTAGTGCTGTAACCTATGCAGCGAGTTCCCACAGACTGCTGCTCTTCTGCCGACTAGCAAGTGTCGGGAGAAATCGTTCCACCAAGCCTATCCCCAATCCTCCTTTATAAGATGCCACAAATGCCGTGATTGTAATAAGAAGGGGTGAGAGAAGAAGAAAAAGAGAAGAAGAAAACAGCTCAAGAAAACTCCCATGTGAAATCCTTCATAGCCGTTAAACGCCCGTTATTGACCCATTTACCCATCCATGTTTGTGTGTGTGTATTTGTTTTTTTACAATTCCATCATCATGCATACCATTATCCCGATGACCCTCTCTCATCAGGTTACTCATTGCTCATGGATTGTAGCTTGTGAAATTATTCCATCTCGGCATTGCCGGCAACCGTTGGGATTCCATCGGTCGCCTCTCCTTCAAAGACTTGGTTGCCCTCATATGTCACACGACGCCAGCCACAGGGCTCGTTGCTGTCCTTGATCCATTCCATGGTAGGGAAGTAATGATCGTTCTTCTTCATTGTAATCACCCAAGGCACCGAGTCAAATGTGACGGCCTTGAGGCGGAAATCTGTAATACAAATTGAGTCAGCTCTAGATCTACTTTGAACAAGATACCAAAAGTGAAAAAAGAGCAGAAGAAGAAATAGAGAAAGGGGGAAATAGAAGTGACTTACATGTGTTGTCGGGGATTTTCCGCGTCGCCGCAATGAATGAATCCAGATCCGGCGTCGACTCGCCATTAACGTGAGTGATGAAGTTGGTTGGAGCAACTCCGTACTGGTATGCTGGGGAGCCGCGGATTCGGCTCGACACATACACCTCGCTGTGAAGCTTGCTGATCTGCTGGCGGACGGCCAGGTGCGGGCGGTGGAAGATGGCTCCGCAAAACGACACAGCATGGTGCGTCTCCATGTCATCGGCGGTAACCGTCGGCAGCTGGAGGTGTAGCTCTTCACAGTTTCGCACAACGACGGCGTCCAGGAACTCGTTCGTATACATCACGTCAAAGTCGGAGATGGTGGTGCAGATTTTGCCATTGAGTGTCAGCACCACATCGCCTTCCAGGAGGGATACCGGCTGGTTCACCCGTTCAAATGCCCTCTTGCTAACCATGAACAGCTGGTGGTGAGACCTGTTCGCCTGTGTAACCTTGTTGATCCATTCGTCCGAGACTCCCATCACGCGCGCCTGCGACATGTGGATAGATCGGAACTCCACCGATAGCATCTGCAACTTCGGTGTCTCTCCCTGCTGGATGGCCGAGACGACTGGTAGCAGAGTGGGCGTGCCCAGTCCCAGATGATACTCCTCGTCTCTCTGAGTGCTCGGGGAACGCTCTCCCAGGTACTGGAGCCAAAGAGCCTGCACGGTGCCGTCTTCCGCAACGAGCACGCCACTACCACACGACGCCCCGAGGTTGCTGTCAATAGTAATGGCATCCACATTGACGGCGCGGTACCGTGGTGCTCCTGAGTTGGCGGGGATGGCAACCGCTGTAATTTCCGTCACGTTGGTGGACCCATGCACGACTCTGCCTATCCTGTTGTAGCCCAAGAAGTACGTCTTGGCGCCCTGAGTGAGGTGCTGGTCGCTGAGGCGGGCGCTCATGACGGGCACATCCACCAAGGCGGGATCATACTTGATGATAGTGTAGTTTTGCAGCGGGTGCAGGAAAACGACCTTGCCCTCGACGATGACGGAGTCGGCAATGGTAACGGTGATGTCGCACAAATCATACGGCACCACAGCTCGCGAAATGAGGACAAGTCCCTTATCAGCATCAATGACAAGGCCCATGCCCCAGCGTCGGTTCTTTGGGAAGCCATCGAGCTTGACGGGCAAAGTGCAGTTGATGTGGACAAAGCTGCGGATCAGGGCCGCGATGCCGGGGTGTGGCATGTGGTCCAGCTCAATGAACGAAGCGGATCGCCGAACAGGGGCCACGGGCGGCAGAGGGTCGCCGAGGTCAGAAAAGTCCCACAAGCCACTGACATCGTTACGAACAGCCAGCTTCATCTTGGCCGACCAGTGTCTGTCAACGTAAATGACGGTTGTGATGAGTGTGTGCAGGTCGCGCAAGTGTTTGTAAGTCACAACCACTCGCGCCTTGTCAGGAATCTGCTTCATGACTTCGATGAAGGTATCCAGATCGGGCACCTTCTTCTGGTCCACAGACTGCACGATGAATCCGTTGTCCGTATTGTCAAAACGGAAAGACCCCGCAGCCTCGCAGATATAGACTCCCTTGACAGCAACACCATAGAGCCTGGCCTGCTGGTACGAGATGTCGTGGAAGCTCGCCCCGGCAACAGTCACAAAACGATCGGGTGTAATCTTGTGAAGATCGCCGACCACGATGTCGACCTCGATGTCCTCCCCTCCGCGCTGCAAGTGAACCTTGATGGTGTCACCCACGCTCGAATCCAAGATATCATCGAGGCGGATGAACTGCGTAATCAGCTCGCCGTTTACTTTGATGAGGACATCGCCCTCCTCGATCTTGCCGTCGGAAGGCCCAGAAGGCAAGACGATTTCGGCAACCAGCATGTTGGTCTCTTCCGGGAAAGCTTGTCGCATCGCCGACTCCCACTCTGGGCTAAGTCCCAACCTGCGGCACTCGTCAAAGGGCTTGAGCAAAAATTGGCACTGGATGTCGCCGCGCGTAATGGGTTTGCCCTGCTGGATGCATTGAAGTGCGCGCAGTGGCCGGTCCAGGGGTAGGAAATAGTCGGTCGAGGCGCCATCAGATCGACCACCAGCCTGGAGCGCAACGGCGCAGCCATCCTTGTTCACAACGGGACTTCCAGAACTTCCACCACTAGCAGCAGCATTGGCCTGGTAGTAGCACGTGTTGAAATCGCTGTATCCATCGCCATACTCGGGCGCATTTCGATCCAGACGACTGATAACACCCGAAAGAATACTCAACTTTTCGCCAGCATCGTTTCCGACAACGCGAATCTCTGTGCCAACTTCATTCCATCGTAGGTCAGCATTTTCCTTCGTTCTATCCACTCCTCTTTCCCCATATGCTGTTCTTCGCAAGACACGCTAGCTCGACATACCTTTTGCCAGGTCAGGGCTCAAAGTGAGCCCATCCACATGCATATACTTGATCGCTTTGGGATCGTATCGCAGGATACCAAAATCGTGAACGGGGTCGCGATATACGGGGTAACAGTCGACCTCCTCGTGGTTGTCAAACACGCAGTGTCCCCAAAACGGGCCAGATCCGACAACGTGGCGATTCGTCAAGATGTAACTATATAGCAAGAGCAAGTAACACGTCAGCATAATGTACCAACCCAATTTTCCGATTGGTATTGATTCATTGCCCATCTAGCTGACGGGAGAGGGGGCAGGTGGAAAACACAACAGCAGCAGCACAACATAGCACATACCCTCTCTCTGAATCGACGACAAAGCCGGTGGCTTCGCTCGTCAATGCAGGATCCGTATCAAAAGAGCACGTCTGGCAGAATCGAATGGCGACCACGTTGCGAACGACCTTTTGGATCGTGTCCTGCCACTCGCCGAAGCTGCCGGGAGTACCGAGGTAGGCGTGCGGGTGCAAGTCGCTAGCTGCGTCAGAGCCTTCCTCATAGCTTATCTCGTCAACTGTGATGTCGGGAATCGCCGTTTCCATTTCCAGGTCGTGTCTGTTGCTACCGTTGAGCGGCCTCTTGGCAGGAGGGCTCGCCTGGGCCGACTCGGGTGCTTTTCTCTTGCCCCCCGCCGATGTCGTTGTGCCGTTCATTTTTATTGATGTTGATAGTCCTTTGTTCGATTTGTTTTGTTTCTACCCCTGAGGCTAATACGGGGCTTGCCGTGCAGCTTGGGGGTGCGGAGAGAAGGGGGTTGGTCTCGTCCCTTGATGGGTAGGTATACAGGTATATATGTCGTTTTTTCAGCCTCTTGCTCGCCCTTGAACTACTCCGTTGTTCAGAGAAGCCGCGTTTTCAGCAGTACAGTCGCAACAGAAAGTCGAATAGTATCCCGGCTGAAACAAGGCGCTCGAATCGGCACCGGTGTCGTCTTATACTCGTCGAGGCAACAGGCGCCGTATCGCGCATTGACTATCAGCGCTGGACCGCGGGGTGGCAGCGATTGACGGGCTCGCGGCGTGTCGCGTAGGGTAGCAGCGCATCAAAGACGCGGGCAGAGGCACTGGAGCGCGTGATGTTGAACGCGGATGAAGGAGAGGCAAAGCGGCAGCGTAAAAGATGGTGGTGGATGGAACAATTGGCAGCAAAGCAGCAGCCCATGTGATGCCGGTCCTTGGGCAAAACGGTTCCTTCCTTGTATGCAGCCTTTTGGAGTCGTGGAGAAAAAAAAAAGGTGGATCAGCAGGCAGGCTGTAGCGGGTACGTACTTGTACCTCAGGTACCGCATCAGCGCAAAGAGGTACCAACACTAAAACCACTGACGGTAACCGCAAAGAGACTCCAGGGCCACTCACCGGCCTATCGTGTGAATAGCCGCCTGGAAGAAGCCGCTAGACTGGTGTCTGCGATCCATTTATTACGCAGTCATTCCACAGCTGCCCCTTGTCGTGTCTTTGGCTGGTATGGCCTTGTATCTGCACTCCAGGTTGGACTAGACGTGATTGCAGTTTAGCAAGGTACATACATGTTCGTACAGTATGACAGAAGGGGCGAAAAAGCAAAGGCAAGAAAACTGCAAAACCCAGTTCCAGTTCCAGGGTAGGCCTACCATCCACCCAGCTCAACACCAACATCCATCAACACCCCCCTTCACAAATTCTATGCTTGTATTACATCGGACAACCAACCAGGATAAGCAGATTTCATTAATCAGTCCAAAGCTCCAGTTGCTTCACACCCTCTTTTTCACCTCCCTCCGGCATCTCCATCCCAACCAAACAAGCGCCCCCCAGCAATACCGCCGCTATGTGTACTCTATCGTTGTCATTCATTGTTAGCCTCCTCCTAGACTATTCCTCTCCCTTTTGGCTCCCTTTTATCACCGGTGATACAGAGTCCTCGCACGTACTTGTACATGAACCACGCTTCACCTTGTTCTTGAATAGCCTACAAACCCCTGGGGATTGCTGCATCGGATTCCCACATGTCGTCACATCCCAGCAAACGCCCTCACACACACCTTAAAAAATCCCCCCAACTGCAAGCTGTCTCCGCCCTGTCCGCCCTTGGAGACGGGTCACAACACCAGGCCTGCATATCGCCTAAGAAGACCCAGCCGGGATATTATTCTTGGAACACGGCCCAGTGCCTCAAAAGCTCGTATGCACGCAATCGGCAGCTTAATCACCAGTCCGACCTGCTGATCTGCGGAAAAGGGTGGGAGATCTTCACTTACATGCATATAACTCACGACACACGACTACCACCATGCATGTACAGTACATAACACTAGCAGCGTCGCATTCACTAAGTGACCGTGTGATGATGATACCCCGACTTTGATGTTTCTGACAAAGACAACGTCTCAAGCGTTGTGTGTGATAGCTAGCAAGTACTCATGCTCCGCCGAGCTCATTTGTCGTATCTCATCCATCCGCAGCTTGTTCCAGTCCTAACAAGTAATATGCTCACATAAGTTCCGTAGCATGCCAACGTCAACAGCAAATCGGCCCCTCTTCCCGGGTCGTGCACAGCCATGATCCATCTTGATCGACCGTGATCTGAGGATATGAATAGGCATTCCTCAAACACCGAATTTATCTTCTCTCTTCACGCGGACAGGGCCAGCCGTCGCCTCAGCCTTGACCTTGGGCCGCTTCTTGGCTCGTCCAGGATGCTCGCCCTCTCCAATATGCACGCCCTCAATATCTAGATAAAAACCATCGTATCATGTCAGCAAAATCTTTTTCCTTGTCCTCTTCGCCTGCAATCATGGTCATACCTTCCACAGTACGTTTCTTCACGAATTTCTGCTTGACGTCAGAAAAGTCGTCGTCGAGATCTTCGTCGCCCGGGCCTGCCGCCCCGGCCAAGGCCTTCTTGCGAGCTAGATAATCCCAAAAACCATTAGCATCCAATCCCAAGGCATCGCCATGAAAGTCCATAGAAAGAGTCATCACTCACGAGGGCCCCTCTTCCTCGGCTTGGCAGGGATAACAAGAGATCCCTCGCCACTGTTCTCCCGAGCCTCAAAGTCATTGATTTGCTTATTTATTTTAGTCCACATGTTTTGCAGACTTTTGACAGTTCGGCCGGGAATATTAATCTTCTCCCATTTGATTCCACGGCCATCTCCCTTGAGTTGCGCAACGATTCGAAGCAAGAACTGGAACGGTAAATATGATAGGCCCGTTAGTTATTTCAAATGTGCGTCGCATAATGTGAGACGAAATGACTGCTGAGTTTGAGTGACTCCCATACCTTGGCGTCTTCTGTCCATGCTGAAGAGCCTTTCTCCAGCTGACCGCAGTCCATGTTCACCGAGTTGCTGTTCGTGGGCTTAGGACTTGGACTTAGAGGTTATGATCGTGCGTATGTTCAGCGTAGATTTACAGCTGCGATGATGTGTGAAGATGAAACGGATGAGATATTATACATTCGTAAAGGTCATATATAAGTTGTCCTAGGAGAATCTGATCTGCCAAGATATATCTGACTGGAAGGTGAAGTGAATTAACATGTCGCTAAGTAAATAAGCAGCTCAGAACCAATTCACTCTTCAGTCACAGCTTAAGTAAGGGCCGGGCTCGACCTAGCCATAAAACACAAACGGGGATAAAGTGAAGTGAAATATTTTTGAAAAGACATGGCCAAGGCCCTTGCCATGGATTCTCATGAAGCAAACACAAAGGCCCACTATCGCAACATAGAATGACGTCCGTTTTATTAGACTTACCCATCTGCAAACGCAAACCTTCTACTATACACGTATACCCGGCAGACACCCCAAGCGGCTCAAGTCCGTAGCTGCTCCGAAACCAAAGAGATCCTCTAACCATCTAGTACCGTATCCAGCGATAATCACACATGTCCCTCACCCATGAAAACGAAAAAAAAGAAGAAGTACTTAAAGCAAAAGGGGACGAAGAAAAAACCCTCCCCGTGCTGAGCAACCCACATATATGCTTCAGCCAATGACATGGGTATCGAAACCGCTACCGGGAGAAACCGGATCAAGCAAATATCATATCATAAACATGAAAGTTCTGGCCGCCGCGTGTTGCTCGTTGATATCTACCACCCAAACGCCTTCGCAAAGTATGAAACAAGAAAAAGCCAAGCTCGTCGTATCGTGTTCATGTCGTTACTTCATCTTCTCTCTGAACGCCATGAATTCTCTAAATCGCAATTCGTGCTCTTCACAAGCTGCCTGCCATCTTTGGCGGACTCCGTTATCCTGCTCCAGCCAGTTGTGATACTCTAGGACATCAGAATCGCCTCGGGCACCCAGAAATGAATAGCCTTTTGATCCTCTTGCTTGTGAAATGTTGGAATTTCGCGTGGCAAAATGGTCAACCACCTGTGAGTTAAAGAGATCCCAGCGGCGTAGGTAGCTTTCAAATTCCTCAAGGTATTTGGTCCATGACGCAACGTTGGGCTTGATACCTTCAACTGCAACCGTAGGCGGAAGCTTGGGCGCGATCGGGGCCTCGGGGAATACTAGCGGATGAGCGTGAGGAACATCGATGTGAAGTTCGGCTGATGCCTGGCTCTCAAAAGGCAAATTATCCTTCAGTTCCGTGAACGACTTAAGTCCGGCCTTAGGCGGGGCAAATGGTGCCACATTCTTCAGGTCCTCAAATGTCGCTCGAAACTCTTCGCTATCTTCAGACCCCTTAAAGGTAACCGGAATTTCTTTCCTTTCTTCAGGCTGCTCATACATTTGGCCTAGGCCCGTGACATTTCCAGGTCGCCACTCCGGTCGCGATGGTTCAACAGGAATGTTCCTGGCAACCACGGGATGCGGCTGAACTGGGGGTTGAGACTGGGACCGTGACTGAGGCGCAGGAGGAACCACAGAGGGAGCCGCAGCCGAAGCGGCAGTTGATGCCACCGTAGGAGTAGTCGGGACAAGAGGAGGCGGAGTAGGAATACGAGAGCGCGAAGGGGAGGTATTTGATGGCGGGTCAATATCCATCGCCTGGGGACTGTCAACAGTTGCAGCCTTTGGGTCAGTCTTGCGGCCGGTCCATTTATATAGGTCATCTTCGCTGCTATCATCCACAATGGCGGCATTGCCGGTCATGGGCTTTGTAGTTCTTGTTTTCCTCGTGTTTGCTCTACCCAGTCGCGTGGGTGAACCCGATGAGTTGGGAGTTGCAGGCCGAGGAACAAAAGTCTGAGGCCCAAATTTGGTACTCCAGCTTTCTGCGTCGAAACCTGTTGCATTTGGGGGAACTTGGGCTTCAATATCGGGCACGTTTGCGCTGGGAACCGGCCGACGTTTAATAGGCGAGCGACGACCAGACTTACTGGTTGATTGGGACCGGCTCTGAGGAATAGGACCGTAATTGCCACTCCCAGCACTGAATTGCCAAGTAGCAGAAGACTCATCTTGAACGAAAGTCGTATTAATTCCATCAGCGCTGTTACTCTTTCTAAATCGAGATGTTCCCGGAGAGTCAGGGGCAAAGGCGTCATCGTCTAGGTTGAAGGTGAAGCTAGTTGGTGATTCCTCGTTAGCACTCAATTTCTCTTCATCAAGGGGCTTATGGTTGTGATGGGTGTTCTGATGTGGTTTGGTTTTCAACGCCGAAACAGGAGCATCTCGATTCGTAATCAGACATTCCAAGATGCGGTACTGTTTCTGTTCGAAAGGAGAGAGGCTGTGAAGTGTACTATGTGCTCCACTGGGGACACTTGGTGTATTATCCGTGCCAACTTCGGCAGCATTCTTATTTTTTGGTGATGTACTCAATTTGGGGATAGTAGCAAAATTCTTCTTGCGACGGGATGGCTTGTCTTTTTGGGGCGTTGCATACATTGAAGGGTCGTTAACCGGGGTCTGAGGTTTGTTGAAAGCTGAAATGGTAATGTCAGCCATGGTTTTAGACCTGATGGCGGTCAAACGGATCACTCACGCGTGTGGAAAGATGACTGGGTTGCATCATCAGTTGCAGAAAATTCGCCTGTCTGGTTTGCCGTGAATATATTGCCATTTGGTGCGGTTGCAGCCGTAGCAGTAGCGGCCTCTGCTCGAGCTTTGAACGATGCAGCAGGCCGGGAACTTGGGGCAACAGGCACGACCCGAGGTCTTCCATCTGCTCCCGTCTCATCTCGCCTTCTCTGGGCCCCATCTCTAGTTTCTTTCCGGGGCATACTGGAGCTACGACGCTTGGGTGTTGAAGCCGGTGGCTCAGGTGGCTCGTTGGTGCCTTTTGCCCGATTCAATGGAACGCTGTCAAAAGGATCAATCTTCTCGCCTCCACTCTTGGTGTATGGAGAGCTCTGTCGAGGATCATGGAAACTCTCTTCACTACGGTTCTTTTCTCTGAACTGGGCGAAAATATCTGGTACGGGCACCGACTCTGGCACCGGCTCTGGCGCGGGCTCTGGAGCGGGCTCTGACCGCTCAGTGTTGACGCGAGAGGAGTAATTGTTGTTGGTGACTGGAGGCTCATCGCCGGGAGTGTTTGACCGCGGATGGTAGCCAGTCCTCTTGGCCCCGAAAGATGCTTCTGCCCTCTTTTTTGCAGATTCGGTTCGGGGAGGGGGCGGTGGAGGAGGAGCACGGCGATCTTGCTGTCCGCTTTTGGCACCGCCTTTCCGCATGCTTTCGAAAGCTCGAGCAGCCGTTGCCGCCGGCGGATGTTTAGCGGTTGGTGGCACACCAGCAGAGAACCTCTCGTTCCATCTCTGTGCCCCCGAAGGAGTTGTTCGTGGCGGGTTCCGCCGCGGTGGCACAGGAAACTGCTGGCTAACATTCTGCCATGGATTTCCTCTCACTCCAGAAGCCGCAGGATATCGACTGGCAGACCGCATTAAGGCAGCATCGTACTTGGCCTTGGCGTCGGCATCGCTAAGGACTTCGTGGGCAGCTTGGATGATCTGAAACTGTGAGTTTACTTCTTGTTCTCGGCCAGGATTGCGATCAGGATGGTATTTCAAAGCTGGTCTCAGTAATTAGAAACTGTGCTGATGAAGAAATTGTGTCAAGTCGATTGGTTTCGTTACACACCTAGCTTCCGGAACTGCTTCTTGATTTCCGCGACATCTGCGGTTGGGGTTAGCCCCAAGTCAGCATAATAGTCTCGCTGGGGTGCCATCGCAACGCCGTAGTTGCAGTGTCTTTCCGGCTCCCAGCTCTCAAGCGGGGTGTATTCCTATGTTGAGGCCCGGTACCGCAATAACCATATCAAAGTGCTCTCGAAAATCGCTACACAAAGCTGCACTCTCGCGGGGATTCGCCAATGATACCTTGGGTAGAAGTTCAATCGAACTCAAGGTGCGGTGTGATGAGGACGACAGCGGATATAATTTTGGATTTGATAGAGGTATGAAGTCGGTGGCGAAGGGTGTATAGTCTTGCAGATATGTACGGAGTAGTCGCTTGAAGATTCGTTGGACGCTGCGAATGGATGCTAGGCGCCCAGCTGTTAGCGAGAGGAATTAAAGTGCATGAGGGCACAATCAAGCAAACGAATGAGGCTGCTACAATTGAACGAGGCAGCAGGGGACAGAGTGTGAGAAAGAACAAAAGAAGAGAGGGAGAGAGAGCCCGACTATTTATCTTGACAAGGGCCACAGGGCTGCCAGCCAGTGCCAGCTGTCAGCCTGATGCTGATGCTGATGCGCCTGTCAACAAAGAGAAATAGTCGCTCACCAAATTGCGAGCTCGTCACAGAAGAAAAAGAAAGAAAACAACGGGGTCGCTGAAGATAGAGAAGCAAAAGAACGAGAGTGCAATCTTGCACAGTCCTTGATCGCAAGAATCTTGCCTCCAGACAAGATGCTGAAGAACTGGTGTAGATCAAGGGATAGTAGAATGCAGATTACCCACCTTAAATGACGCCAGTACTTGCGATTCCCTCAGCGAAAGACTTGCCGCACGAAAGAGGGAGAGATTCGCGATCCTAGGGCCAAAGGGCGCTTTGAAACAACAAATAAAGTACGAAAAGAAAGTGCCCCAAACGTGCGATGGATGCGATATCTTGGGCACTAAGCTAGCAACGAAAACGCGCTTGCATACAACTTTCAAGGTTCTCGTCGCGATGCGCGTGGATTTGGGGAGAGACAAGGATAAAATGCTAGCCAAGGCAAAGTAAAACAAACCGCCGTAAACAAGGCAGAGAACGAGAGGCTGAAGCGAAGAGCTCTGACGCAAGCTGTGGTTTTTTTCGGCTTTGTTTAATACATGTGCCTGGCCTGGTCCCCGCGGTGACGCAGCCAGCTGTTGGATTATAGCACCAGGACAGAAGCGCTGTGGCTGAGCGGCGCCCGAGCCTCGTCCAGGGTCTGATCTTGTCATGCCCCGCCAAAGCTCAACATGCTTTGCCGCTGATTGTCACGAGCAAGCCTCCATATGTGTGTCTAGTGCCTTGGGAAGTACATCTATCCAATAGCTACTTTATACATACTGGATTCTGCGTATTACGTTTTACCGATCAATTGGTATGTATTAGGAACCTAGAAAATGCTAACAGGCACTTTTGATGTCAAGCGGCTGACCCTTGTTCCCACGTGAAGCCAAACGCGGGGCTCATTCACATGTGCCAGATTCATCATCAGTCGATTGTCGAGGCCTCCCGGCGATTATTTCCAGACCGTGGCTTACCGTTCTTCACCTATATTCCGACTGGCTTTGGCTTCCGCTAAGAAGCGCCTTCATCTGTACTGACATCTCACCATACCTTATACTAGGCTCTACGGAGTATGCATAATAGTTTTCCATTGCTTATTGTGTATTTAGTCGGTTTGCTCCATCGGACTGTCGGTGTCTTGTCCCCTAGAAGTTCTCTCTCGGCGACAAAGCCGATGCAAACACGACTCTCCCGATGTTTGAGTTATCAATTCTATACCTAATGGTACCAAGTAGGCACAAATAGCCCACCTGACAATAAGTATTCCATTGTTTTCAAGGGATTTACTTATCTTGATAGCATCCCACCTTGCGTGTTAGACACACAAACTATTACGCACATTGTAACCATTCTCACACTGGCTTCGACCAGGCATCTTGAAGCAATCAAATATCCTACACTACCTCCATCTACATAATTTAAAAACGCCAGTGCTTGCAAAGCCTCACCATAACCATGCATCCGTAGAAAATAAAAATATTACCCCCCGACCGAAATCACCATGCTGTTTCTGCGCGCCTTTCCTCCGTCACAGCTCCTTCAAGAAGATCCCTGAGCAGCCTTCTCCGCCGCAATTTTGGCTTCCATTTTCCGTCTCGCCGCCAGGATCATCTCATCCCTTCGCCGCTGCAAAGCACTCTGTCGTTCGTCACGGTTGGAGCTCCAGCCCTTGCCCTTCTTGTCCTCCTCGACCTCATTCTTCTCTTCCGTAGCAGTATCGTCGCTAATCTTGCTCTTGAGGTTGTAGCGTGTAATCAGGTCAGGCTGAGATGGCTTCTCGGCCTGCTTCGCCGCAGGGCCCGGGCTTCCACTGGGAGGAGTTTGGTTTCGAGGAGGAGGTGGTTGAAACGTAACAGGCGGCTATTGTCGATGATACTCATGTTAGCTTTGCCGCCAATTTAAGAGTCATAGAAACGCAGGTATTTGTGAAACAAAGGGGGCACAAGTCATACCGTTTCCAATCGGCCGGACAGAATCCGCTCCGTGGTGCTCTGAATGTTGCCACCGTTTCGTTGGAGATCCCACAGAATGCTCCGGCGCTCGACCTGTGGAAACATCTGCTGTATCCTCTGTACTGCCACCTCTCTAGATCTGAATATCTGCTCTGCTGTCCTCGCCGGCGGCCGTTCGGGGCGCGGCCCCGAGAAGAAGAGGTACCGTACTATCAGGCCCGAGACCAGCAAGACAATGGCAAAGAATGGCAACGAGATTTGTTCGTCCGACATGATGTCTGTTTGAGGCCGCGACGGCGGTGCCACTCAACTGGGAAATCTCGAGAGAATGGGAGATGGTGGGATTCAGGCGGAACGAGGAGCCGTCGGTGAGGCGTGAAGCTGGGGCCAGAGCCAGCAATGTCGAAGAAGCTTCAAGAATGCTGCCAGAATGAAAGCTGAAAGAGGACAAGAACCAACAATGCGTCCGTCGCCAGATGAACAGTATCCTTTGCTCCTGGGCCAGCCGATTCTTAGCCCATGTTCGGGTAGGCACTAGAGGTCTTCATGTGTCGGAGTTTAAGGTAGACACGCATAGCAGGTTACCTGTACTCTGGACTCGAATGAGGTAATACGCCGCGAAGTCATGGTGGAACCTCGGCTAATTCTGGAGGAGCCTAATTATCTCGAAATGCTGAGTAAGCAGGATATATGAGATGCAAACGGGAACGACCTCACGCGACTAAAGCAAAAGAACAAAAGAAAAAGAAAGAGGAAAAGCAAAAGGAAAGAAAAATCGAAAGGAAAAAGAAAATTCACAGCAGAAGAACCTCAACTCAACCGAGTCATAAAAGGCAGCACATGAAATATTCACAAAAGATGCGGAAGCTCATAAGCCAGGTTAAACACATTGGCCGGCAGCACTCTCGTTCTGGCCGGCCATATCTCGTATGATTCATAAATGCAACCCATGTTAACAATCGCAAGCTAAGAGTATCGGCGTGCCGTTGAAAACCGACTCTGCATTCCAGGACCGTCATGATACCGAACCCATTCCTTTAAAAGCAATAATAATTCCTCGATCCTTGTCCTTGTGGCTGAAACGCCAAAACGATGAAGCAGCTCGACCAAGCCTCCATGTCCCTAATCAGCAAGCAATCCTTCTCCGGGCTAAAGGGAGCATCCCCTAATTCACTCCTATCAGATTCTTATGACAGAACCGGCGGTGGCTGTCCTAGAGACGTATCCAAATCTCCGTAGTGCAAAGTGAACTCTCGCTATGTAGAGGGTCAGTTTCTCAAGGACGTTGATGATGGGGAATAGGGAACACCACTTGTCCACTTACGCGATCCTTACGCCAGGTGACAGTATCCCAGACGATATAGTATCCTCGCTCGTGATTCGGACTCAAGATCTGAGGAGTCATGTGCTCGTCCTTTGTTAGCCAGACCTGCAGTTTTTTATGCCATCGCCAGTTCCGAGAGTGGCTTCCAACACGTTAGTTGTGTGTCCAAGATGAGAAGAGTAATTGCAGGTTTGCCGTTCAACTCACAGTTCTACTGCGGCCATCTGCTGCTTGGCATCCAAAGGACAGCTATAAAAGATCCAAAACAACGTTTCTTCGTTGAAACTTTGTATCTTGGTGTCTATCGGCTGCACATTCGTCACGCTGTAGCAGTCAGGCAATCTGAATTTGCTCGTGTTCACCGTAGGCTTCGGAGGAGTATCGTCCAGTAATGAGTACATTTGAGTTGAGATCAGCCTAGAGTTGGTATAATTAGTAAACGCCTCTCTTGCTCATGACCAGCCGCAAGATAAAATGTCATCTTCTGCTCATTACTTACTCTGGGGAACTTAAATCGAGACCGATGGTGTTGGGATCCATTCCTATGATCATAGCATGGTAGTCGGGATAGTTGTTCATCAGCGTCCTAAGCCCTTTGATGCCCCATTTATCAACCGCAGACATGCCTGCCAAAGGATCTACAACCTCTGCAGCCTGGCTATCTTTGCGCTCGGTTGGTCTTCCATTCGGACCTTCACTTCCAATCACACCAAGAGATCCTCGTCCTTCGGCAGATGGCGAGGCTACTTCTGATGCCTTGCCCGAATCGTCTTCTCGAAACACGGTCGATTTCTGCTTGCCATCATGCTGCTGCTGTTGCGGTTGTTGCTGCTGTTGTCTACCAGGGCCTGCGATGTGTTAAATTGGCTTTGGCCTGGATGATTAATGGGAGAAGAGGCAATATTACCGTTTGGCGTGCCGATAGCAGGCGGTGATCGCACTTCGTTTGCCCGGTTTGTCGCTGTGAGAGCGTTCAGCAAGCCGTTCCCCCCGTTGTTTGGCATTGGCCCTGAAGGACCAGGGTTCTGCGGATTAAAGCCCAGAGCTGACATCAAGTTGGCACCACGCTCTGAGCCTATCTCGCCATTGGATGCCCGATTTAACGGAGGGAAGTCGTCGACGCTGTTCGGCTGGACTTGCGTTGGTTGGGCTCCGAATCGAAAAGGACCCTGATTTGACTGCATCCGCGAGGACGGAGGTCCAAAGAGATCATCCTGTCCACCCTGTTGGGAAGGCCCCGGTGCAGGTTGATTCCGCTGGATTGGCCCGCTGATTGTTCTGGAGCCCGCCGTAGACCACATAGATCCTTGGGCCGTGCTGGGAAGCTGGGAGTTGTTCGATAGAGACGGGAATTCCCTGTCAGCAATGGTTAGTGCCTGTGACAAAAGAGAACGATTTTGAACATCCTGTTCAGTGTGCCCGAAGGGTACAGAATATTGCGGTGATGGATTTGCTGGAGCCAAGCTTGAGCTTGAGGAGCCCTTGACAACGTCGGAGTATGCCAGACCAGGCATGGAGTGCGAAACGGGCCCCATGTTTGACGATTCCCCAGACTTGTTGACCAGCTTGTGTTTCTTCTGCGTATAGCGGATCATGATGGCACATGACAGTTGGGTAGGTCGTAGGGAGGATGTGTGGTGAGGAAAGAGTGAAAGGGGGAGAGAGGAATGGACAAAGAATCAACAGAAGTGAGGTGAATGGAAAGAACGTACGACAGGTCGAGCGGCGTTGCAGGTTGTGACCCGCTCAAGCTCTGCGCAAAGCTGACGTTGCCGCCCAGCTGGCGAGCTTGGTTTTGAAACGCCGCGCCTCCCATGGGCACAGCTGCGTTGAATGCCCAGCCTGAAGCATTGTTTGCTATATCGACGGCATCGAGCCAGCTGTCAGCACTTGGCCACCTGATCACCACAGAAACAAGAATATTCAAGCAAAACAACCGGCATCCCAAACCCCAACCCGACATATTACACAAGTAAAGTACCTAATTTACCATTTGGTAACCGAGTTGACACCGACCGGCCTTGCTGTGGTTGCTGCTGGTTTCCAAAGGCGCCTGGCATCCCCCGTAGAGACTGCGGCACCGCTCCTATCGAGAACATGAAGTCATTAGCTTCTAGTTCCTAAAGACCCATCCGTGGTGCTGATGTATAAAGGATTCGAGCTCGCTCCTCAAGACTCCCATCTAAACATGACCTCCCGAATCAGAGGTAATGCTCGGATGAGAGCCAGCGGTCGCATCCAACTTGGCCGTTTGTAGGTGGGGCATTGACAATGAGCACCGAGCCCATATCCGTCTCTCCCACAGTCGGACGGGAAGAGCTGTATGTAGCATCGTTTCCCCTCCTCTGGAGCATCAGAGCAATGCTTCGTCAATGCCCCCGTCCCAACTCGATCGGATGTCGCAGCGAATGTCGGCACGAGCTCTTAAGAAGTGGTTGAAGTTGTCGAAGGGGCCATCCGGAACTTGATCATACCTGGTCGATTCATGATTGGATGAGGCCGCGCAAAGGCACTGGTTCGAGGCTTCGGATATGGTGTCGCGAATATATCCGTATTGCGTACCGAGGCTCAATTCGCTCGTTGCTGGTCGTCCCGACTGTCTATCGTCGCCTTGAATCTTTTTTATCTGGCGTCGTCCAAGAAGGCTGGGCTCTGGCGCGGAGCATGCTGGCCGGATTCAAGTGGGTCCGCGCCGAAATCTGCCTGGGCAGCCAATCACACTTGGCCAAACCGAGTACGAGGCTGGCCGATGACAATTTCCCTTCCCTTGAAGAAAGTGATGGAATTCAATAACAGAATAGAGCGCAGTTACAAGAATCTACAAAAACCAAGAACAAAGGACTCGGCGTAGAGCGTTGAAAATAGGCAGAGTGTATAGAGAATTGAACACGTCAAGGCAGTAAGTCTAGGTATGTGGGCTTTCTTTGTGCTCAGTCAGAAGCCAAGCTCTCTAATCTTGAGTCGCCCCCCGATTAATTCAACACTTTTCTAAAATCCGACTCAAAGTCTATGTCTTTCACCCCCCTACCAATCAAGATGATTTTGCCTTCCGTCGAAGAAATGTCCGCGCCATTGGGGGCATCGATGAGCTCGAATATCTCCCTTACCCCCTGCAATAGCTTCACATCACCGTTGATAAAAGCGAGGCGGCCTTTTGATCGGTGAATTTCAAATTCCACGGCACTCTCCGCACCCAGCAGCTTGTGATCCCATAGAACCGCTCGTAGCCATCGGTCGACATCCTCCAGCTGCTCAGGGCGAAGACGCGGGACGGGAATGGAAACAGTTGATATCGTCTGTAGAATTGGTCAGCCGCATTTCAATACTTACTTTGCGCCAAGCGCTTCTTCCTTCCTTTCTCCTTATGATGTCGACACTCACAGGATCCAGATGGCTATGGCCTTTGCTCTTAGCCTCGGCCACGTTGAACTGATCGTATGCATGAAGATCCAGAAGGAATCCCTCAAGCTGAGGAACGACGCTCTTTTCCGTCACGTGTATCCTGGCGGCCCCGTTGATAGACTCAATGCGTTCCCTGACTATCTTCAGATCCTCCTCGCTTACCAAGTCGGCTTTGTTCAGGACAATGACATCGGCATGTGAAATTTGCACGTGGGCGGTCGTCATCAAAGGGCCGTAATGGTCATGCTCGTTGTGGTCCTCGATCTTGCCCTTGGGGTCGTCAAGGCTGTGTAGAATATTCTTTGCGTCCACTAGAGTCACCACTCCATCAAGATAGATTGTGCTGCCAAGGCCATCGTCGACCCAGAAGAGAGGTGCAATATTGCCGGGATCCGCTAACCCAGTTGTTTCGAGCAAAATGTAGTCAAAAGCTCCCTTCTTTTCCATCAAGCTCTCAATCGCATTAACGCCGGTATCTCTAGTTGGTGTTAGCATCTCAGACATGAGATCTCATAACGGAGTTGCACTACTTGACAGAACAGCATAGGCAGCCATTTCCAACTTCAAGCCATTCCTCTACCCTGTTGTCGCCCTGGCTGACTGTGAGAGATTTCTCAATGTCCACAGCTATTTAGACGGCTGACTGTTAGAAATCTCGCCGGAATATTGGGGTATATTAAGTAGTTTCATACAATCACCAAACTCTTTTAGTTTTGGACAAGATTAGTACTGATACCTATACACAGAGGCGATCGACAACGAGTAACATCACTCACCATTCATGATGACGGCAATCTTTTTCCCATGCTGAGCCGTAAGTATGTAATTCAATAATGTCGTCTTTCCAGCGCCGAGGTATCCTGTTTTATCCCGTTAGTAGTGTTCTAGCTTCTTCGTCTTCAAGTGTGGCATCACCTGTAACAATAGTAATGGGCACTTTTATACTTGGTCCCTCTTCTGAGTCCTGAATCTCACCACCAACCTCGATCAGATCTGGAGGGGCATCGTCGTCGAAATTCATCCTGTACAGCCAAAGCAAAGGTAACAACGATCCAGGCGTGCTAAAAACCAACCAGTACCAAACAATTAAGCTACACAGTACTGGATGAATGTCTAAAACGAGATATGAATAAGAAGCGTCTGATATAGTCAAGGTCAAGATTGTATGATTCAGCAGAATAGGCTCGGTTACATAAGGCACTATCAAGCCCAGTATGCACGATGATGGCACGCCCTTCTGGATTCACGCTTGATTGCCCGCAGAAGCCGCGCCCCGCTAGGCTTCTCTATACCTGATTGAGCCAAGTCCATAGCCATATGCGTCTACAAAGCTCAAGAGGGTGCTTATGCATCTAAGCCATATGCCATCTAGCTCTAGCCACACCCAATTGGCTGGATAGCTAGCCAGGCTGTCAACAGCATCGCGACTGGACGAGATCAGATCTCTCCCTCCCTCTATTCTGTATTTTCTCTCTCCTTTTGCCTTTTCCCGAGACCAAAGAACCGCGCTGCACTTCCAAATCATGTCTCTGGCGCCGAGCTCCCCTCGTCTGCCCAGCCCCCCGCCGCCAGCAGAAATCCAGATAGGGCCAAACTCCCCCTCGGGAGGTCCTGCGGCGACTCTGGCGACCACCGAGATGGAACAGTCGCATCTGGATGCCAGTTCCTCTCGGCGGATACACCCCGGGACAAAGGCTGCAGATATGGCGGCTGGCCCTCCATTGGTGCCACTGAGCGAGGTATGACTAGCCCCTCTCCCCTTCACAAGAGCTTTGAAATAGAACTTCAAGGGCTAACATGAAGACGAATTCTTGGCATCCAACCAGCTAGATTCACCATTCCAACTCCAAGAGCATCTCGCTGCTTTACACTATCACAGCACTGCCTCCGGCACGCAGCCACTAACTCGCGCCTCAGCCCTTCAGCTCGCTCAGCCTCCCCCTGGTATCGACCGCACGCTCTGGCTCTACGAGCTTTGCCGCTTCCTCATCTCGCAGTGCAACTCTCTCATCGTTGGCTTCCTCTTCGACACGCCGCCATGCAGCGCCAGCACATGTCCCGAGATGCGCGCGTCGGAATGGCAGTTCCTATGCGCCGTGCACGAGCAACCTAAGAGCTGCTGTGCCATTGACTACTGCTGCCATACCCTCGACTGGGCCGCCAACGTGGTCTCGGACCAAAAGATCTTCCCCAGCCGCTTCGTCGTGGTCAACGATATTCATAGCAAGAATGTTGGCGTCAAGAGCTTGGTCAACGTCTTCCGTCGGCTGCACCGCATCTTTGCGCACGCCTGGTTCCAACATCGCAGCGTCTTCTGGGCCGTCGAAGGGCAGACCGGGCTCTATGTCTTCTTCAAGACCGTGTGCGACCTGTATGACCTGCTACCGGCTGAAAACTACAAACTGCCCCCGGAAGCAGAAGGCCTCGAGGCGCCACCAGAGTTCGATGTCATGGCCAACAGAGCTCCTCCGCCTCAGATCTTAAAGCCCCAGGCTTCCCAACCTAGCGGAGGCGAGCTCGAGGACGATGGCTCGCACGGGTCGGTCAACCGCACAAACACTCGCAGGCACATCAGGAGCAGCCCATCCACCGGAAGCTCTGTAACAACCGTCATGGAGGCGGAGGAAGAAGATGCCGATGGGGTTTCTCGCAGACTGAGAAACATGCACTTGGCAGCCCCCGACGTCTTGGAAGAGGAACCTGAAGTCGCCGAAGTCCCCGTCATCGTCGAGCAATCAGTAATCTCCGGTCCACCGCCTCCCCTCTTTCTACCGGTCTCTGACCCCGGGCAGGACGAAGCAGGCACCGTATCTGACTTGTCAGATGTTAGCCAACAAACAGGGGTATCGGAAAGCATTGTGGAGATTACAGATGATGACGTTACTAGCGTTATTGACACCTCTGATGCACATAATGCCACTGAGCAGGAGGAAGAGACGACAGCTGCAGCAGCAGATGGTGATGCGCCCGATGCGAAGGAATCCCCAGATGCATCCGAGAAACCATCCACAGCTGAGCATGCCGCTGAACCCTCAGGAGAGGAAACAGCAGCACAAGATCAACAGCCCACTACAACAGAGACAGCGCCTGTAGCGGACGAAGGAAAAGAAGAGGCCCAAGGTGATGAAAAGTAGACCTCTTCCGCTGTTTCTCTTCTTTTGGATCAAAGATGGGGTTTAATGTTTAGGCCTGGATAGCCAGCCGTCTTGATATTCTACGGTGAACTTTGTAATAAATGTTGTCATGGGGGGGAGGGAAGTGCATTTGTATAGCGTCGAATCATGAAAATCGCACGATTACGGGGACAGCGCGCACAAAAGAATGCGCCTTACCAGCAATAATACATATATATATACACATCCATAAAAGAAAAAGGAAAAAGAAATGTATTATACGTATATGAAAAGGACACCAGATTGCGTTTAAGCGTACATATGTCCATATGAAAAATATTCCCAACCGCTCTTCGCTATACCACCTAGTAACACACACTTCTCAAAAGCAATGCCGCAATAAATCTCTCGCCATGTGCTGTTTGTCCAGAGGAACTCCCATCCCTTTTCCCATCCCGGGACGGGCCAGTTGATATCAAGTTGAGAAATTTCAAATCCCGCCCTCATTGTCCAACGCGCCGTCCTTTGGTGCCTCGGGGACCTTGACTCCGGTATGGTTTCCGCTGCCGGAAACTTGAAATCGAACATCTAAATCCTCGGCCGTGATACATGCATGCTTGTCTACATGCTAATCCCTGAAAATTCGAATGATACAGCCCCCTCTAAATATCAAGTGCCATCGATCGGCATCGGTAGTTTTGAGAACAGGGGTATGACTCGTTCACTTGATTTTTTTCGACGCCCCAATATTTCGTATCGAACAATTATCGACAAATTTCAATAGCTAAACGGTTGAAGCCATGTTGCCAAGTCTATAAAAATTCTTAATTCTTTTTGGTATTGATTCATCGTCGGCCGTTAAAGGATCAGTTTATCAAAGAGGTGCTTAACCTCACGGAGGTTGACTTGTTGTGTATTCATCGCTCTAGCGTTTCGCTCGTCCGCAAAGCTTCTTACGCTTTTCAGAATCGGCGTAAACCCTTCATCATTAGGCAGCCACCACTGGGCACATGAAGGGTCTCCAAAGATCTCTGCCATCTTTTCACGGCGAGTCGCAGGGTTAATATGCCTATGTAATCCATGATGTTAGAACAACACTGATAGTGAAACAATTCAACTTCTTCTCTATATGAAAACACAAAAAAGGGGGGGAGGAACATATCCATGCCACTGACTGGTCATGCGGATAGAAGAAAAGGGGAAATGGGATGAAAAGGTAAAAGACGTATAGAAGAAGGGCTGATGGATCGAATAAACTTACCCCTGGGTTTCCAGAAGGGCAAATTTTCGTCTCAGCCACATATTATTGCTCGGCTGGTGCGGCAAGAAGAGGCCCGCAATCGCAAGACATGGCTGCATCGCGATTAATGTCCCCGGTGGCAAATCTGGCCAATACTCAAAGCACTCGAAGAGTTCGCAAACCGTAAACGCATGCCCTCCTAATTCAGTGAACAGCTGTTCTGGGGAGATGTTTGGTGACTGAGTTTTATGCATAATAACAATGCTATGCCATTCCATCATGATGACGGTGTTGTTGAATAGGGGGTGATCGTAGAGTAAGCCCGGGCGATATGGGTTGACAATATCGTCGGGGCTCAAGGGACGTTGCCAGTTAAAGTCGGTAATGAGATGTTTTTGGTCGCATAGCATCGGATCCCAGCTTGCCTTCCATTCTTCAAGCTGTGCAGTCAGAAAATTGTGCTCATTGGCGTAATCCGTCGGTGCGATTTGTTTTCGGCTTCCACGAGCGTACAAGGTCGACATGTCGTAAGAGATGAGGCGTAAGCGAGCGGATCGGTCTTCAATCTTCCAGCGCAGTTCCAGGGGATTTGACGCCATCTGAGTTTGGAAATACGCAATCATGGTGGTGAACCACTCACGGGGTATCTCGGTAGGAAACCTACCCATCAGCGCAATAATATTATCGAATCGAGCATACCAGCTGAGACACATTCGACCTATCGAGGTTTGCATCGCCGTCTCCGGCGTGTAGATATGGGTAAGAATTTCAAATGCAGCCTTCTGATGACCCATGAGATTGACCCAATCCCCCAGATACTCCTATAATGAAGAAGAAAAAGGTCAACTGCCTGTTTTACCCAGCCCAATCCAAAAGCTTACCTCAATTGTAGCGAGCTGCAATATTGTCAGCAGTACATGGACACTGTGCGTCTCTTTTCTTTTTAAAAGACTCAGCAACTGAGTCACGCTTTTGTTATAGTACTGCAGGAAGTCTTGCAGTTGTCCATTTGGATTTTGTAAAGTAACATGATACGCAGCAAACCCGACTAATGCATTGAGCAGCGGCTCACATTGTATCGCAACACTCGGTAGCTCGGAATGGAAAAAGTCGTCTTCGTCGACCGCCAGGCCATAGTGGTAATTTGTCATATTGTCCCTGTAATATCGGAGATAACTCCGAAAATCTTGGGGTAGATGCATCCGGTCCAAGCCTCCGCTCGCTGGCAAAGTCGTTTCCGTCCCCTGGTAACCAGCCGGTGTCCAGCTTCCCGTCGTTACATTGGAAGTTGAGGGTGAAACGCTCTTATTGCCTTCCTGCGATGGTGTCTCAGAGTTTTGGCGGGCGCTCGTAAGGGCCATATTAGGCGAAGCCGCACTTGCTCTCCGGGGTTGTGAGATGACAGACATCGATTCTCGCCGGGGGGTTCCATCGGGTTCGTCATCATCGGGAATGGTTCCGAGTCTTGCATCCTGCTCTGTATCGTCTTCTTCCCCCTCGTTAGAAGATGTGGGACTTATGTACTGAGCGGATGAACCGTCTTTAGATTTGGCTGTAGGCTGGCCCGAATTACCTTTGGATCCTGGTGGTTCAGGATAAATACAGTCCCGGCTGCCTTTCCTGCATCCTGCTACCTATTAGCTTGAAGAAGTAGACAAAGTTTTCCGCATTACGGGTTAAAGGCTTACGGTCACAGATTGGCCGGGTCTCGTCACACTGTATCGTGTCAGTCACATTATTGAAATTAACTGTGCAGAGCTTGCACTTTGCCCACCTTGACTCGGCGGCTCCGGCACGTATAACAACCAGAGCGTGTCCTACGATGCTTCACTTGATCTAAATTCCCGCCCTGGCTGGCAGCTGAACGCCGCCGGCTCTTGCTGGCCTTCGGGGCATTGATTATTGTAGGCTCCGGATACCCGGCGAAATATCCCATGTTTCCCATATTGGAGGGATATGGAGAGTGCATTGGAGGGGTCGACATTGGCAACGGAACTCCGGGTCCGAGGACCTGGTTTATCTCGTCGGGGCTAGTAGGCAGATAGCCTTCCGCCCCCGACATTGTAGAAAGAAATTGGCGGTAGTAATCACCCATGCTGGCAATTATGTAGGGAAATCGAGGTGTCCAAGAGTGTCCAGAGAGTATTCCGATAAGAGTTTGCTGAAGTTGGTTGAAAGTTTTCTGGCTTTTCGCATGCTCAGCGAAGAAGTTAAGGGATGTAGCAGTCGGGGTCGTCGCATCGAAAGCCAAGCAGCGCTAAAGTTATGATGGGATTGATTGCCGTTGACCTAATTTCCCCTTTGGAATATCATTGAGCAAATGAGGGAGGGAGAAAGAGAAGTGGCCGTTGAGTTGCTAGGTAACTAGCAGAGAAGTATCGCTAATTAGATGTCGTCGTGATTCACCGTTCTTCTTCGAGGGTGCAACTTCAAGCTGGTTAAACACATCCGGAGGTCTTGATGATGGAACTTAAAAGAAAGTCTGAAATCGAAGATTGCGAAGCTTGGTGGAATCGGTCCAAAGAGAGGGGGAAACCGCGCAGGGAATAGGTGAAGAATCAACAAAGGCGAGACACGAAATGACCACGTTGTATGACTATAACTTCAACACGAGTCTGGATGACGCTTGCTAATGGGAGCAAAAGCCAAGCAGAATATGGCGGTAGTGGTAGTAGATCGTGAATCAAACCCTCAAGATTGGTTGATGATAGTTGTTTGCTTGTTGGTTAGGAGGGGATGAGACGAACGCCGAACCGGTAGTAGTCGTAATGAGGAGTCTGTGGGTATAGCGGCCATGGGGGTATGCAGAGCTTCTCGGCCTCGAACTGGCTGCTTGTCACTGCGTCTCGCCAGATCTGTTTCTGGCCGCGGCAGTTAGGCAACGTACAAGTATGCAGTGACGACCGGAAGGCAGCAAGAGCAGTAGCCGGCACAGTGTGAATGGCCCACGCTGCGGGGAGCTGCCTGTCCAGTCTAGACGCGCAAGTCCTACTTGGGGACAGATGATGGGTGGCAGCAGCGTGAAGAGTAAGGTATCATATGCTTTAGTACGTAGATGGTAAAGTGCTGCGAGTGTAGCTGCAGCTCGGATAGGCCTCAGGTAGAGCAAGTAGTGAGAATGGAGAGACCTTGGGAACCAGCCAGCGTTGCGGACGAGAAATCGCGTTTGGTGTGAAGACTCCAGAAGAGGCTACCGTAATGATATTTCCTGGGCCATGGAGGCAGACTTATGGAGATGCTGGTTTGCGGATCTTGTGGTTAATGGGACAATGGTTTGCAGGCTAACCCCTTTTTCTTCTTCTCTGTCCCTCTCAAGGCAAGACGATCCGATAATGACAAGACACGCAAAAGGCAGTCAAGCCGGAGAATTTGGATTGAACAAGATTAGATCTTTGAGAGAGGATCAACCAGACGAATCACCTGCATCAATGCTCGGTCGATACTAGTATTTGAGCGTGTGGCTTCCGAAAGGGAATCAATGCCTGGTCCACAGCGGAGACGGCTGGTGGGAACTGGCCCAGCGCATTCCCACAGGGCACTCCGTCGTTGATGGAGAATCCCGCAAGGGGAGGGAAAATTGGGAACTGAGCAAGGAGAAGATGAAGCTCTAGTAACGGAGGAAAGGCGCGGGGCAGAAGAAGACGGTTAGAGGGCCCCCCTGGGCGGCAATACACATGGGTCCTGCCGGGCGTTTGGCTCCAGCTGGGACGCGAATCTATCGATGAGCACCCTCCATCAAGGTGATTCGACAGTGAACAAGCCCAGGAAAAGAGAAATCCTGCCAGGTTCGCAGCTGGGACAGGCGGGTGCTCAGCGCAGTAATGATCGAGGGTGGTGGTGGTGGTAGTGGTGGGAGTGGTAGTGGCTGCGGGCTGGATCTGAAAGTGATAAGTTATGGGGTGACATTGAAGCAGCAGCCACCGCCGCGGCATTCTAGATCCAGGCCGGGTGTATGTTTTTTTCGGCCGTCGACTTAAGCATATGCCTGTACAAGACTCGGGCAAGCTCAGATCAATCTAGGAGCCTCTTATTACAGTGCAAGGTAGCAAATGGTCGTTGCATTGCTAGTGACAAGCGTGCCACGGCGGTACTTGATAGAGAAGACAGGCATTGTGCTCCGTACTCCCATTTCTCTGGTACGAGTACAGCTTCTCAGGCCTGTAAAGTGACCAGAGCAAGGGAAGGCATTCAAAATGATGCTAGTGGTGCCACTTCGTCGAGGCATTATGGACGACGAATAACGCTTCCAGGGGTGTAGCAGCAGGCACCAAGGACCCAGCGAACAAAGCCAAGGCTGCACATTGCCCTCCCCCCTACCCCTCGTAAACCGCAGAATCAGAATCGAGCCTCTAAAAAGGGCCTCCACAAGGTCTGAGCAGCCGGGTGGCGGCGACCAGCCTAGCAAAATGACGGGGAGCAGAGGCCAGGGTTGCTGCAACGGGTTTGGGCACCCCACGCCAACCTCCGGCCTCCTCTTCCTATGTACTACTAGTCGTACTAGTAGTAGCTCTTTCAGGAGATGGAGGCTCCTCTGATCCTCTAGGAGCGCAAAGAAGGCAAGAGTAATTGTATCTGTACTCCCGTCGTACTAGTATATTCATCGGCGTACCTATACTGTGCGCCTCCGTTGCGTGTGCGGCATCCTTCATGGGGGAGGCAAGAATTGCTGAATCGCAGCAGAACTGACACAGGAGTCAATTCATGTACTCCGTAGAACGTACCCATGCCATGGTGGCTTTGGGAATCCTGAGCACCGCCTTTGGCCCAGTTGAGCGGACAAGCAGTGCTCCATATACTGGTCGGTACGTCGCATCCTGTACATATTTGGGGTGGTGGAGAGGCTCATGGGCCTAGGGGCCTAGGAACGGCATGGCTTGGCTTGGGAGGAGAAGAATGCAGCAACACGGTGGTTTGATCAACAATCCCAAGTCCTTCACACAGCTCCGTGCTGCCAATGACCGGAACAGGAGATTTTCTCTCTTTTCTCTCCTCGTGAATCTTTTCTTTTCTTATCCTCTTGTTCCCCGGGTTGCAGATTGTTGGGCCAAGCGAGACTGGCCGACCGGACACTCTCCGTTGCTCCCGTCCTCGTCCCCTTGCAAATGAGTCGGCGATAACAACGGTACAGAATACTGGTACCAGTACTTGGTGCCGCACATGCCAATCCCAGGCCCAGCAGCAGCTGTATAGGAGAAGCTATTGGGCGATCGCGATCCATCTGGACAGGTACATACATGCCCATGCATGGAGCTGCAGAGCTTTCGACGGCGAGCCGTGTCGACAACATGCAGCCAGCCTCGGAGCACAGTAGCTGTCGGGGCTTGGACCGGACTCGTAGCGTGGGGTTAATGATATAGTCTCCGGCCCGACCATGTGCTCCGTACGGTGCGAAAGTCTCTTTGAGAGAGAGGGCTCAGGAGCTTCAGTTTTGCGGTTAATACCACGATAGCGTTCGAACGGCGACCTGACGATAGGTAAAAAAGTTAGCACGGCTACAGGCGCAGGTACAGGCCGGGTACAGGTACGCAAGATGGAGTGCCGCGAGCCACCAGGGATGGAGTCACTCCTACCTGTGCGAGTGCTAGCCCGGAGTTGGAGCTGCTAGCACGAAGCTTGACGATTCCGCGTTTCGCGGCCTGAGCATGGGGCGCTCGGCACTAACTTCTGCACGAGCAGGAGCTACCTGGCCCTACTCACCTTTGCCTGCCCTACAGAGCAACCTTCCAAGCAGCTTCAAGCTTGCTGCTGTACTAGCAGTAGGTACCTTGTATACACCGTACCTACCAGCCTCTTTCTTAGGCGCTCCTTCTTTTGCTCAAGACGCCATTGGGCTGCATCCTTCCTTCTCGCTGCACTGCACCCGTACTCGTACTTGCCTGTCTGGTTGGTGTATGAATTTCAATGTGCTGTCCCGGCTTATGTAATACGGGCTGACGGGCCAGTCGCATTTTGCCGGCCGGGGAGCAGGCAATAGATTCCTCCTGCATCAATCAGTTCCTCTTCCTCCACCATCACCACCACCCATCTTTGGTTTTCAACGCAGAACTACGGCCGTCACCTTGCCATTCATCCCTCAATCACAGCCCCGGCCCAGCCAAGCCCAGCATCCCAGATTGACATTTGCCTTCCACGGTGAGAAAGGGAAGAGCGTGTGGACCCTTGCTGGCAACAGGGTCCGGCGCCACCCAATTTGCAGCACACCACCAAGAGACGGTGCACAGACCACGAATATCCCAGAAGAAGCCTCGCACAGATGAGCTTGCAGCGAGAGGCATGAATCGCCAGGCCCGTGATGCAGCTAAGTGTGCATTGTCAACATATCGAGCTAGGCGTGCGTGTGGGCTGGAGGCTGCGCGCTTGGTTGGGCTTTTCCCCGGCTTGTTTGCAAGGGGTCGGCGTCAACCTGATCCGCAACGACCCAATTCTCCAACGCTTTTTCGCCGATGCTTGATGCCATTGACTGCAACTTACTGTACGAGGACAGCCGCGACCATCGGGCACTGCCTGTACCGTACAAGGCCGCCGCGCTCTCTACTGTACCATTGGCACTTTGTGTGACACGATGACTTGTACTCGTATGTGTACCTCTCTCTTTGAACCACGATATATCGGCAGCGCGGGAGCGGCACGACAGAGGCATGGGTATGGCCGTTTACACTGGCGCGAGCCAAGATTCAAGCCCTAGCATAATTCTCCATCTGGCATACACGTTCACTCTTATTTAAATAATGCTCCGTAATGCACAGCTACCTACACAGGCGCCTGGATCCATCCAGTCATTGCGAGTACAAGCGCGCTTGGTCATCTCTTGAGAGCGCAACTCGAGTCACAAATCCAGCGCTGCCGCTTCATGCTCAGATACTATCCATACTTCGTACGGAACCCGGGGTTCTTCAAGGGAACGGCTGTCGGTCCAGCACGCCAGCGCCAAGCACAACTATTTCTCGAGTGCATCGGATGCCAATGTAGGGCCACCTCTGTCCTAGCCAATCAAAGCATTCGCTTTTTGACCAGTTCGCGCTGTATTCCCATCTGGAGAGTACCTCCGCACAGGACTCGGCCAGGGATACGGCACTGGCATGTACCTCGTGCGAAGTAACGCGTACGAGTACCAGTCCATATCTTTTAATATCAACCAGTGCTTGGAAATTTGCATGTGTTGCTAAATAATGCCTCACAGGCAAACCAAAAGACCATAACCCATGCCCTGCACCTGCAAAGGTACACCAAAAGTCCTCATTTCAAAGTACTCCGCTGCTACCGAACATATGGCGCCAACCTCACATTTTCGTTGGGCCTCTGGTTGAATGGTCAGACGACGCACCACAACGACGCAGGTCCGACACCTCTTGGTTGAGGGGATAAATACAAACAGAACAAACATGATTCAGAAGTGACAAATGTTTGTTATCAAAAGAGTCAATTACAGAGCAAAGCTGCCAGCGAGCTCAACAAACCTGGCGTTTCGTGTGGCTGAAGATCAGGTTTAACACTGCCTAGCGTGGAGGGTCCAGACTCGTGCTAGTATTAGACTTTGAACCCTCGAGGCTGGTGGCCAGGGTTCTAGAAGGGACACATAAGACAAACGCGACGAACTGTGACGGGTCTCAAGGTGCTTCGACAAGTCCGTGCTAGCTCGGCGCCATCTCTGTCCAATGGACACTAATGCTGCAGGCTTTGATTTCCGGGAGAGGATCCTCCAACACCTCTTCAGAGCAGCTGGAAGCCCACTTACGCAGTTTGGATCAACCTGCAGCAATACCAGGGACAGGGGTGCTGCAGCTGGCTGTTCGAATCCGGTCAAACAGACACCATGAATGCTGTCCCTAGTTCACCATCTGAAAGCTCTCCCCAATCTCCAGCAAGGTTACACCAGCCCAGGACCGCCAAGCATTGCCATCGCCTGGGACAAGGCAGCAAAATCGAGGGTATACCGGTGCATGCGCTGACGGTGGCGTCTCGGTTCAACTCGTCGTGGAATAATAACTCTAAATGCTCGTACCATACAAAGTTCATCGCGGCAGCTAGGAGGGAAACCCGACGTTTGCTCTGCACGGACTTCCAGCTTGCTGCACATGCTCCGTACTCCGACCGGGCAGATAAGCGCGCACATGGGGGTACCTATATTCTCCTTGTCGGGGTGGGCTGGACCAAGGTACGGGTTTCGATATCCATATCCGTCGTCCGTACGAAAAGCTTTTCCCAAACTTTGTGCCACGAGGTCAAACTTGTTCGGCGCGCGCGACACGAGCCTGTCATTTGAAATACGCATGGCAATTAGCAAATCTAATCCCAACTGCCGGCACTTAAGGTTTCCAGAGCACATGGCCCTGAAGAATGTGATGGCTCGCAAATACCGGTGCGGCACATGCTTGTACGCTTCAGTTCTAAAAAGACAGTGGCCTTGCTAACGTGCAATTTCCGTCCTGCATAAGCAACATCATGCTTCAAAGCAGACAGCGGAAAATTGTCCGGCTACAGGAAAGTGTGAACGAATACCTTGGTGACGTTTGGCGCAATAGTGGTGTACTAATCCGTGCCTACTGTGCCATTTGGACAAGACGTGAAGGAGTATTTAACCCTCTTAACCCAGCGCTACTCTCACAAGCTAGTTCGCCCAGATTTAAAGCTCTAATAGAAAATCGAAAGTTATTCGGACTAGACGAACAACCACAACCAATTCTCTGGCTAACAAGGGAAAACAGCATGAGAGAATTCCACAAACACGTCGTTTTAGCTGGCTTGCGTGAGGGTTTTTGGTCGGCTTGGCCCGGGAAGGCTAATAAAGCCTGTTGTGCAATCCCCTGCAAGGGTAAGTGAGGGCCTCCAGCTCCATTTCCGTGGCTTCATATTATTTACTCAAGGGAAGCATTGCTCATCTCATTACAACAATGACCAGCAGAAATTAACCTTATGCGTGTGGCAAGGCAACAAACTCTCCTCGGCCATCCTCAGGTCAAATATCTTGTCCTAGCATTGGCCCGTGCCTCGAGTTGAAGACGCTGTTACTACTGCTCGCAATTTCCCCCCGCTACGACGGAGTATAAATTACGACTCTGGCTCATACACGTACATGTACTCGTACTGTACAAATGGTCACCGAGGCTCGTCCACTTTTAATCTACACTATCCGCCGGCCACTGGGCGACAAGTGGCCGTTAGCGCCTGGTGCCGGTGCGGAATTTGAGAAACAAGAGGGACAAATCCTAGCAATATGGGGATGAAGAGCCAACAAGATCTCCGGGTCATATGTCACATATACCGGGGGCGAGAGGGGAGCCCGCACCACAACAACGGGTAGTTCAGATTGGTGCTCAATCACTGGCAATGGTGAAAAGTCGTCTGTTGGTTGCGTCGGCGGCGCAGCCAGCAATAAATGTCTTTGGATTGGCTCATCGGAACATGTTTTGTGAGAAACCAGTGCCGGCCGCTCCAAAGGTCACCTCCCAGGTTCTCCATATGGCGCTATCCTCACGCTATTCTCCGAAGAATAGAAAAGCTTCAACGGCGCCCTGCTAGCCACGGACTAGTTTCCCCTATCAGCACCAAGCACTTGGCTAGTAGCACGCTGCCGGCGTCTGGAGGGCTGAATGGGCTCTTCCTCTTGCAAAGCACGTGTTTGTGCTTGTCGTCACCGAGCCAGTTATACGGGTACGGAGGATGCTCCGTGAAAAGGGTTCTTTTCTTCCTTTTCTTCTATTTTCCTTTTTATTTTCTCTAAATTTTTAATGACCCTCCCTTACTTGAAATTGGCGCGAAGCCCGAGGTGGCGGCAGCCCATCTCAACAAGGCTGCATATGCAGCAGACACGGGATGTAGCCGTACTTTTTACACGCGGGTGGAGTGCGTTGTGTCTATGTTTCCGCCATTTCATATGGATCTCTTCATGGCGGGCAATCTGGCAAGATGTTGTCAAAGCTCGACGTTCAGTTGCCTCTTGTTAGGTTCCACTGCTCTGAGCCACGTCGCCTTTGTGCTGGGGGCATGGCCACGAGCGCGGTTACTACGTATCATCAACAGAAAGCAGAGCTTGCTCGTTCCCATAAAATGTCTGGTCCACTTGCTCGTACGAGAAAGCTCATTTTCTGTCTTCTAACCAAAAGCTGGCCCCCTCAAACCCCTTTCCACCCCACCTTGGTGCCTCAGTTTCCGGTGCCAACGGAACCATGCACCCGCGACTGGCTGGCTGGCTGTTCATCATAGACTATCTCACTGGCTGGCGTCTACGAGTAATGCACCAGGTGTTGGAAATTTCTCCTGGCAGGGATCCTCTTCCCGTCACATGCAAGGCTGCAGCTTCAGACTCCAGCTCAGGCGCCAGCCAACCAAATCGAATAATTTTACGTATCAGAGAAAAAGCTCAGTTGCAGCCTGTGCTGGATTATCTGCGCGATTTCATTCACGCGTCTCCGGCCCTTACCTGTTACCTTCTTCTACCTTTAGGACCGCTGTGCTCTTCGTCACCGGCGAGACAGAGGCAGCTGGGACACGGCACAAGTATACTGCAGCTAAACTTGTAACGGCAAATGCTGGCAGAGGTGGCTTACCCTGGAGACCCTGGAGAATGTGCAATATCAGCCACTTTTGCAAAAACACGGACACCCATTCCTTGTCCTGGAGGCTTTTGATACCGTACACGTATGAGTGTATAAGTGTTGGGACCCGGACGGTAACAGGATGCCCCAAAACAAGGGAAATACTAGCCAGCACCCTAAAGCTAGCTATCTAGCATCCCGTGTCTCGGATTCTTGAAACTGCATCGTAGATGGTAAGTGATGTTATCGGAAACGAAAGGAATACAGCCATCGTAGTGTTGGCTAGTATTTTCCTAAAACAAAGATTTGCGACACAGTCTGATTCAAAAGTTGTTCATGTGTACTCGTTGAAGAGCGCTAGGGATGGGGCCGCGTTTTATCAGATGGCCCATCTGAATTGCTCACGTAATATGCCGTCTACCTCGACTCAGTGGAAACCTTCATTTTTGAGCATATCAAAGATTCACGATTGAGCCAGCTGCCAACCAGGACCGCCAACCTCATTGCATTGAGGTTTGAAAGCTAGGACGCCAATCTCTCGATTCAATTGACATGTGCTGGGAGCTTCTGTGGCGATAACAGGAGCGCCTTGGCCGTCGGCACGCAATATCTCTGGAAGCCATTTCTTTCATCATCACGAGCCTCATGCCACAGATCCATACTCAAGGCTGGCCCTTGACTCTTGCTTGATACAATGATACCGCCAACCTCGGAAGTCGTGGCTTTGTTCGATCTCACCGCCATCATTCTCCTGCTCACGACCGTCATCGTCTTTGTCATTCCCATCTTCATCTTATTCCCACCCATTCCAGTGGAGCGCAGTGATGCGCTGCGGCAAACTCACACCAAAGTCGGTATCCCTGCATCTCAGAGCAACCTTCGGACTCAGACATCACCGGAGCACGACTACCAGCCAGGCAAGCCCGCCAAGATACAAAGCTTATACATCTATCCCGTCAAATCGTGCCGGGGTATAGAGGTTGGACACAGCAAAGTGCTGCCAAAGGGACTTGAGTTTGACCGCCTCTTTGCTTTCGCGAGACAGAAATCCAAGGCTGCGAGTGCTCCCGAGCCATCTGGAGAAGATGGAACTGGGACGAAAAAGCATCCGCAATGGGAGGTCATCACTCTTAGGCAAGTGCCATTGCTCGCAAATATCAAGATTGACCTCTGGCTTCCTGATGTGAGCAAGACAAGCCGTCAGCTTGGGAGAGTGGACGGCCGATTCATCGTCATCAGGTTCCCATGGAGAGACTCTGGTCTGAAGGGTATAATTCAGTGGATATCTGCCAAGTTGAGCCGCGGCCTCAGCGGTACTCCAGAAAAAGAGTTCATGCTATCAATTGACTTCCCCTCTCCCGATGAAATCAAAGCTGCGGGCTATCAATACGAGGATACGTCGTTTTTCGCAAAGAGCGTTTATGCGCTGAACATGAAAAACGAGGTCCCGCCAGAGTTGGGCCTGTATCTGGGGGTTGCTGTACCGGTAACCGTTTTCATGGTAGATCCAGACCAGAGGAGGGAAGTCTTTAGGAATGCGCCGCGCAAAGCCGATGCCGGATACCAGCCGGTTATTGATTTTCAAGATGCAGTAAGTTTTGGCCGATTTACTCTCCTTCTTCTTCTCCTCTATGTGGGCTTTTGCATCTAATGACCCTCTCACAGTATCCACTGCATCTCCTCAACTTGACGAGTGTCCGCGCTCTAGAGTCCAAGGTTCAGAAGGACGACAATCTTCAGTTTCTGGACGCGCGCCGCTTCCGCCCAAATATCATTGGTATGGCTCATCCCGGCTATATTCTCCCTCCCTCAACCCCCATATTGAACTTACTTAGACCTTCCCCCCACGCTTGAGCGGCACAACTCAACTAACTTGATATGACTAGTTTCTGGCCTCAAAGAGTATGACGAGGACGACTGGCGAAGTATTGAATTCTCCCAGCCTCCCCAGAGCGCCACAGCCAAGTTGTCAGGAAGCAAATTTGACGTCTCCTGTCGCACCGTTCGGTGAGTATCATTGAAAACTCTTTTTTTCCCCTTCCCCTCATCACTCTAATTTGTTTTTTTGTGTTTTTAAACTTTGTCATTCCCCTTGACTCATGCTCACCTGCGCCCCTCTCTTGCATGCTCAAGCCACAGCATGTGGAGGCTTTCCCGTCAAAAAAGAGTTTTTACCCGTACAAGAATTGCATACTTCGTACTACGTAAAATCGCGTGCTAAACGGACCCCCATACATACAGGTGCAAGTTGCCAAATGTCGATCCAGTTACGGGGATTCGACACAAGGTGGAGCCCGATAATTCGCTCAGGAAGTATCGAAACATTGATGAGGGGGCTCCCAAGAGTGGTTGTATGGGAATGCAACTCTGTCCCATATTTCCAAAGACCGACGACCCAGAAGACCTTGAATTGTCACTAGAAGTGGGTATGGAGATTAAGGTTCTGCAACGGGGCCATCACTTGGCCTTGTAGGTCAACAAGTGGTCGACATAGGTTGAGTTGTGGTGGCGAAGATGGATCATAAATGGGGGAAAAAATCACGGAGCTCGAGTAATGAACCGTGGCCGAGGTATAATGGAGCTCGGAAATAGCGTCCATTCATTGTCTTCTTTCAAGTATCAGATAATCAATTCTTTCTCGTCATAACATAATGACAGAGCTAAAAAGGTAAAATGGCCCATAACATTTCTCTTTTTTTTTACCACTTTTGTGTTAGATTATATTCTACCCGCTTATCCATCCCGTTCATACTTCTCGTCACATCGTATCACATGGTCCTAGAGTTAGAATATACGGAAGTTTTGTTCTTTGTTCTTTTTTTTTTTTTTTTTTGGTATCATTTCTTTGCTTGGATTATTTCAAGTCCGCTGGTGTAAGCGCCTGAACCATACTCGTTCCTTCACTGAATCGTGTCCGGAAGATACGGTTAGCGTTCTGGAACATGCCGTCCTTCAGACTCACGACGATAAACTGTGAGCCCTTGAATCGTGTCTTGATGAGTCGTCCAATGTTTTGTGTATGGGAGAGATCGAGAGCGGCATCGACCTCGTCGAGAATGTACATTGGCGCAGGCTTGAACTGCAATAGAGCCATGATGAGTGAGAGTGCAACCAGTGACCTATGCCTCAAATATTAGCAATTCGTGTTTCATATATAAAGGCTGAAGCCAGTGATGTTTGTGTAAAGAAATGTAGATGCATACCTTTGGCCACCGCTGAGTTCTGTCAGACTCTGCTTCCACACCTTGCCCAGGCAGACCTTGACCTCAAGCCCGTCGCTGATTGTCTTGTTCTCTGGAGGATCCAGCTTGGCGAAACTGCCTCCCGGGAGAAGCTCAGAGAAGATTTGACCAAAATCGCCATTCACCTTCTCCCAAGTCTCTTGCAGCGCCTTCTTCTTGTACTCGTCCAAGCTGACAATGGTTTCCTCAATCTTGCGCTTGTCTCGGATGACAGTCTTGATCATTTGCTTGAGTGATACTTCCTTCTTTTCCACACTGTCAATCATGTTCATCACCTTGGGATTGATCTTTTTCTTCATGCCTTGGAACCGCTCTGTCAGATTCCGTAGCGTTGACTTGCACTCCCCTATGTTCTGGCGCTGGAAATCGTAGGCCGTGCCGTTGCGGCCGAATTTGTCTTGCTCATCATGAATCCATTCGTATTCAGCCTCGAGCCGAGAAACATTTTCCGCCGCGGATTGCTGTTCCTTGTGGAATTTCTCAATTTGGTGACCAAGTTTCTGCATCTCTAGACCTTCTTCTGTAATCTGCGCATTCTTTGAGCGTGTGGCTTCCTCCAAGGCTCGGAGTTCATCGTCGAACTGGTGTAGCTTGGCTCTCTCGTCATCAAGTTCGGCTTGCGCGGTGTTGTGCGTCTCTGTCACCTTGGCCTGCTGCTTCACCAGGTCTTCGATGTCTTTCTGCTGGGCCTTGATGGCAACTTCTACTTCTTGAAGTTGCTCTCGAGCCGCTGACAGATCGCCCCCAACTTGCTCCAAATCTAGTTGAGCCCCCTGCAGCTCCTTTTGTAGAGTTTTAACAGCTGCAGAGTTCTTTTCGAGGCTTACCCTCAGTTTGTCTAGAGACTTCTGAAGTTCCACTAGCTTGGCGTCTTTGTTGTTATCAAAGTCTTTCATATCCTTCTCAATGCGCTTGATGTCCGCATTGGCCTCAGCCTGTTGTGATTTGGCGTCGGATATGCTCTTTTGCAGCTCAGCAATGGTCGCCTTCATGTTTTCGACTTCCTGGATGATCGAGGAAGACGAGTTTCCGCTGATCTGGTCTTCAGCCAACTTGATCTCGTGTTTCTTCAAGTCCAAATCTTGCTGAATACGACGGGCTTGATCTAGCTTAGATTTCTCCCTTGCAATCCTGATCTGAATGTCTTTTAATGACGCTTCAGTCTCATTGAGTTGCCGAGTCAGAGTATTTAGCTTTTGCAATGTCACCAAGACACCACTGGAGTTTGGAGAACTGCCACCGGAAAGTGTTCCAGAAGGATCATAGGAATCTCCTTCTAATGTGATGCTCCTCATTCTGACGTTGGGGTCAAACGTGACTCTTTTCGCCGTCTCGGCGTCTGCACATATAAGCGTATTGCCAAAGACATATTCCATTGCAGAGGCCACTTCTTCATCGTAGCCTACCAAGGATAGTGCGAGATCGACCTTGCCAGGTGCAATTCTCTGTGCAGTTGCGATGGTTTGTGCTGACGCCTTGAAAGCCGAAATCTTGTTGAGAGGAATAATTGTCACTCGCTTCCTTAGTCTACCCCGTTGAAGCAGCTGCGTACCCGTAACTTCTGAATCGACCACAACATTGTATAATCGCCCACCGGCGCAAATTTCCAGCGCGGTTCCAGCTTGGGTTCGCTCTCCGTCAAGGGTGAACAGTTGTGCAACCAGACCTTTGACTTTTGACCTATCAAAGTTGGGAACAGGATCGGAGTAGTTGAATTCGATATTGGCAACTTGTCGTTTCAGGGTATCGCAGTCTTGCCGCAGACTTCGGACAGTTTGCTGCAAGCTCGACTCTTGTTTATACATTGCTTCCTCCTGGCCAGGCTCGAGACCGAGTTTGCTCAGTTCCCCTTCCAGCTTCTGTCCCTGCAGCTTCAAACCATCCAACTCACGCAAGAGATCGGCATTCTGGTCCTTGGCTTTCCGAGCTCGAGGCTCTTCTTCCCTCACTCGACCTTGCAAATGTGCAATCTTGATTTTTGCCTGCTCCTGTGTGGTTGCGGCAGCAGTGGCGCGATTTTTTGCCTCTTGGAGTTGTCCTTGGTATCCATTCTCTTGTCCCTCCCTCGACGCAATTCCAGTCTGCAGCGTCTGTAGTAACTCCTCTTTAGATTCGGCTTCTTTGCTCTGCTTTGCCAAATCATCCTTGGCTTTCTCGTACTTTGCTTTGACATTATCAAATGTTGCCGTCTTTACTTTGAGAGTAGTTTCCAATTCTGCCACCGTTTTCTCGACAGCGGCCTTCTTTTCTTCCTCCTCGTTTAAGCTCGAGTGCTTCAGATCCATGACCGTTGTGAGTCTCACTAACTCATTGGCGTGTTTCTTCACCGTATCCTCGAGACCTTGTGCCTTGCCACCTTTCCGGAGCTCCTTATCTCGTTGTGACCGTATCTTTTTGACGTCTTCTTCTAGATTTGAGATCTCGTTACGAAGACGAGCAGCTGAGCTTTCGAGGCCGTTATGGCGCTGCTTCTTGGCCTCAAGATCAGCTGCAGACTGTTTCAACTTCTCCTGACATTTGGTGTAGTCGTATGCCACTACAACGCGGGAGAGTCGCTCGAGATCGTTCTGCGTTTGCTGGAAATCCAAAAAGGCTCTTTTCTCTCCTCGAAGTTTTTCCAACTTTGGTTCGATTTCTTCCCTGAGAATCTCACTGAGCTCTTGTAGTTTCATCTCCTTCTTTGCCATTGTCTTCAGCGCTTTGTCTCTCCTGTCCTCAAACATTCTCGTTCCCGCGGCCTCTTCGATCATGGCCAGAATTTCCACGGGTTTCATGTTGAGAACTTTGGTGATTCGTCCCTGCATAATGAGAAAATTTGGGTTGTTGATGTTTAGTTGAACGGATTGGAAGAGGTTCTGGACTGTCTGTTGCTGTGCGCGATGGCCGTTTATCAGATACTTGGATGTGCCGCCCAGAACGATCTGGCGAGTCACACTGATAGTGGCATACTCCTCGAATCCAATGGGTGACTTCTTCTTATCCCTGTTGTCAAAGACGATCGTGACGCTGGCCTTAGTGACGCCCGCTTGGCCTCGTTTGTATATAAGATCCTGTATGCCATGTTACTACTCGATCGGGTGCGCCGCACGTAACGTGAACCGATATACCTGGAGGTTCTGCGCTCGGACAGTGGACATATTTGTGATTCCGAGGACAAAGCATATTGAATCGAGAATGTTCGACTTTCCGCTGCCATTGAGGCCGGTGATGGAGTTGAAGCTCTCGTCCCTAGGCTGGTCAATAATGCTGAAAGCTTTCATCGTGGGGGTCGAAGCTTACCATCCTGATATCACCGTTCGCACGGCGTAGGACTTGAAGCCCTGTTGGACTAGTTAGCGAGATGATTATCCCAGGCGCGGAGAGCAGAACTTGCGTCAATGATCACTTCTATCACCCTCATTGTGGCAAGTCGCGATGCAATGCTAGATTGTACAAACTTGGGCCTCTAATGCACGAGCAACTCCACTGAGCCAGGGACGCGACCCAAGTAAACAACCCCCCTCCGTGTTTGGTTTCTGATAAGCGGTATCTGCACGTGACTGATGACGTTATCACGTGCGGCGACATCCCCGGTGTGAAGACGCGAAGGTACCTTAGAGCTAGCAGGTGCACTAGCCCCGATCTGGAGCGCATCAAAACATTGCAACCTTGGAATGGAGAATACAGGTACCTAAACGCAGCTTATTTACTTTGTACCTTCACCATCATCATCGTCCTACAAACTTCCTCGACAACAGATTCCACGCCGAGCACCAACGTCACTCACCGATGTTGTGACAATATTCAGACACGATATTTACCAGCCCGGTATTGCAGATACGACCTTGCTCCTGTTCCTTTGCGCGCGCGACATCATGACTGCAGTACGAGGCCCGCGTCTCCAGGTCGGGTCCGCGGCGTGGGTCGGGGAAGAGCGAGCATCTGCGCTGGAGATTGTGCAGTCAGAAGTAGATGAATTCTCTTACTCTGCTCACAATGAGATTGAATGGCTTAATGAGCACATGGCTGCAATCTTGAACGAGAACGAAGTGTTTGTTTCTCCCATCCCCCTTCACCATCCACCATCCACTATGATGGATGGCTGCTGACACCCTTTTCCAGTAACATCACAGAAGCTTTTAAAACTCCCAGTAAACTTAGGGGCAAAACACCCCATACAACTCGGAAGGCTAATGCAGCAGAGACACGAGTGGTGGGTTCACTTGATCGACCCTGATGAAACTTGACTCTAATATATACCAATTAGCCTCTGTCCGATGTATTCAGAGCAGCATCTCCTAGTGTTTCGAATAATCAACCTCCTGCCCCTACCACTCGTTTCCAGCCTCCTCAGCTACACCAGGTCGCGGCAAAAGCAATACCACTAGTCACCAAACCCGTCTCCCCTCAGCGACATGTTTTTTCTCCCCAGCGACCGCCCCCTCCTCGAGCTATGCAAGATTCCGGTTATTATGGAAGCCAGGAATTTATTGCCACGGACCCTAGCGAAGCTGCAGAGCCCGAAGACCTTGCGAGTCCCTACAGCGATATTGTGTTACCCCCTGGCGGATCTTCCATACGGCGAAGTCCGGTTCGAAAAATTGTTTCAGTGTCTCCCACAAAGACGTTTCCTGCGACAAAAGAGGATTCAACATCACATAATCTGCCAGATGTGCCATCCGATGCTGCACAAGATGAACCAAAGATATCAGCTAGAGATTTCGATGTGGATGAATCATCTTCTGAGCCAGCTGTAACATCTCCAGCTCCATCTTCTAGGAATCCGCCCATATCTGTCCACCAGTCTGATGAGCCTTCGGATGATGAACAGTCTGCGTCTGAGGGATCAAGCCCTATTAGGACCGTAGTTCGAAAAAGTAGCTTGAATTTTGCTTCGTTGCCAGCTAGGGAGCCTCTTACCTCGGGCAAAAGCCTTGGTGCCCGACAGTCTCGGAACAGCCATTTCGATACCGGCAACAGTAGCAGAACAAGCTACTATCAAAGACAAACTGGTGGGAAAAGTCTCGGAAATCTCGCTAAGCACGAGTCTTTATACGAGGACAAAGCCGACGGTATGGAAGTGGATGCACAAGACGCGTCCCCCGTTTATGAGGCCTCCGAGGCTGATCGACCTGGCGTGAACCATACGAAGACATATACGCAGAGATTACAAGACCAAATCAGCATGCTGAGCAAACCACAAGGCAGCTTTGGACAAACTAAGCAGACATTAAATGCGGCCGCGACACAACAAGACTCTATTCAAGCACAGTCCGTTACGAGTCCAAAGGCGCCCTCTGCCGATAAGGAGCCAGTCTCTACAACGCCACGGCATTCTCCCGACGACGATGATGATGACTGGATTGAATCCCCAAATACTGCCAAGAAGGCCAGAGAGGCTAGGGAAGCTAGGGAAGCTATGGAAACAAGACCCATTCTGACCAAGAGCTTCACAGCCGACATCATGGAAGGCATTCAGGACAGAGAAGATGACGACCCACTTCACGCTGATGAGCAGACATCTCGGGGCCTTTTCAATGCCGTAAAATCAGCATCTTCATCAACTATGCCTACGGATTCCTCTGCTCTGGCGAGGGACACTGCCCCCTTATCCAAAGCAATCTCCATATCGAACCCCAGCCTGGCGATGTCGCAAGATGACTTCGCTGATACCCCTTCTAAATCACCCACTCGGGGCTTCCGGGATAGTCCTCTGAAGCAAGTCAAGAGCAAGCTGTCGTCTATTCTGAAAAGCTCTCGCGGGCTACTTGCTACAAATGCAGACGGTAAGGCTCTTATGTCACCATCGACCACCCGTCTGGCGTTGCATGCGGGACCATCTTCAGAGTCTGTCGTTTTGAAGTCCCAGGAGATGGAATCTCAAACTGTGGAATCTGCGAGCCCAACAAAGCCAATTGCACGTCGCACTAGAGCGTCGACAGAGCGGGAAAAGGAACAGAAGCGCCGAGAGAATGAAGTTAAGCGCATGGAAGAGCAGATGGATAAGCTTGACAAGGCACGAGAGAAAGAGCGAGAAAAGGCTCGAGCATTTACCCAAGAACAAGAGAAAGTGGCCACTATGGAAAAGGAGATTGCTGCCAAGAGACAAGACGAGAGACTGGCAATCAAGCCACCTTCCAATCCCTCCAAGGCTGGCCCGTCCAGTCCCCGCAAGCTGAGAGCTGGCGAGCCGTCTCAGTTCAGACAAGCTGATCAAGATACTGACATGTCTGACTCTCAGCCTCCTATGCCCCCTCCTTCTTCTTCCAAGCCGACTCAGCCCGGCCGCGGTAAGGACAACAAACGGCCAGTGAAACCAGTGAAAGAGGCACCCTCAAAAATAAAAGCCCCCCCTACGGTTATTAGAGTCAATACCGGCTCACAACATTCACAATTTCAGCCTGCTGGCAGCCGAGTATCCACAGCATCTCATGACACCTTGAACTCTAACCATTCGACGGCCTCATCAAAAACCAGCAAGTCCTCTTATCAGGCAAAGTCTTCAGTACCTAAAGCTGCTCCCCCCTCTGCTGGTCGATCCAAAGCTGCAGAATTGGCCGCCAGGAAAAAGGAGCAAGATGAGAGGGAATCGCAACGGCGCCGTGACGCAAAGGCAGAAATGGAGAAAAAGCGAATTGCAGCACAAGAGGAGCAGCGAAAGCAAGACCAACAGCGACGCCTTGAGTTGGAGAGGCAGAAACAGCAGGAAGAAGAGAAGAAAAGGCAGGCTGCTATTGAAAAGGCCAAGCAGACGAGAGCCCCTCCCCCAGCGGTACGATCACAGCCAAATGGCCCACCAGATTCAACCTTGGCTCAGCAGAGGTCGGCATTTTCAAAAGCTGAGGGTCAACCTGCTCGACCGCCCTCCCGATTGGCTGGCATGCGCGATGAATCAAGCAGACCTGCTAGCACCATTCTATCCAACGCCGCCAAAGCGGGTGCGAAACGCACCCTGGGACCGGAGACGAATGATGATACTTATTCTAGACCCCCGCCCTCTCGAGGTGCGCCGGCATACCACACCAAGGATTCTAAGCGGCGCCGGACCAGTGAACACGGCGAGGATGAGTCGGACGTGGACAATGCTCCAAAACTCAAAGGCCCACCAGTGAGGCCGTCAACAGGTTTCAAAAAGGCATGTCTTAACTTAACTTGTGCCACCTATATGGACCTTCAAAAGACTAATAACTTGCAGGATCTGCCGACAAAGTCTGCCTTCCAGAATGGATATGCGGCTGCCTCGCACAGTGCCACTCGAGATTTGTTCAAGGCCGCCGTCACAGCCCAACACAATAGCCATATCAAAGCAGCCAACCCTCTTGATATGGCCCAGATCTCAAAGGGCCCGATTCCATTTGCACCAGGCTCGAGTGCCGCTGGGTCTTCTCATAAGACGCCGGCCCGTCCAGGGCAGTTGGCTAGTGTTAAAGGGAGCGTGAGGAAGGCCTCGCCACGGTTCCAGAATGGCGATTCGATTGAGCTTCCTGAGATTCAGACTGACGATGACGATGACGACGACGACGAAACTCAAGGAATGAATGTGGCTGCATGGGCCGACTCTCCTGACTTGCGCCGTGCTCTCATGAGGCAAGAGACGATGGACCCATCGCAGATCTTTGGTCCACCGGCACCCTTGATCATGGAAGAAGTTTTCAATAAGAGCAAAGATAAATGGCACAAGTTCCGCCAGAGGACGTCTAGTGCCAACTGGAGTGGCCTGGATCGTTTGACTGAAGATGACATCAGAAAGGATATGGCGGCTCGTGATAAGCTGCGCCGAGACGGAGGATGGTCGTATGAGATGAGCAAAGACATGTTATAAATTTGGTTAGGGTTGTACATTATACTACGGAGAAGAATGGATCTGGAAACGGGTTTTGCGGGAGTTGTGACTGTTAAGAATCAGAAGATTTGGAATATGGAGTTGGGAATCAGTCTCTACGGCATAAGGGGACAATCATATTGCATACTTTGGAAGACGGCGGAACTATTCGGACACGGCGGTTGGCGTTTTGGGAACGACATGCATTGCTTGACAAGGAAAGATTTGTTAGACAGCCTATTTATTACAAAAGTTGTTTTAGGTGAAATTAGTACACATTGGCTGCATTACCTTGATATTGCTGGCTTGAAATTATAGCAGAAGCATCATTTGTTGACGATTGAGTGACAGACAGCTAGCCTATTACGGTATAGTTGCACTCAGTCTTATCGATATCCTTTCCTAACTGAAAACGGCTGCTGGAGGGGTCGAACTTTTTTCTGCCGTTAAGTGGGCTCAGGTCTAGAAAAAAAATAAAACAATCCTAAGCAGCTTCATCGGCACTTGGAGGAAACACGCGCGACATTCCCTGTCGATTTTTTCCCGATATTTCTTCATCCGAAGGGCACTTGACTGTGTCGTCGGGCTCTTGTTATCTGAACTCAGCCCTCTTTGTTGATTGGAGTTTTATATAAGAAGCGGACATCACCATGTTTCGGAACGGAATTCGACGATGCGGCGGCTTGGCCCGCGCAGCGACTTCAAGCACCAAGCTGCTGAGCGCTCGCGCAGCCTTTCCAGCAACTCTTTCTGCGCCGGCCTCATTATCTCGTTCAATTGTGCCTTTGAAGAGCTTTGCGCAATTTAACCGACTGTACAGCGCTGATGCTGCTGTCGCGGAGAGCAAGGTTCCTGAAAATGATGCAGTTGGCGAAATCTCGTCGTTCCAAGACTTGGAGACACTCGGAGTTCATCGCAACTTGCTGGATGCAATCACCCAGGATATGCGATACGACACCATGACCCCAGTTCAAGCCAAAGCGATCAACCCGGCTCTTAAGGGAACTGACATGTAAGTCAAACAGAGGAGAAAGAGAGGATGCCTACCCAAGTAATCATCATGCTGATCATTCTTCAAAGTGTTGCTCAAGCCAAGACCGGTACTGGAAAGACGCTTGCTTTCTTGCTCCCTCTCTTACAGCGGATGATCGAGGAAGACCCGACATTGGCCACACGAAAGGCGTCACGAAGTGCCAGGTCTGATGATATTCGTGGCATTGTGCTGTCACCAACTCGTGAGCTCGCTGAGCAGATTGCTACCGAGGCGAAGCGGCTTTGCAGACGCACCGGTCTGGTTGTGCAGTCTGCCGTTGGAGGTACTCAGAAGTCTGCCATGTTGCGTCAGACACAGCGTCAAGGATGCCACCTCCTGGTGGCCACCCCAGGCCGCTTGAATGACCTTCTTGAGGACCCCAACAGCGGCATTGATGCCCCCAAGCTGGCTGCGCTTGTTTTGGACGAGGCCGACCGTATGCTTGATGTCGGTTTCGAGAAAGAACTCAACTCAATCCAGAGCTACCTGCCCAAGGACAAGGTCAGGCAGACAATGTTGGTCTCTGCCACCATCCCCGATAACGTCATTCAGCTCGCTCGTCAGATGGTTCGCCCCCACGATTTCGAGTTCGTCCAGACCATTCCCGAGCACGAAACCCTCACCCACGACAGGATCCCTCAGAATGTTGTCACCGTCTCGAGCTGGGCCAATGTTTTCCCTTCACTGTTCGAGCTGATCGACCGTGAGGTTGCGGCTGCGAAGCAGGATCCTACTCTGCCCCCCTTCAAGGCCATCGTCTACTTCAACACAACTTCCATGGTCGAGCTTGCCGGTGAACTTGGCTACCAGCGAAGGCACAGTGGCCAGCTGAGAATCCCCACTTTTGCCATTCAGTCTCAGCTTTCCCAATTCCAACGGACGAAGGCGGCCGATATGTTTAGAAACTCCAAAACTGGAATTCTCTTCTCATCAGACGTCACAGCTCGTGGCATGGATTTCCCCAATGTTACTCACGTCATCCAGGTTGATGCTCCTAGGGAGCGCGAATCTTATATCCACAGACTAGGCCGTACCGGACGACAGAACAAGAGTGGTGAAGGCTGGTTGTTTGTACCCCCCATGTCAGCAAACTCTGCCAGGAAGCTGTTGCGAGGCCTTCCGCTGAAGCCAAACAAAACACTTGAAAGTGCCGAGGTTGATATCAGTGCGGTGGAAGAGCTGCCCGCTTACCACGAGGAGACAAAGACCCTCATCCAGGCACTCCCCAGGAAAATGATGGCCAGCGCGTACACCTCACTTTTTGGTGGCCAACTCACCGACAGAGAAGACCTTGTTGAAGACTTGAATGATTGGGCTGTCAAGGGCTGGGGTTGGTCAGAGCCTCCTGCCGTCTCACATAGCTGGGCGAAGAACCAAGGCCTCCTGAGATCTGGATTGAACATTCAGGACGGCCACAGTGACCGAATGCATCGGGATGACAGGCGAGGCGACCGGGGGGGCGATCGCCGCAGTGGAGGTCGCTTCGAGCGTCGCGGATCTCCTGATCCATTCGCTGAGATGGGACAACGTGCGCGCCGTGATGCGCCGCCATCGTTCTCGAGGGGCGGCCGGGGCGGTAGGGGTGGCCGAGGTGGCCGAGGAGACCGACGTGGCGGAGGCTTTGAGTCTTCGTGGTAAAATTCTTTTTCTCAACACGATGCTTGGGGAGACGACAAAGGCTGCATTCACAAGAAGCAGCGAAAACTCTCACTATTCTACGATTTTTTGACGCTTTGTATCTGCTCAGGGTGAGGTGCTCTGCTGGATAAGGCGTGGTATTTTACGGCTACATGTTTCAAAACTCAATCCATATAGACGGCTTGTACATTATCGTTTTTTTCTACGGTGTTACTGGGTTCTACAGTTTGGAAGACGCGGGACGGGACAAAAAAAAAAGGCACAATCTCCTCGATTTCTTTGTAACAAAACATCATGACGCATGTAATGATATATATTGGTTTACTCTGTAGTATAGTCATGACTTGTATTTCACACATGAAACACAATCAATTCTCACAATCGTAATGATATATGAAGGCGCAATTTCACTGGTGCCATTACATGACGCTCTTATTATCAAGGATATCACTAATTTCCCCCAAGGTGGCTTCTTCAATAGATATACATATATATATGCCTCTGGTATCAAAAACAAAACCGCGTGCTTTCTTGTATTCCTTCTCTTTCGATTAATGCAAATCTTGCTCCCCATTTTTCTCACCGCGGGTGCATCAAAAGGTTAGCATCCCACAGCAGAACCCTCTCATCCCAACCAGCAGAAGCCACCCAGCCGCCAGCGCCAAACAGACACCAATCGACACCCGTGACAAACTCCGTGTGTCTATTCATGATGCCCATTTGCGCGCCAGGCTGGGCCGTAGGGACAGGCCCCTGAGGTTGATTCGAGGCGTCGTTCCACAGCCGCACAGTCATGTCGTAGCTGGCACTGATCAAAACATCGCTCGCGTGGGGGCTCCATGAGAGCCTCCGCACGGCGTACTCGTGGCCATGCATAACGGAGAGCGGCCCGCCGTTGGGATTGCGGATGTCAAAGGTGCGGATCAGCCGGTCGACTCCGCCGGTGGCAATGACGGTGTCTCGGTACTTGTTCCAGTCGTGCGTGAGGATTTCAGAGGGCGGGCCACCGGCAGGCATGGCGCCGGGATGGCTTGGTGGTGCATGGACGGGAACGGTCGCGGCGAGGTGATATTTGGCGGAAGAGGGCATTCGCAGGTCGAATATTCGGAGGTGAGAGTCGGAAGAGGCCGCTGAGATTAGGGAGGGGTTGGAAGGGCAGAATGAGGCGCTGTAGGTGCAACTACCAATGGGCAGAGTCTTGATGGAGAAGGGGCGGGTAGGCGACCACTAGAAGAGGAACGATTTGTAAGTATGAAGAAGGGGAATGGAGTGTATATCATCTATCAAGACGTACAATCTTGACGGTCCCGTCCCATGAGCTAGAGATGAAGGTATCTTTGGTGATGGGATTCCAAGCAACGGCAAAAGCTTCGCGATTGTGCTCATGGAAGATCATGATGGGAAACTCCTTCATGCCAATGTCAAAGAGCTTGAGAGATCCATCGCCGCAAGCAACCACGAGCTGGTTCTCGTTAATCTCGGACCAGGCAAGGTCGTATATCGCATCGTTTGTATCGAATCTGCCGGCGCAAATTTTCAAACCCTCTTTGTCAGCCTCAATTCACTTCCCGACATGTACCATTTTGAATAGAGCTGGACTTCTATGGTATATATAAACACACGTTTTCTCAACTTGGATGCCTTGCGCCGTCAGCGCCAGGGCAAAGAGTCTGCCGTTTCCGACGATGCCAAAGTTGGCGGCTGTCCCGACGGCAATACGAGAGTCGTGGTACGGCGAGTATTTGACCGCATAGGGATTGAACCCTTGGGTGCGGAACTCGAGCATGGCGGCCATTGTGGTTTCGGCTTCGTCTTGGTGGGGAGGAGGAGAAGAGGAGGGGAGGGGAGCGCCTCAAAGGCGCATCTGAGCTCAAGAGCTGGCCTAGAGATGAAAATGGGACAATATGCCGGGATAGAGGTTATCGTGATATGTCCAATGGAGGGAAAATGAATGTTCTTAGCTCGATGCGCTGCTGGCCGTGAGCTGTTGTTTGGTTTCGGTTTGCATGTCGAGGTCCGCTTAATCTGACATGTGCCTCGGCCCTGGGATCTGCCGCAACCATTTTCCCCATATTCTTGGAGTGCCACTTAAACGTGCTACCCTATGCCTAAAATAGAAACCAAGGTCGTGAGTGATGTTGGCGAGACAAGGACAAACAAATCTCGAGGGACTGACAGCTTCCATGTAAGAACTAATACATTGAATGCATCAGTAATTAAAGTTTCATGTGTGACTCTATCGAAGCACAAGACGCTGTTGAGAATTCATGCATCTCCTGCAGTGATGATCGCCAACGGTTCCCCGGCTCCTTTGCATCGATCTCCTCCTCACCATCCAGGTCGATTGGTTGAGCATTCGGATGGTGATCAGGCAGCCTCAACTCAACTCTCGTCTCCCTTGCTTTATGGACGTGGAATCATCTTTCGCATAAATCAATGCATTCTAAATCGATCTATCGAGGCTCTCTAATCTTTTTGCCACTTTTGGACAAAGTGGATCACGTGGGTTCGTGTTGCTTTTGATGTCACGCCTCACGCCTGCCGTTAATTGTCGTGGACTGATCGCGCATGATTTTCTCCATTGCACTTACCTTGTCCATTTTCCCATGAAAATTTAAATCGTTATATAAATCTAGAGTTTCTCATTATTCTCTATCTATTTTTTTCCATAACAATTTCTCTGCATAGCTGTTGCTTTTAGGCATCTACATGGAGGCCTTTCTCACGCGTCCAAAGCGGAAATCGACCCATGTAAACGCTACACCGGAACCCGAACCGGAAGCAACCCTGGAACATGCGGAAGATGGCGAAGAATCGACTGAGATCAAACTCGCCATGTTATCCTCATTACACCCTCTAATTGAACAAGAAACTCTTTTAGATGTCCTCCTCGCCCACGATGGTTCCGTCAGCAATGCGTCAGAATCTCTAAAATCCTATCGTCCTGGAGCAAAGAAGAACGCTGTCATAGGACACCAGCAGTCCCTAAGGCAGTATGCAAAACCCAGTGATGGATCATTATCACCGCCCAAGAAAAAGACGAAATCCAAAAAGGGAAGCACCCTGCATCTATACGACCCGGAAGATGTTGCAGAGCACACTCCATGCACCATTATCCACAATTTTCTCCCCAATGAGCTTGCGGATGACCTCCTGAGAGAGCTATTAGACGAAGCCAAATCGTTTGAGCAAATCACATTTAAGCTTTTCGAGAATATTGTAGCCAGCCCGCACACTTCATGCTTGTTTCTCGAGTCGTTCGAAAAAATCCAGGAGCAAAAGCATGATTACTTTTATAATGGAGGCATGCTGAATGTGAGTTTTCGTTTTCTGTCCGTCTGGCGCACAGGTGATGATTCTCGTGGCTGTGTAGGATGTACGCAAACTCACGCCGACACTTGCTAAAGTGAAACCAATCGTCCAAGAGACAGTCAACGAGCAAATCCAAAATCGCATCAAGACTCGATACCCTGGAGGCAAAAAACTGAGACACCAACCATTTAAACCTTGGGTGCCAAACGCCGCCTTCGTGAATTGCTACGCTGGAGCCCAACAGAACGTAGGGTGGCATAGCGATCATCTTACATACTTGGGCCCCCGAGCTGTCATCGGATCAATCTCCCTGGGCGTTGCACGGGAGTTTCGTGTGCGCAAAATTCTACCGCGAGATGCAGAAACGAAGCGTCCAGATGATCCAGATGGCGAGGGTCAGATATCAATTCACCTGCCGCATAACTCTCTCCTTGTGATGCATGCCGAGATGCAGGAAGAGTGGAAACATTCTATCTCCCCGGCACTGTCCATCGATCCACATCCCATCGCAGGGAACAAGCGGATCAACATCACGTATCGAGACTATCGGGCAGAGATGCACCCTTCACTTACACCAAGATGTCACTGTAAAGTTCCCTGTGTGCTGCGTGTTGTGCAGCGAAAAAAAGAGAACCATGGAAAATACTTTTGGATGTGCTATGCGAGCGCCATCCCTGATAAAGATGGATGTACATTTTTCGAATGGGCTGAATTTGACGAAGACGGAATCCCTATACGTAACAAGAAGACAACATCGAAGCCGCCTTGACACAATTAACCTGAATCTACACAGTGAAAAGGGTCACCAGAGACTTCTATTGTGCCAAATTTCTGCAAATATGCCTGATTCTCATGACCAAAGAAGCTTTTCGCGTGCTCAAACATACTCAAGATCTTTTCGGGTCTGTTGTTCTGCTTGTTCACAGCCCGTTCTTGTAGCCGAGCTGCAAGATTGTGCGAGACAGTGGGAACGACGTGTGAGATTTTAGGCCCCACTGTACTCCGTATGCATACACCAAAACTTGCACCTTCAGGTAGCTCAACACATTTCCATCCATGCAACTATCTCTCACTATTTGCGCCTGCTTCTCTTTCCCCCCTTCTTTCCTCTTTCATTTCCACGATAATTTTGCTCAGCGTCCATCTTCATTTTCTTCCGCACGAATATCACAATGGCTGAGAAACTCACATTTCCCGCCGAATCGGCAGCCCTTCTCGAGCCTCGCCTACCCCCAACGCCCAATTCTGAGGATGCCTCGAGATCACGTCCCTTTGTCACACTGACCTTTGCAACTTCTCTTGATTCCAGCCTGTCACTCGCGCCTGGGGTCCGCACTCGTCTTTCTGGCCCAGGCTCAAAGGCCATGACCCACTACCTACGGACCCGGCACGCAGCCATTCTTGTTGGTGTGTCTACGGTGTTGGCAGACGATCCGGCTCTCAACTGCCGGATTGCAGGAGCTTCTCACCAGCCGCGGCCCATAGTCATTGATGCCAACCTTCGATGGACGCCACGCCGCTCTGACAAGGTCTTTGAAGTGTGTCGGAGCGGTGCCGGGCTTGCTCCCTTTGTCCTCACTGGCATAGACGCCTCACAACTGCCTCCCGAGAGTGTTGAACTGCTTCATGAGCATGGAGGCAAATACATTCATGTGCGCACTACCCGCTTTGAAGCAACTGGCCGGCTACGGTTCAGCTGGGACGACATTCTCGCCGCTCTGCAAGCGGAAGATTTGGCCAGCGTCATGGTCGAGGGCGGCGGCCAAATTATCAATTCGCTCCTCGACCCTGCCTACCACAACCTGATCGACTCGGTCATTGTAACGATTGCCCCGACGTGGCTGGGACAAGGCGGCGTGGTTGTGTCTCCAGACCGGGTCACCGACTCAGCGGGAGTTCCTTTCCCGGTTGCGAGGCTCTCGCATGTATCATGGCACCCATTCGGCGAAGACGTTGTGCTGTGCGGCACGCTCCGGAAATAGACAAGAACGGCTCAATCACTTATTATTTTTATATACAAAGTCTGTTGATCGGTACGCCATTCCAAGGCTGGTTGCCCACGGAGAAGATTGCATTTCGGTTGCATGTTGTTTCACACAAACTGCTGTTTGGTGCAAACTCGATCACCGGATCGTGACATCTGATCAAAGAAGGAATGTATTTAAGACGTAACACAAACTTCCGAGCTCGGCTCTCTCCGGGCCAGCTTCCCCCGGCTCCGTACTCGGACCCGGCCGTCACAGAGAGAGAAAAAACGAGTACCTAGCTTGTGCGCCAACAGCAGATTGTGACGTTGGGCTTGCTTACGTGGGCGGACTTTTCCCCAGAGGATCAGAGAATGGCAATGGTAGCCTACAATGCCTATTACAGACAAAGCGCCTCCAATACCTCTTAGCAGATGGAAACTAGCAAACTAGGGGTTGCAAAGAGCTGCATGACTCGGCACCGGCCGAAAACAGTTCTAGAAACTGGGGCATTCCGGAGGGTGTGGAGGGGCAGCTTCTGAATTATCTGCATGGCGGCACCCCGCCATTTCTCACCAAAACATTCAAGTTTCGTTGCTCTGCAGTCCATATCAAACAAAAGAGGGCCATCGCGGGGTCCCGTCGTCTAACTGTCGTCTCCCCCATACGAACCCATTCCATAGTTATCCCACAACCTTAATCCAGAGACCGGGTCGCAAACTCGAGAGGCAGCGTCTGTCATTTTTCTCGATTTCATCAGATCCACGACTGCGCATTGAAAGCTTCACTCATCACATCACCACCAAAGAAAAATCCAAGGCAAAGCCAAGCTTCCACCCTCTCTCTAGTAGCCATGGCTCGCCCTAGAATCACCGTCCTCGGCTCTCTCAACATCGATCTCGTCTCCTATGTCCCCCATCACCCTCTACCCGGCGAGACCCTCACCGCCAACCACTTCAACACATCTCCCGGCGGCAAGGGCGCCAACCAGGCCGTCGCCTGCGGCAAGCTCTCCCGCTCCTCCGACCTCTCTGCTCCGGCCGCCGACGTTTCCATGATCGGCGCTGTGGGCTCCGACACATATGGCCAGCAGCTCATCTCCAGCTTGACCTCTTACGGCGTCGACACCTCGGCCGTTGCCGTCCGCGAAGATGGCAAGACGGGCATCGCCATCATCGTCGTTGACGAGCCGTCAGGCCAGAACCGCATCATCCTCTCTGCGGAGGCCAACCACACCCTCCTGCCGGAGCAATTCTCCACCCTCCCCGGCCCTCGCCCGGATCTGCTCATCATGCAGCTGGAGATCCCCTTTGACACCGTCTTGAAAGCTCTCCGCACCGCCAACGAGTCCGGCATCCCCGTCCTTCTCAACCCGGCGCCCGCAAAGACACTCCCCGACGAGGCCTACCACAACCTTGCCCATCTCGTCGTCAACGAGACCGAAGCCGCTATCCTCTCCGGCTGCAAAGAGTCAGATCTCGACGACCTAACCGGTCTCGAGCGAGTCGGCGCTCTCTTCATCCAGCGAGGCGTCAGCAACGTCATCATCACCCTCGGCGGCCGAGGCGTCTACTATGCCACCAAGAATGGCAAATCGGCCTTGGTGCCTGCCCTCAAGGCTGACGTCGTGGACACAACTGCTGCGGGCGATACGTTTGTTGGATCATACGCCTTGGCCGTCGTGAGCGCCGGATCAGGCGACTTCGATATTGACACTGCAATCAGAGCGGCTAACAAGGCCGCGGCCATTACCGTGTCTCGCAAGGGAGCCCAAATCTCTATTCCCTGGAAGGATGAGCTGAATTAAGTCCAGCCATGTAAGAAAGCATAGAGAAAAGAAATTATACATACAAAGAAGAAAAAAACGAATAAACTCTTGTACAACAAACAAAAAACCCTAACGTCCTTCCATAACCATTTAATACATGTTACTAAACGTAAACGGCACAGTTGCTTGATTGGTAGTCTACAAACGTTTCGTTTGAAAGGGACCAACCAGATGCTAAAACCATGTTGCCCAAGTCCAAAGACTGGCGTTCTTCTTCCCATTATCTCCTGTAGTTCCATGTTTCTGGCCTTGACCCTTGCCGCTCTTGTCATCTTCTCCATCCTCGTTGCAGTCGCCATATGGGGATCTCACTCTTTCAGGAATTCTCCCATCAGATACTCCCCTACTTCCAACTTCCCAATCATGCGACACCCTTTTCACTGACAGAGGGTGACTTGAAGGGCGCGATTTTACTCTCATCTGCTGCGTCCCTTGGAGGCTAGTTTGCCTCGGAGAAATTGTTGGAGTATAAGGGTGATGCAGAGGCTCACGTGCCATATGCTGCTCATATCCCTCTCTTAGAGCTCTATCATGATCTGGAGATAGTGCAGAGCGTTGCGCCAACATTTGTCGCATCGCGTCAGATGCTTTTTGGGGACCCCAGTGATGTTCAATCAGTGGGAATAACTGACTTTTGACCGGTCTTGGATGAGGGGACCATGGACAGAGCGCGTTGTGCGGTGTTATGGCTGCTTCCGCAGTCGTACTGAGTTTGGTATGGAACGAAGACATTTCAACTGCCCCTACCGACGTCGACCTGGAAGGGAATGCAGAGTGTGAATAAGACACACGTATACTCATGTAAGTCATCAGAGAATCTCCAAGTTGCAGCTCGAGGTCTTCCATTAGTTCGTCTGATCTTTGCCTGATATGCTTGTGCTGTTTCGGTGCAAAGGAGAGTGAAGAAGAAGATCCTATCCCCAACTGGCACATTACATGTACGAGAAGCAGAACACTCGATCCTGCAAACATGGTGCTATATGTGGAATCGTTGTGTTAATTTACCTCAATATTCAATGCTTGGATGTAACATATGAACTTACATTGGAAATTGCTGTTGACAAGTGATTTGAAGCAGAGATGACTTTGGCGTGGGTAGTATGTCTACTGTGAGATCATAGAGATAGCCGAACCTCAAGCAAGTATCTATTTCAATTCATTAGAGCTTTGACAGTGAAGGCGTACGCTTCGGCAGCATAGTTCAGAAATGGGAATGTAAATGGTAGACCACAAACCTTGATCTAAACACGGCGTGGTCTGAGGTTCAGTCTCAGGCTCATTGCTGGCCGTGGAGAGTCTGCCGCTTACTTCGACCGCGGCCCAGAGGTGCTGTTGACCTTTGGATATTCCCATCGTCTCAGATTCCACGCGGATATAAGGAGACAATACAAGACCAGGTTTCTCCGGCAGTGAGGAGTCTGATAGTAAAGAGGAGTCCATGGAGCAGTAGGTATTCTTCGGATCATTATTTGTACATCTGGAGCTTGCTCGGGAGGAAGAGTAAAGTCGCACACTGCCCTCTTTTAGGGGTATACACCTCAACAAGGTGGCATCTTCATTTGCGTTTTCAAAATTGCCTTTATCGCTATGGCGCTTTCGTCGAAAGGTCGTAAACTTAACTGGGTAGCGAAAAAAAGATGGGGTTCGATGCTTTTTATCCTGCTCGTTAATGCTGTCATTGTTGTCCATAATCACCGTACTGTGGCCGAAGCTTGACCTCTGTGAAGATCGACGTGAATCTGGTGCCGCATCGTTCATATACTTCTCTTCGATTATAGTCTTTGGCCGCCGTCTTGGAATCTTCAAAGTCCCATCTTCAGACCACATTAATGCCCCAGGTGGGCTGTTAATCGGGCTAACGTCAAAACATGATGGCAAGCAGCTGTCCTTGGGATTCTTCCCGCTGTACCCATTTCTACTACGACATCTTTTGATGATTCGGAGAGGACTCGGTTTCTCTTTCACAAGTATTCGATCTTTCGATGTAGAGGGCTCAAAACAAGCTGGTGACTTCTTCTCCATATGTTCCATGCTGGAGAAGATGGAGCGGTCAGCGCTGTAGCTCAAAAATGAGTGAAGTCTTGACTCTGCGATTTTAACAATCGCGATGCGTTTCAAATGTCAGTCGGGGCAGCTTATAGATGTCGAAGCTGCACCTATTATGCAACACTGGAATCTGGAGGTTGGTTCCTCTGTAGATGCGTAAAATGGAATCCCCAGTCTGATCCGTACGAATATACTGGCAGGCATGCGGTGGAAACAAATGCTGCGACGAGAATAACAATGGAAACAACAACGGCGAGAAAGGCAATACCTGAAGCTGGATGCTCCCAGATGACCCAAGGACTGTCGTTGGCAGGAATGATAGCAGCTAATGTAGAATCATTTTGCATGGCGGAAGAAACAATGGAGAGAGTTCAAGAAGTGAGTACACAGGTATTCGGAGAAGTTAGATGAGTACGTACTAGGCAATTAACATGACAGGGAGGAAGGTGCTGAGTGCCTTAGATTCATCCTTTGGAAGAAGAAGAAACTTCAGGTGTGAGGAAACAATAATACGAAGGAGCAGCAGGAAGAAAGGCCGTCGTGGCTACGTTTTGCAGAATAATGTGATAACGATAGATACAGTCTAACAGCTGGTATATACAAGTAGGTACCTCAGATATGATGACACTATAAAAGAAGGGGCAAATATACATGGAGATACTCAAGCAACAAGCACATACGCAAGCTCGAAAACAATACGCAATCTTGATATCAACTATATTGGGCCAGCCCTTTTCTCAGAGTTCAGATGCTATGGTGCAAATCATTAAAGCCTGTACGGAATATGAGGTGTTGGAAGAGAGTAACAAAAGTGTATGGCTGGCTATTTGCAAAACTTGTGTGCCAAAACAAAAAATCGCAAGGATGGGAAAAGACGATACGAAGACGACGTCATACCGAGGCATCCAGTGTTCGACGAAGATTGCCCTTGACGGCTTCAATGGTTCCCTCCTCCAGCGCCAAAAAATGAATCTGGATGAAGTGCACGGTTAGCGAGACATACTACACAAGAGTCAGCAATCATGACAACAATTGCACAACATACCATATCGTCGGAGATTCCCGATGCACCGTATAACACTGACTCGGTCAGGGTGGATGCCACGCCCTTCTTGACCCTGTCTTCCCAGACACCATCCCAATTCCACTCCCCAGGCTCCCTGGCCATAGTGGCCATGGTGGACTGAGAGGCTATGCTTCTTGCGTCAAACGCTATGGCATCGCCCTGCTCGCTGGCATTCTCCTTTGGCTGTAAATCACTTAGGATACTTAGCCTGCTTAGCCGATTGCTCTTGATATTCTCGTTAAGCGCCTTTCTTTGTTTGCGCCTATGTGTACGCCACGCATGCCAAGCCCCGGGGTTTCCAGCCGCAGCAAGAGGTACAGTATCGAGAACCTCAGCTTTATCAAAAGAGCTTCGAATGTACTTTAATAGGGAATATGTCGATATCGTCTTCTGATCTGTCTGCATATACCGCGGCACGTCGTCTTTGGGGGGTACCATCGGTGGCTTGTCGCTCGAAGACTGTCCTGATTTTGTAGACGATGCTGATGGCGATGGGCCCCTTCGATCACGACTACGGTGGCGGCTTCCAGCTGCGGAACCACCAAACCACTCTGGAAATCCGTGCTCCAAGCTGAAGCCCCCAGGAGGTAACCTTGGTCTCTCGGCAGTGCTCCCATCGGTTTCAGCACTCGTGGGATACATGTGCGTTGTCAGAGGAGTGATGAGAGGGTGGAAGATGTCGGTCGAAAAGGTAACCAGAGGCGGAGCCCGGGGGTAGGCATCGGGAAACAAGATTTGAAATCGAAGAACAGCCGGAGCATAGGGGCCTTTCAACAGAATTAGAGATCAGCTAGAGTAAGCATTACAGAGACGGTATTCGTCGAGACTTACCATGACGAACGAAAAGCACCGCTGACCAAAGCGACGGATCGCCAGGAGTCAAACTAACAAACACTCCTTCGGGGCACGCCTGCTTCAAACCGGCGCTGTCGGTGGCTGGTTAGCTTTGACGTCAAGCGTGTTTACATTGCTTCCTCGGCTTCTTCCACCTGATTATCGCACGCGCACTACTCACAATTCCGATAGCAAGTGCTGCCGCCACAGCGAGGGCAGATGCCCCAAGGCGAGAGAAGTCATATCGGCCAGCGAATCTTTCTTTATTTTCTATCGCATAGATGCAATCGGGAAGTGCACTCTTTCACTAGTTGACACTCGCAACACGGCCAAATGACAAGGAGTTGGCATAATCCCGGGCAACCGGGATGCGAAGGCGGTGAAGATGAGCGGTGAGATATTCTGCCGCGCAAACTCAACAAAATGATGTAGCAGTTACCGCGGGGTTGAGACGTCACTCGTCGTGGAATTTCGCACCGCGGGGTGGCAAAGTAGCAAGAATTCCAAGTTTTCAAAGAACCGTTGGTAGACAATATATGAGTACATAAGTTGAAGTGTTTGCTTGCAGAATGTAGTCAATTGGGCTTTTTCTTGGGCCTTTTTTCGTCTCCAATGTCCGATTCACTCTTTCAAACCTATTCTCTATACAACGCAGTATAAACCAATCGGATGAGTGTCATAAACTTTTCATGGGCGCTCCAAGTACTCGTATATCAGAACAGCATCTAGTGTCCCAGCCTCTTCTCAATCTTGCCAAGTTCTTGGGCTTTGATATCCTTGATGTCGTGCCGAGAAGCATTGTATGAAGCAGTGACCTGGTTGAAGGGATTTTCGGGGCTCTTGTCGAATTCCTTTCTGATCCTCTGCTTGCGTTGCTCCAGTCGAAGCCCAGTGCCGCTACCGTCCGCCTTCATCTCAGCGAGCCTTCGCTCTTCGTATCGGTGATAGGCGGCGGCGAATCGCCTCTCGGGGTGTTGGTCAATCTTGGAATCGTCCCCACCGGTCGTAAGGGACAGAGCATCGAGGGCGTTGTCGATACCCGAGGCACTGAGAGCACCAAGTTTGTCGTCATCCAGCTGCGACAGGTCCAGACCCCGAGACTTCTTGACTGCGGTCTTAGATTTCTTAGGCTCTGAACGGGCATTCAAGCTAGCTTCCTCCTCCTTCATCAATGAGTCCTTTTCAGCTTTCTTCTGCGCGGCCTCGGCCTTCTTGGCGGCTTCCGCTTCCCTGGAGAGAGCCAATTGTCAGCCACTGGTAGCAAACTACCAGAGGGCGGTGGGCATCGTAAAGGGGGAGAGGCACAGGTGTGGATCACGGCGGAAGGGGGAAACAGGAACGGGAAGAACCTTGGACACGTAGCCAGCCGTATGAGGCGAGCGAGCGCAGACTAGGCATGCGTAGCGATGCCATGTTATGCGCCATCGTGCCACGTATTCGTACGTACTTTTTGGAGTTATTCTTGGCTCCTTGTTGCCACTTCTCGCCCTCAACCATCTCCCGCTCGGCCTCTGCCGCTGCACTCTTCTTCGCGGCGCTGTCCGCCTTGCGCGCGTTACCCGCGGCCTTTTTGCTGTTGTCTTGGCTCTTCTTGCCCGCCATTATGACGTTTCGCCTGTTGCGGTGTCCTTGTTCCTATCGAGGCTCAGGCGGGTCGGGAAGGAGTTTCGCAGCTCCTGGCCAGCGGCGTTATCGTGGATTCGTCTGCGTCTAGCCGTATGAGCCGAAGTTCAAAGCAGGAATATCCAGGAAGGGAAATTAAAGGAAGAGACAGAGGGAGAAAGGGAGAGGCGTGTGCGTTCGCTGCCGCTTCTCTCAAGGGCTCTTTCGCCGTCTACTGGACCATCTGCCCATTGAGACTTGCAAGGTGTGACTGACCGATGGACAGGTGTGCGCCTGGCTGCAGTTTGTTTGCTGTACAAAGCACGTCTCGTCGTCTTCCGCGGCGCCACCTGTATGGGCTAGACCAAACCAGCTTGCGACGGCGGCGATCTGGTCCGGTGGTTGTCCGGGTGCTTTTTCCTTCTTTCTTTATTGTCCTTGAATCAGGCGTGCTCCGTCTGTGTCTGCGGTCTCGGCTCTCGCCTTGATGCTCGCCCTAGAAATCGTCTGGATGCCTGTCCTGGGAGCTTGACTCTGCGAATTTTGCTATGAAGTGCAGGTCGCAGGTTCACTGTGGAGACGGCGCCTGGCCCAGTAGTGCGATTTGGACGCATCGGCTAAGGCAATCACCCGGGCTGCCCACTTTTGCGGCTTCAGTGTTTCACTCAACTTTTTTTTTTCCAGGTTTTCTTTCTTCACTCACCTTGTCATTGTTTTGCATTGCCTTATTCTGCTCTGTTCCGTTTTGTTTTGCTTCACCGACGTCAAGCCGCTCTCGCCCCCCCTCGGAGATGCACCTCCAGTCTCCCTCCTAGGCGGTTGGCGGCTATCAAAGGCTGCAATCCTCCCAAGCCAAATTTGCGACAAACCAAACCCAAATACGTTTTGCGTAAATATAATATTAGCTACATGTAACATACAGGTGGTGGTGGTACAAAAGCAGCAGCTTGCTGACCTACTGCATAGCTATGGCAACACAAACAAGAATCGGATGAGGTAATGATATGGGATGGCGGCGCGGCAGCTCAGCTCGGCCCCTCGTCTAGCCCATGAGATGAGACCAAGACCAAGGCCAGGCCAGGCCAGACTAGACCCGCCCTGACTTGGCATTGGATGCGAGCCGGTCCGCAGATTCGAAAGGCAAAAAGCCCGGCCATAGGTCATATCACGCACGATCCTGCGCCCTCTACGCTATGCCCAGCCCAAGCTTTTCACCTTTCTCGCGCTCAGCCGTCGCTTGCATCCAGGAGTTGCGCCTTGGATCGTCCAGCTTGGACAGGGCTTCATGGGGATCCTCGCCCGGGCCGCGTTGTGGACCCTCGGCAGCTCACAAATAGCCCAGCCCGCGGAGTAGTCACGAATCATCAGCCCGGCTACAACAACAGCCGCAAACAGATCCCCCTGGACCAGTCCATCTCGTCCTGCCTCTCCAGCTGCTTGAAAGAGCCCCCATGAAACAATAAGATCTGGTCGCCTGACGCCGCCTACGTCACGCCGGCGCCGCGGATAGCCGCCCAGGACCAAAAAAGGCATCTTCAGATAGCCTGTAAAGCGAGCCCTAGACCCCAAATCGCACATCTCAAAATCTCACATGGCAGCATGGCCATGGGTCCGATTGGCTGTTTCACCCACTTCCCAGCATGGGGAAGCCACAAGAATGTACAGTGACTGCCTGGAAGCAATGCGTGGGGAAGCTGTGCAAGGCTGCTTGGAAGAAGGGAGCTTACGGGTACCTCGTACATACATACGCATGCCGCCTTGACCGTATTCTCTAGCCGTGTTACACGTCGGAGACTATTGGGAGCGAGTGCTACTCTACCAACGCTGCTACCGTACACGGACTATTGTATACAGGGCCTGTGCCTGGGTTAGACACGAGCCCTCCAGCTCTGGGCCATCACCTTCGTTATCACACCAGCCCGGCGGCGGCTGCTGTTACCAGGGGGGTGTATGCCTCTCTACGGTATTAACCATCTAGTTTGTCCAGACCACACGGGGTCAGCCCTGGATTACTGTACATCTGTACTTCGTAACAAGGCGCGCGCGCGCGCGCAACCCCCTCGCAACTAGGAAGAGAGCTCCGCACATCCCTCTCTCTTTGACGCGGTTTCGTGGCTGTTCGCAACAGGCCCATCTCTAATCCTGGCTCCAGCGCTATGAGCCACGGCGGCCCGTTCCCACCAGCCCAGGCGATGCATACCGCGCTGTCGGGATCCGAGAGTGTGCCAGACCAAAAACAGCTGCCACGCTATCACGACTCATGCTCAATCTTACAAGTCGTCTGCACTCTACTCCGTCGATGCCACCGTTTGTATCGGTCGGAGCTCCGTACATGAATCCGTACATGAGGCTTCTCAGGTTGGGAAACAGCGGTGTTCATGGTCGACAAAAGCTGCCAATTGGCCATGACGAGGGGGCTTTCAAAATACCTCAAAAGGCCGTCTAATATTGCTTCCCAACTTCATGTCGTGTGACACCAGCAGGTCTAGCGTCTTACACCCACAGCAAACTCGCGTAAAATGTGAAAAGGAGCGTTCTTGCGCACTGCAGCGCCAGCTCTGCCACTTCCTCCTCTCCAAAAAAAAGAAGGGCGAAAAGACAGGAGAAGCAAAAGAGCGAGCCCTGAGCGGGGATCTCACCCCAGGCCCCCTCATGGCAGTCTCTCATTGCAGCTCTGTATCAATGCGACATGCTAGGGCTGCATCCATTGTCGTCGCAATTTTCCTGGGGGCGAGACAAACGCGCCCGTCACCTCATGCAAGAGGCCAACTTGGACCTTTCCTCCGATGTTTATGGAGTCCTCAGCCTTTTGCTTGTGCATGCTCGTACATGCCTGTATGGAGTACAGCTGACGGCTATCAAACAGCAAGGCACCAAAAACGCTCGATATCGCATCAGCCACAGGCTTGGCTCTGCATCTCGCCCTTCTGACTCACCCCATTCGCCGGACCCCAGGGTACTTGACTCTACCTTGGTTCCAAGGGAGCTCGCCCGATGGAGCTAGTTGTGCGGTATGTGATGGACGGGGTGCGTGTGCATCAGGGTAGCCTACCAACCTACCCCGACCACCAGCTGAACAGGGATGTGCTGTACGAGACCAATCAATCCCACAGTCAATCTCATCGGGTAGAGAGTTCTCCATGCTAGGGATCATGCGCCTGTGGTTCCGGCATGCTGAGTGAGGAAGCCTGTAGGCCACAAACTCCGTTTCTAAGCATCCTGTACGGGCTCAGCACCTCTTGGCGACGCATGATGAGGTCGATCATCACCAGACTCATTGCGCAAAACAGCCGCAGTGCCCCTCTTCCCTCATGCAGGAGGGGCAAAGAGTAGAAGGTTTCGCGAGCAGGGCATCGACTCTCTGAACACCCATCTACCCACTCGCCGGTGAATGAGTGGTTAGCTTAGCGAGGCGCTGAATCTGCGAACAGCTGCAGGAGCTCCGGAGTATGCTCCGTATAAAGCCCATCATTGGGTGATTTGGGTGGAAATCCAACCGCTCCCGGTGCCGTCAAATCCGCAACTTATGTACGGAGCACTTTGTATTACGCTCTTATGCGTATATAGCGAACCAAGTGTTACAGGCAGCGAACACACACAACACATATCTGTCGACATGCATGAGCGGGAAGTGATGGATGCGAGAGAGAGCAACTTACTGCCTAGCCTATTTGTCATGGCATACCTTGGGCATGCCTACATGTACAGACCTTGTATACGGAACAAGGCAAAGAAGTTTCACGCCGGCACAACCGGGGCTTTTACAAGAATGTTTTGTATGAATTGCAGCCCTGGTGAGAAACAATGCGTTGATAACAAACCAAAAGCGGCAATTGGGATGAGAGCCAATGCACCTTGTACTTTCGTATCGCAGACGCAAGCCAGCGGCCAACCTAACCTGGTCGAAAGCCGAAATTCGTTTGCCAGGAGATATTTAAGGCAAATTGTGCAAATACAGTCAGCCAAGGTAATCTCAAACAGCTTTGTCTACCAAGGACGGAGTAAATACCTTTCTGCTCGTACTTTTCTACATGCGTCGCAACGGTCACTTATCGACTTTTCTGCGCAAAATGACACATCAGGCTCGTCTGACTCTACAAATATTACCAAAAGGGTGATTTGTATCAAAAACCAAGACTCGGCTGACAGTCCTGCATGCATCGCAATTGGCCTGCCTCCTGTGCCTCAACAAATCAGTTCGAATAGGCAAATGCTTACAAACGCCTTGCCTATACAGAGGGTTATGCAGAGTACTCCGTAATACGGAGCATATGTCTGCTTGAATGCCCTGTCCGGAGTGCAGACAGGCATGCCAGGGAGCAGCAGTCCCAGAAACATGATCCTCGTCACAGATCCCGGGGCTTTGCGCAGGCTCCCATAACCGGGAGCATAAAGTATGTATTGACGATTGGTACCGGTGTATATTTGTACGGAGCATTCATGGGCATTAGACTCATGCCCACATGCTTGTAGACACCGGGAATGCCCGCTCCGTCATATCATTTTTGGTACCAAATACAGACAGATATGCGCCCAGCAAGCACCCAAGTACCGAGTACAGGCTCTGTCTAAACGGCTACATCGTAGATATTGCCGTGCGGCTGGAGCTGGACGCGTTTGCAGATCAACGGCGGTTTGATTGGGCACGACTGTTGCGAGAGCGCTTCCCCCCCCCCCCCCCCCCCCCCAGTCCCGTATCAGCCCATCTGATTCAGGACAATCAAATCGAGAGTCAATAATGTGCGAACCGAGAATGGGATGACTCCGAACCTCTCTACCCGGTCGAAATCCTGCGAATGCACAAGCGAGTTGTTATCGTTGGTTCTCAGCCGATGGCAGATCCTCCAATACTGCTAATGCTGCTGTTTCCATTTGAAGCATGTTCCCGCGCTCAAGGGAAGAGCAAAAGGACAGGACAGGGAGAATCGACCAGCCTTGTGACCGCTTATGATCACGAGGCGATGAAGTTCAAACGCACTCCGTAATGGAGCAGGCGCAAGGGCCAGGTTCGTATCGGTCTATTGCGCGGCCCCTGCCCCCATCGACAAGGGCTCTGCCTTTACGCCCGCGCCTAGTCATACTGTAGAGTGCATTGGCGGTCGATCTTGAAGAACCAAGTTGCTGCTGAGAATGGCGTTACGAAGGGGCCTTGCAGACCGTGCAGCTATGCATGTATCTGGTCTCGGGTCAAGCACTACGAGTATTATCACAAAGTCTTCTTGATACCCGGCAATCCTTCGCGACTTGTGGGCAAACCTGTGAGTACACACAGACATGGGTCTTGAACAGCACCACGGTGAGCGAGTTGCCCAAGTGGCTCGCCGTGGGCAAGTTGGCCTAGCTGACAGTGGACCCCAAATCCTACGGATCAGAAGCACGATCACGTATGAGGCATCCAGGTTCACAGTCCGTCTGGTGTATACCGAGTACTGGTGGTGTTGGTACAGAATACCACCGAGAACTCAATAATGACACTCGATTTAATATCAAGCGTAGCCGAGACAGGTGGCATGGTGGCATTATCCATTAGCACAGATTCGACGACACTTGCATGCGATGCATGGCCGTGCATTTCATTGCGCATACTCGTAGGTCCTCATTCATGCTGCAATGACACCGCGTGCAGATCACACCAGCAGCTACGGCAATGGACGTCAATCGGCATGCGAGAGTCAGCCCACCGGATGCATCAACGTGTTTCGAAATAGAACATCTCATCCAGCTCGTCCGAAAGGCGATGGCAACATCATTCACACCCCGCAGAACAGCTTTCGGAGGAATCTGACCTAGACGTAATCTGACCTGAACGTTGCTGCAAAACTGCCTATGAACAGGCGTTGTAACCGAGAACTCGATCGACCGTAAGGCTGATCCCAGACGATTAGAAATACGGTACTCCATACACCGTATTCGTCACAATCCTTCTAGGTCCATCGTGGCTTTGACGGGACTGGCCGCTCAACTTTTCATCTCGCCTAATGCCGTAACTCTAGCAGCCTGCATTCCTCGAAAGCCCATGGGCGTGTGTGTCGAGTGATATCTCCAACCCAGACCGTTCGACGTCCAGAGTGTAACCACACACACGGTTTGTACCCAACGCCGTACCGACGACCACATTATCTTGGCTAGGGCATCCTTGCGGTTAGTGAACGAATCATCGATATCGCTTCGCTACAGCTGCCACGGACGCCAATGCAAGTGCATCTCTTTGTAGTACGAAACTGTCCATGTGACGCATACAAGAATGGTGCGCTCCTTACATACCATTTAGGCATTCAAGCATAGTACACACATGTACTCGTACGTACAGGAAGAAGAGCTCGCAACACCTCCCAGGCTGGACGATCAATTTAAGCCACAGCTCGGGAACTCAGTTGGTAGTCTTGCAGCCGTATCGGCCGACGCCTAGCGCCAATATCGACACAATTCTCATTTGCCCGGAGCTCGACGGCTTCGTTCCCCGGAGTGGACTCACCGACCTAGAATGCTTCGAATCTTGCTAGCGTTTTCAGCCCAAATGGAACCGGAGCTTCGCCCTAGATCCAGTTCCAGCCAAGTGTGCCCACTCGAAAGTTTCGAGAACAAAAATTGAAAACGAGGTCAAAGGGCCTGGACCCACGTGCTTGGGCGTTTTAGAGCAAGCTGTAAAAGGAGCTCTGGAGCTGAAGGCGAAAATCATGCCAAGTAGCTTCGAGTATCTGTTTCGTTCCGCGGGCCAACGCCAATCACACCGTACTCGTACACCCTGAAGCCCGAGATCCATGCAGTTTTGACACAGGTGGGAAACCGGGTTTTGCATTATGCGCCCGAGAAAAGGATCACGAACGGCGAAGGCACCGCTCAGCCGCACCGCAAAAAATTGGTCTTATCCGACTTAACCGCCTGGCAAAGTACGAGCATTGAATGCCCTCCCCCCGTTTGGCATCCGGATCCCCGCCTTGGGTAATATGGGCAATTTCGCGTTTGAGTGCGGAGTAGGTGCATGGACTCGGTGTTTGTGCTCCCTCCCTTACTGTACAATCGGATGTAAAGCGCAAAAAAATTTTCTAGTCTCCTTTGCCCAAACCCCCTTTATTACTGGCCGCACGCTCGGCATTGCTCACTGTCTCTTAGACCAGATGCCGGGATGGCGGTAATCAATCTGGGACTGGGTAGCGCACTGCATGGGTGCGTAGTAGACAACGACCATTTTTTACGGAGCGCTGTACCTTGGAAGTAAGAGGTTGCTAGGCTGCGAGAGCCTTGGATCGGTATAGCATTACCCAGGTGGTAGCGTGGCAACAAGGCCATGAGAAGAACTGGAGAAGCTCTGACAACAGGACTAGCCCTAAGGGGGGTCCGCGACCCGACTTACTGGGCAAGCGATTCTGAAACGGCCGGAATTCGAGTGACATGCTAGGCAAAAGATCAGGAATCCGGTTCGCCGGGTCGATAGATTCGTGGGCTGTCCCCCTTTTCTTCACTCCTATACCCCTGGCGGCCCAATCAGAGCTTCTCGAGCTCGAACCCACCGAGCTTTTGCCAGCTTCCGCGGGAGGGGGCGCCATGCGGCGCTACGGCTAAGTGATGGCATGTGAGGAGTCTTTTAAGATTCTGCCACACTTTCTGTGGAAGCCCTTTCCGATGGCGCTCGCCGTTTGGCAGCGCCAGCGGAGACGGATTGGCTCAACCGGACGTGTGGACTGTCGCCGGCAGAACGGGAGGGCTCCCCGAAACCGCGATACCCTTGGCGTCGGTGATATGCGTTGAATCATTGGGCAGCGGTCCCTGCACTAGTTTTTGGCCATGACGACACTGGCTGAGACAGACACGAAGAAAATCTGGCGGGAGGCGGGCCAGGGCCGGCTCAGGGCCGGCTCAGGGCCAGATGGGATCTGCTCAATCAGTCGATGAGGATCACGAGGCGAGGCGAGGCAAGGCAAGCGATTTGGCGGTGAGCTCTCGGTCTCAGAATGGCGCCCCCAAAAAAATGACTTGGAGGGGGTGGGTGTGAAAAAGAGGCATAGGGCATAACTTGGCATGCTCGCCGCTGCCCAATGCTGGCGGTAGCAAGTAGGTGAGCTTTGATCCTAGGCCGTGCAGTGCATCTTGAGTAACACAGAAACGCACTGTTGTGGTGATGGTCTCGCTCAAGTGTTTGCAGCAGTGCTGACATTCCGGGCATACGAGGAGTCGCCGTCAGCCATGACCAGGGTTTCTAAAAGGCACAAAATGTTGATCCCGTGGTCCATGCGGCAACCCTTTTGACGGCCCTTGCATGCCGCCGTAAAAAAAAGAAAAAGGGAAAAGAAAAGAAAAAAAGTCAATCGAGGAACCTTTTCACCTGCCGTTCCTGTTCCCCGTGATATTTCCTTTTGTCACGATCTTCTGACTTCTCTTCTGCCCGGCAAATAGGGTTGGGCTTCAGGCTTGCTTTTTGCTTCCCCAAGCTGCATGACATGCATGCGCCCACATGAATTCTGTCTGGTAGGGTTGACCCCCATAAGTGGCTTTCCATGCTAGCATCAGTGGGAAGAAGTTTTCCGCCCAAGGTTGCCCCGTATCTCAGGTCTCCAGCAAGGCAATAAGGGGTACGTATTTGCCCCCCTACCTTTTGACGGTCCGGGTTTCCTCAGGGCCATTTCGCGGAGGCCGTAATAACGTTGGCAGAGAGGAAATCAAATCAAGTTCTCATTGACCGGTAGTAGCCCTTGCCCAGCTGGTAGTGAGCGTATCTCCGCATCATGTTAGTTCGCCACGTACCACCAATACCGCCAACTCCGTGTGGTCCGTACAACCATGTTTACCCTGACTCCCTCGTTGCCTCTGGCTCGGTGAGGACATGAAAATAGACATACATGGACCTAAGGTCGCACAGTAAGCGGGAAATCTCAAGGTGACCAATTACCATCAGCAAGAGGTATAGGGTATTATTTGCCTGTATGCACGCCTTGCAGCCGGTGACCAAAAACCTTGCGACAAGGCATGGGATTTGATTTGAATTGAGCGCGCAATGCGCTCGAAACATGTTCCTCCAACACGTCACCCTCGTCCTCTTATCTCGCCGCCAGCAAAATGGCTCCGTTGGCGGCACTGTTGCCGCGCAAAGGCGTGATGGGCTGGCCGCTACTGAGTACAACGGCGAATGCAACGGCGGCGAATGCAACGCCATGCCTCGGGCCATGCCTCGAGTCCATTAGTTCTTCGTAGGCTTCCGGACCACCTGTCCGGGTCAGTAGGAGGCGCCAGGCAAGGTTGGCTGAGCTAGGAAAGGGAAAACCTTGGTGACAAGAACCGTCCAGTGGGCCAGGAGCTTGGGAAAAGATACTCGAGAGGTACTTTGGAGCGTGTCCGACACTCTGGGTCCCAACGGCAGAGGTGCCGGAAGACGTGCAGACTCCACATCGAGCCTCTCTCAAAGCTCTGATACAGGGGCCCCCTTGGCCCTGTAATGAGATGGGCGCATCACCCTTCTGTCCCGGTCCTGGACACCCCCTCTGGGCTGTTGCAAGACCCTCGTCCCTTGCCGTGGCGCACATTGTTTGGAGCTCGTCGACCAGATTGATGGGTGGCATTAGCACTGGTACCCGGCACTGCTCTGTGCAGGGCGGCGAGTCGCCGATTGGGGGCGAGCTCAGGGTGGCTTGGTTGTTTGGTGATTGACGTTTGTTATCCATCTCGCTGCCGCACTTGTTTACGCGCTCTGGTGAAATGTCAAGACCCGCAAAACATGCTACTGCTAGAACTTGTAAGCATATCACCGCCATTTCTCTCTGTTTAGTCCCAGCTTAAGTAGTACCAAGTACATACCATGAAAACAGTCACCGGCACCGGGTCCCCGGACTAGGGCCAAGGTGCTTAGCACTCTGGCGCGGTCAAGAACCTTGTCAGTCCGTTGCCTTCTACACGGCTGTCCTTGCAGTCCCTGGTTAAGACACTGGTGGTTCGGATGCAAGTGCCAGTTCCGTTGCCCAGGCTATCAGTTTCAATCTCATCTCGACCACTCAGGACAACGAATGGCTTCAGACCGAGTGAACGTGGTCAAAAGCCCTCGAGGAGAAACCCTTCCCTTATCTCCGTCCGCATAGATTTCCTGACTGCTGTCTCTGACCAGCCAGAGCAAGTGTAGCGCTAAGCACCCTCGTATAGCACTATAGGCTGTTCAGTCTGGCAGTTTCAAGTCGTCACAACACGGAGTAGCTGAGAAACGACTCAAAGTATCCGTACAGTAATGTGCTGTGATGTAGATAGGTCTTGGCGGTCCTGATAGGGTGTGGACCTCTTCTGAGACTTGGGCATAGTTGGGCAATGCGAAATCACTCTTTGATACACAGGTGGATTTTTTTTAGACATCCCCACGCATTCGGAATCTTCTCACCACGTGGCCTGCGCGTTTTTTGTAATGGCTGGCATATCGGAATATTGGTCATCGTTGATCTCAGTTTTGTTTTTTCCACCTCCTGCCATCCTTCACCTCCTCTTTCTCCTCTTTACCGTTTGTTGTTGCTCAGTGCTTTTATCCGGGACGGGAAGCATGGCATACCCTGAACTCGAATGAGGTGGCTTCGAAGCCCAGTTACACAAGCCGCCCCTGGCGAGGTGGGCTGGACGCTATGGCACCACTCTTATACGACAGTCTCAAACCTGCGCCGACATCACATTGCAGATTGAGACCATCAGACCGTGAACGCAGGACGGAGTTGGGCACGGGCTCAGGCACAAAACGGAAGACACCAAGCCGACTGACGCAGCCTGCCGCAGCCTTTCTTTGGCCAGGCTCGTCCGTTCAATGCTTGCTGCGCACGGCCATAGCAATAACCTAGTAAAATTTCCACAATGACATCAACTCCCCAGTCAAATATGGCAAGCGGCATGACCGAACCGCCTTGTCTCTCGCAATGATGTCGTGGAACCAGTCCCCCTAGATAGGTTCCTACGCATGCAATTGGGCCGCACTGCGAGATGGCACGCGCCAATGAGCAGAGCACTTGGTCTCTCTATGCCTCTCCGTCCCCGTCACTCTCTTACTCTTCCCCCCCGGAGGGGCTGTGAACCTTTGTCTGCATCCCGCTGGTTAGATGCAGCTGGTCTGTCAGCTGACCTCAGTCACTTTACTTGTCGCAGCAGGACAAGGACGCTGCGGTCTGGGATGGGTGACACCCCCAATGTGATTAATAAGAGCGCAGGATATAATGAGGGAATATTCACGCCGTCCTGCCGCCGTCGGTCGCGCCTTGGCGTTTCTCCGTCCGATGCCATGATGCCGCAGTAACATTGTCTGATCATGAGGATATGGGGGGCAGAATTGCCGTGTATACATGTACCTGTAGGTACATTCGACCAACCGCGGCTGGGGCTCATGGCTGTAGAGCACGACACATATACCAGGTCCACTGCAAGAGAGCCAGGGTGGCTGCTTGAGAGGGGAACAAAAACAAGGCTGACAAGAGTCTGTGACAAGCAGCTTGCTGCTTCTGCATATCTGTACGTCCGAGTATGCATCGTGGCATCATGTGCCCCGTCTGCGGCCGGGTGTCGCCTGTTGACCATTCAAAGCTGGCTCCCACCCAAAGACACGCGCGATATGCTTCCCTAATGACCAGGAGGCGCTGTGCGGCTTGGGAGAAGGGACATGGCCGGTTGGTGCTGTGAAATGGTATGTAGTCGTCTTTGGCTGTCTAACGCAGCTGGACCCATTCGGAGGTGCATCCTCTCCCAAGCGCGACGGCAACCCGCAGAGTAAACGGACCGTAGGCTGCACGCGCTCTTCGGTGGCCTTTGCTGGAGGACAAAATCCTCCGTGTCAGTTGAGGCGCAGTGCTATACCTGATATTGTCCAATGCCGTCTGTCGGTCGTTGGTTGCTTTCTTTCTTTCTTTTTCCTCATTTCCTTATTTCACCGATTTTTGCTTCCCTCTGTAGCTGACATCGACAACCCATATTTGTGATGAGACCTACAGCTTCACCGGCCCCACACAGCTGGTCTGTGGATGAATCTCGACCAAGCTGCGATTCTGCGTTGTCGTACATCGTGTTACTAGAGGTTGAAATGATTTAGAGTAGATGCTTTAGCACATCTACCTAGTACGTCACACATTGGATGCATCCACATACCTAGGTACTTTAGATGTCCATATACGGCACACACGAAAATCGACTTACATGCAGCTTGCCGTAGCACACCGGTCGTCTGTCACTGGGAGGTCAATGGAACGAGCTGCTGGAAGTGTACAGTAGCATTGCTTGAGGCCGGGGGAGGGGCAGGAGGCACCCTTGGCACCACCGCCTTTACCCAAGGTTGGGCAAATATCTCGCTCGCAAGGCGTCCAAAGGGCCAAGCCAACGCATAGCTGCCTCGCCCCCGTGCTCATCTGCCACTCGCGTGGCCGAGTGTGTTACAGCCGCAAGACAAACCACCCAGGCTAGCTCATGTTAGCTACATGCTTCCTCTTGGAATCTCAGAGCGTTGATGACGGATCCTGCGGTGACAGGGGTGCGTTGGGCTTGTGGTTCTTGTATCTATAAGTAGGCAAATTTGATGTGGTCGCAAAAAGGACTGTGGTAGCCGCTAGCCAATGCCCAACTGTCTGTTGGTGCAGAAGATGACAGCCGAGCATATTTCTCGAGCAGCAGAAGGAAATTGCCATGTACTGCGATGCTACTGTTAGCTTGCAGGTCATTACATGATATTGCGCCCACTCAACTTACATCGACTACAGTGTGCAGGCCTTAGCACGCACCGTAACTTTGTAGATGCGGCAGGTAAAAGAGGCGCTTCTGTAGTAATCTGCACGATACAGTCACAAGTGTAGGGAGACCTCTCTCCCTACCTGCCTCTTTGCCCGTGCCAGGTACTGCTTGCACAAAGAAGCGAAAGAGGTTGAGCGGTCCGCCGTCTTGCAACCGAGCATCCAAAGTACAGTACAGCCAAGGTACGGATGTATCTGCGCCAGCACACAGACGAGCATGCTACGCCCACTCCCGGGAAGAGATCTCGGCTGCTCGTCACCCAGATGCAAGTACACCGTATCGGACATGGTTTGAGCGATGAGAGTGTGTCTGTTCATGTGTTCCCCCAACTCAAATTGCTTCGGGGCGATCAGGAAACTGTCCCCGAGACGATGCCCCAGGTTTTGGTATGTCTCCCAGGCTCGGCATAATACATCACAACACACACACACACATGTAATAATGCAACGGCCGCTAACAGCGGCCCGTACGACGTCTGTCAGTATCCGCACAGTCTATCACGAGAGGCCGATGGCCTTGTCGAACCACGGCAACCAAGGTGAATCACACAACGTTGTTCTGCGCCCGCCACATGAAGAGCCCCGTGCTGCCTCTTCTCGAAGGAGAAGCGATCAGAAACACCACAGCATAAGGTCGAGGCTGGCTAGTGCAGCACTGACAGATAGTAGCATGGAGACGAAGCGAAGTGACGTTGTTCGCTAGGCCTAACGAACGCTCAACTGGCTAGCCTGCTGCTATTATTGTCCAGTCATTGAGCTCGTACCTGAAGGACACTGCACTATGCTCTCTCACCTTGTGCTCTTTGTCTTCGTCGCTCCACTCCCCCCTATTGCTAGGTAGGCCTAGTTCGCACCCCTCTCATCGAGGATTCCACCAAAGGCGCTGAAAGAAGCCAGAAGCCCAAGCGAAACCACCATCGCAACCGCGACCGAAACCACAGCTGGCGTGACTAGCCGGAGTCGTCGTTACACCTTGGTTTGGCGACGGGCTGGAACAAGCGACGGGTAGATGATACTTGGTCGGAGGATGCCGCCGACCGGATGATGGCCGCTGCGATGGCTTCAATGTGCGAGGGCTGAGGTGGACGTTGCTTTTTTTTGGGGTTACACAAGCCGTGCACCGAAAAATACGGTGTACAGATACGGCGACCAAAAAAAAAAAAAAAGCGTGCGGCAGTTGCGCACACTGCGCCTACCCAGATGCCTTCTGACGCTTGGAAAGAAGCGTCGTGGCCTGTTGCCTCTGCCAGGGATCTAATTTTTTTTCTTGCTTTTCTTTTTTTCTTTTTCCTTTTTTTGCCTTCTTTTTCATTTCATTTCTTTTTTTCCCGCCTTTTTGGTTTGCCTTTTGCCCCCTTCTTCCGGCTCTTCCCCATCATCCATCAGAGTCATCACAATCATCATAATCATCACAATCTTCTCCGCCTGTGTGTGTCTCTCTTTTGCCGTCTTCCCACTCATCCGGGATCCTTCTCACCCCTCGAGAAGGTCCTCACACACCTCTCTTTCTCAACGGATATCATCATCGCCATCATCATCCTGTCTCCTCTCCACCATCTACCCCTAGCCAACTTCTTTTTTGGTTGGGCCCTGTGCCTGTACCGCAGACACCAGATCCTGGCCCCTGCAATTGCCCTGTCGGACTAGGCAAGGTCAAGCTGCGCACTCCTTCACCCCTCCCCCTCCAAACTCACCCCCCTCAGTCCATGTACCTGGGATGTATTTTCTTGGTGCTTCGCCTTTTCTCCCGCTATTTGGCTGACTCGGGGGAGCCTCAATTAAATCACTGCCCTTGACTACTAAGGGCTGGTCCATGCTTTTTTTTTTTTTGTTCCTTCTTCCAGGGCACCCCGAGGGCCCCACGGGCCCAATTGGCCCTGGCTTGACTTCGCCTTAATGCTTCAACGATCAACTCTCTTTTGTGTCGGCCCTGTGGTTCCTAACTCACATCAGAGCCCAACTTAAAGTGCTAGGGAGCAACGGGGCTTGTACGAGTACCGCCAGCCATGGCTTGTTCTTTTTCAGCTATAACCCCAGGATCGTCTACTGTTGTATCCTGGTACGTACTTATGACTTCGTCCACCACTACATATATCATCACTCACTCCCACTCACCAAACCGCCTCTCCTCCTCTCTCTCACGTTCTCCAATAAGCTGGTCTCACGGGTACAACCCTATCTGATTGATTGACTCGGGTTGTTTTTGCCTGTCCCGCATTGGATGATATATACATACATACATATATATACCCCGTCCTACCCCTTCTCCCATCGTCGTCTACCAAGCCGGCTACGGTATTGACTGGCGACAACCATTTGCTTTTCCAACACCGACAACAATCAATCTCACTCCGCTCGAACTCTTAAACTCGTCATTGAACCCCAACCGCAGCTACTAGACCAGTGTGTTTAGATACGAGCTTCGTAAACCTTGTTGCTCGGCTGGTAGCTTTTTACAAGCTGATCCCGTTTGTCCCGTTTCAGCAACAATCTCACTCTCCGACGCCTCTCAAGCCAAGAGTCAGCCAACATGCTGGATCGGAGTCCAACTTCCGCCCCTCGCCCTCGGCGTCGCGGATCTGCCACTCAGCGCAAAGACGCGCTACCACCTTTTCCTGTCCAGCAGATGTTTGTGCTAGGTAAGTACCTGTATCTCGCCCTGGGCCTGGGTTGAGTGCACCTCAGGCTAATGTGATGACAATATAGCCTGTTGCAGACTATGTGAACCCATTGCTTTCATGTCCATCTTCCCGTACATTTACTACATGATTGAAGACTTTAAAATCACCTCGGACCCGACTCAAATTTCCGTCTATGCTGGCATGGTAACCTCCGCATTCACCCTGGCCGAGTTTGCAACTGGTGTCATGTGGGGAAAGCTGAGTGACAAGATCGGACGAAAGCCTGTTCTACTCAGCGGCCTCATCGGTACAGCCATCAGTGTTCTCATCTTCGGTTTCGCTCCTAGCTTGCCGGTCGCCCTCTTTGCGAGAGCAATGGGCGGCCTTCTCAATGGGTACAACTCTCTCCGTGATACATCAGTAACGCTCAGCTTCTAACTCGATGATCAGAAATATCGGTGTGCTGCAGACAACGGTGGCTGAGCTCGTCACTGTTAAAGAGCATCAACGTATGTTGCCTTCCCGATGAATGATCCCTCCCCGGCGTGTTATTGATCGGGTCATACTAACGAGATCTAACAGCTCGCGCATATACCATCATGCCTATGGTTTGGTGCATTGGGTGAGCATCCTCAGCACAGAGTATAAACGCTATGATTCTAACCAGCTTTTCCAGTTCCATCATTGGCCCTATGATTGGTGGCGCTCTTGCCCGTCCCTGCATCAGCTATCCCGCTTACTTTCCCCGCGGCTCAATCTGGGATCAGTACCCATATCTCTTGCCCAACCTTTTCAGCGCAGCGACTGTTCTCTTCGGCGTAGTCGTTGGTATTCTCTTTTTGGAAGAGACTCATCTTGGCAAGAAGGGCGAGAAGGATCGCGGTCGTGAGATCGGTGACCGAATCACTGCCCTCTTCACTAGGGCCACCTACGGCCGAGCTGATAAGCATGAGAAGCTACACCTTCTCGCTGATGGCCAACAAAACGGATACGGCGCTCTTTCCGACTCCCCCATTCCTGATCCGACCAAGTCTCCTCGTGGAAGGGAAGATGGAGACGTCCCGCCCGGTTACCGAAGCCGAGATATTTCACCTCGAGTATCATCCCCCAACACTACAGAGCGCCAAGAGGTCGCTGGCTCCGAGACCCCTGATATTCAGCCCGATCAACCTACCAAGATTTTCACAAAGCCAGTCGTGATGAACATTATTTCATATGGAATCCTCGCCTTGTAAGTCGTTTTCCTTGGCAGTATCGTGGCCCGCCACAGTACTAACCTACCTCCAGCCACACCATCACGTACGACCAGCTCTTTCCCGTTTTCTTGAGCACCGCCCCTCCCAAGGAACCAATTCTCGAGCTTCCTTTCAAATTCGTGAACGGATTCGGCCTCGAAACAAAGGCTATTGGCGTGATCATCTCCGTCCAGGGCTTCTACTCTCTGCTGTCCAATTACCTGATTGTGACACCCATGACCCGTCGACTGGGACCTCTCCGCCTGTTCCGCCTCATTGCATTTTCCTACTTTGCCCTCTATCTCGTCACGCCTTACGTGGTACTCCTCCCGGAGAGCTTGAGGATGCCCGCCATTTACCTATTGGTCATCTGGAAATGCACCTTTTCGACAATGGCATACCCTAGCAACGCAATCCTCTTGGCCAACTCGGCCCCGACGAAGCAAGTTCTCGGCACCATCAACGGCGTTGCGGCGTCCACGGCTAGCTTGTGCAGAGCTCTCGGCCCTACTCTTTCTGGCTTCCTCTACGCTATGGGTTTGCAATCAGGCTATTCAGGCCTTGCTTGGTGGTTCAGCGGTCTCGTCACCATTGTTGGTGCTTATCTCAGCTCTCAGATCACTGAGGGAGCCCAAGCCCCAGTTTCTGGTGAAATGACTGATGCTGATCAATCCCTCATGAACAATTATGATGATGATGAAAACGTTTAAGGTTTTATATTTTTGGTTTTCCCCCGATTCTCGCGACAAGAATCTCATTTCTCGAACCGGCTCAGTGCCCCGAGACGACGACTACGTTTTATTTTTAACTCTGCCTTTATTATTATTATTATTTTTATAACTGGTATAATCCACGGCTTGAACAAACGACTTCAAACACGATTTTTCGAGCCGACAAAGGTGATGACTTCGGTCAGGCATAACGGCGCCTTGAGAGGCTTCATCTATCTCTCTCCCTTTTATTGTTTCATTATTCACTTTTATTTTATTTTTCCAATTTGATGCAAGCACGTTTGGGCCAACAATGTTGGCTAATTAGAAGGATACTGGAGCTCTGGGATAAACAGGGAATGGAGCTATTTTTGGACATTTTCACTACAACGGATTTATTCTTGTTTTTTTTATTTCTGTATTTCTCCCTTTCTCGTCTTCCAAAGTGGGGGAAGAAAGGCACAGCCGTTGGCTCTGCAATGTGCGGTGATAATGGTCCGAGGATCGAAGAACCGGGAGACTCGGACCAAGCCGGCGTGGAAGATGGAGATCAAGGACATGGATTGGGTACATGGGTTTATCATTGGGTACATGGCACAGGGCATAAGGCACTGGGATTGAATATTGGACACTAGGCATAAGGAACGGGATATCGGACACGGGGTATAAGACATGGAATGTCAGGCTCTGGAAACTGGAACTAGGCACTTGAAGGCAGGTTTGGCTTACGGTTGGTTGGAGACGGTTCGGACTGGGACGAGACATGACGGGGCAGGGTGGGATGGGGCCGATGGATGTTACTGATTAGAGATCCCCCCCATGGTGATGGGCTTGGGACTTTCGTTTGGGTATTGGGTACAGAGTGCTTGCTAGTTGCATAAGTAGGTTTAGGTATGCATCGGGTCTAGCCATTGAAAGTTTTGACAAATATTAAAAACTTTGCTTGGTGGTAATGTGCGAGTAGCTCGTCGTGTGCTTTTGCGGTGAAGGGGAGCTTTTCGGCAAGCTGGCAAGCTACCGCCTGGGATATGCTACCCGGCCCCAGGTATGGAAGTATGGGGGGAGTGTGAGTAGAAGTGGGGGAGAGAAGAGGAATATGGAAAGAAACAAAAGAGACGATGTGATGGTGGCATGGCCCCATGGGTTCTGCAGTTTAGTTCCGACAAGAAGCCTGATCCTGGTGCCTGACTAGGAGTGAGAACGCGAGATGGCGATTTAGCAAGGAGAGCAAGACACCCAAAGAGACGGGGGAAACGGGATGGATGAATGCTGAGCCAATCGGGACGCGTGAGGCAAGCCAGCAGATTGGGCTGCCACGGTCTTGGTCTGGGTTGGAGGGAGCAAAAGTTGTGGTGTGTATTGTCCAGCGAAGTGCGCGCGCTAATGTAGGAGTGTGGCATGCAAGTTGCATGGCAAGGCATAGTATGGTACCATTTCAGAGCGGTTAGATGAGCTAGAGGTAGTTAATGTGACACTGCTAGGAGACAGGTAAGCGGCGCTTTGTTGTTACAGCTAATATGTATGGGACGGGACGGAGTATGGAGCTTTTGTGGGATGATGATATGGGGAGATGGTTGTTGTTGTCTGCTTTGGTTGAAGCGAAGGAGGGGGGGTGTGAGGTCTGGGGAAAGGGGCTGAAAAGTGATGGTGGGGAGGCAAGGACAAGAGACTCAGAGACAGACGGAGAGATCTGGGTGTATGTATGAAGGCAATGCGTATGGAGTTCATCTTACCCCGGATTTGCTGCGAGTGGGTTTGTGCGGATGGACTTGTGAATGTTACCTGTAAGCAAGGATTGGATCGATTTTGTGTGCGTTTGCTTACCGAGGATTGACATGTGCCTGGGAGAAGATGTTAGAGAAGCAGGCAGCACTCTAGGAGAGAAGAGAGAAATATAATTGAATTGTCGAGATGATGATTTACACAGCTGAATTCAATTGAGCGAACAAAAGGGATATTCGGCGTAAAAGGTTGGTACCTTAGTCTCTACCTCTAACCCACTCAAGCTTGGAGGCGGAGGTGGTTCCGCGGGATACACGGAACACGCACAATTTGCTTTGCCCTTGTGTGCAAGTAGCAGCACCTCTAGCTAATATAGAGTTATACCGGCATCTACCACTAGGTACGAGGTAGGTACTAACGTATCCCGTTCAAAACGCGGGCTGCCTGGTAGTATGGAGCATTAAATGTTGGATGGATGGGGATCAAAATGGAGTCCAGCTAAAGCACTCGTACCTCTCTGCGACTCCGATGGGCTCTGAAAAGCTGACATTGCATTTCCCCATACAGAATCCCCCCAAGTCGAGGTGCAGCTCATCTCCATCATCCCCATATTTCTTTCTCCTCCCAGATGCCTTATCTTGATGCTACCATATGGGGAGGCGTTAGTATCTTTACTATTACCTAAGGCATCTGGTAGCGCAACGGTTACACAAGCCTGCAGCGAACCCCCATTAGGTAGAGTAGGCTACGGAGTACAACTCAGCCAAAAATAGATGATTAAGAAAACATGAGCTTGGAAATAAACACAAGGGAAAAGTGACAGGGCAATCCTACGATTACGAGCGGTTCTATCCAAATGCGGGGACCGGCGCACCGGGCGGTTGGTTCAGCCGGGGAACTCTACTCTTTTTCAGATTGCGAGTCTCTTTCAAAATCCCCCCATTCTTTTGCCAGTCTGTGCTCTGTGCTCTTATCAACCATTACCTGATACAGGCAGTTCCTTGGGCTAAGATAGCGCTATGTGTAATAAGGCGTAGCACTAATCGTGTCAAGTATCGGTAGCACATGGGGCCGCCGCCACTGAATGGATGCCTCGTTAGCAGCTACCTGCCCGCCAGGCGTTGCGCGCCGCCAATCGCAGGTACTGCTTGATCCCGGGCCCCATCGTCAGCCCGAGCAGCGAGGTCCTGCTGCTACTAAGCCGAAGCCTCGCTCGTGGGGTTCACTTTTGTCGCGGCTACCCACCATCTTTTCCCTTCCCCAAACCAAAAGTCATGGAGTTTTGACAACTACATGCCACAGACGACCGACCGTACATACTGCATCGCTACATCGCCGCGTTACTGCATTGCTGCATTGCTGCATCATTGAATCGCCTCTGCCGCCATTACTCGTGCGGTGCTATTTGCTGCATCCCTACCTTATTATATACCTGATACTGCAGCCTCCTGCGCCGTGATACAGGCGCATACCAACCGACTGCGTTCGGCCTTTTGCCAAGTACCGACTGCTTTGCATTGTCGTCCTTGCGCACTTGAACAGCTCTCCGTCGGTTGACTGCATATCAGTCTTCTCCGGGGAAGTAATCCGACCCGACCTTCTGTGGCTGCGCGTCTGGGACGTCTGTTCCGCACCTGTTATATCGCACGTTCAGCGCCTTCGGTTATGCGCTGCGACCAAACAACTCGCCTTCTGGATGGTTGATGCCACGCTTGCGGTCGCTCTACTCGATTGCTCTGTCGACGTGTCGTCATACTTGTACCTGACGACCATCTGTGTCTTCGACCGCCTGTGCTTCTGGGCGCCCCTCCGATTGCCGCTGGTTTCTGGCCGATATTCGGCCTGTGCCTGATTCTGGACGATGGGATAGCGGAACAAGGAAAGCCGCGCACAGGATTGGCCAGCTGTTGAAAAGACATACGCACACACATACGCTTTTATATGAAAATAGAGACAAGGCGGAGAAATTAGAGAGAGGAAAGGATCAGAAAGAGGAGGAGAAAAGTGAGGCTAAAGGAAGCATCTCTTACATATAGACGACGTGCTTGTGGAACAAAGACGTCCTTTGCAACCACAACAACAAGGGAACCATTGGCAAGCTGGAGGTGAGTCGAGTCGAGCTGGATCGAATTGAATCAAGTCTCTGTGCTCTGCATGCATAGTGTCCCGCATCTCCCCCGCTGGCTTAACTGCGATCTGACCTTGTAGGTGGCCGTCCGATTTATCCATCTAGACCGAGGAGCATTCCCCTTGTCCTTGTCATCATTGCCGCCTGACTGTGCGTGCGTGGCGTGTGTGCGTCTGCGTGAGAGAGCACGATAGCACCAACGAGACGGAGAGAAGAGGCAGGGGATAACAGGGGACGGGCGACAGAAAAAAAAAACCGGAGACGACGGAGACTGGTGTACAGTATCTGTATCTGTGCATGCAGGCTGCCGTGGCCCTCCTCTTCTTTCTCAGACTCTCACCTTGCTTTTCCCCCCAGAGGATCTAACGCCGACCCCCTCCCGACCCCAACCTCTCAAAGCTCTCCCTCGCTGGGGGACTGCCGGCCTAACACAAGCCAACCTTGCCTTAATCCTCTTAAACCATGCCCACGCATGGCCCGCCGTCCCCGATCCTCCAGAAAAGCGTCAAGCGTCAGCGGCAGGACTCGTACGACGGCACGTCATCGCGCAACGGCTTCTCAAGTCCTGAGCAGCAGCCGGCCGGCGATGCGAATCTAGGAGGGGCGACGAGCGGCGGCAGTACCAGCGGCCGCAGCGAGGCTGGTGCCTCGGCATCGTACCCTGGCATCCCTGTCACCTCTGACTCTGTTCCTGTTCCTGGTCCTGGTCATGATTCCGGTGCCGGCGACGGCGCAATTGATACTGCCAGTGTTGATGATGCCGCCGCAAATACCAACACCAACACCAGCACCGCCCCTGCGGCCAGCTCCGACAGCGTTGTGCCGACTGGCAAGCCTGGCCAGAGCAGCAATTTCCGCAATGTGAGCGCTTGCAATCGCTGCCGCCTGCGTAAGAATAGGTGTGATCAGAAGCTCCCCAGCTGTGCGAGCTGCAACAAGGTTGGCGTCCCATGTGTTGGCTATGACCCAATCACGAAGAAGGAGATTCCTAGAAGGTAAGTAGATGTAGGAGACTACACGATGTGCAAGGGAGGGAGAGCAAAGTGGCAGAGAACAGATAATGTTTGGTTCGCCTTTGTAAAGCTCTGTTCTTCATATCTCGTTACAATTGATAGTGTGGCGTTACTAATTTGTTGGATTCTAGTTATGTCTTCTATCTCGAGACCCGGGTTGAGGTGCTGGAGAAACTCCTGGCATCCAACAACGTCCCTTTCCCGCCGGCTGAAGATCTAGACCTATGTTCTCGACCTGGCGCCGATGGGAGTTTCCCAGCCCTACGTGATTCGGGATACTCAGCGCAAACCGATTCTATGGACGCTCGCAACTCAAGACCGCATAGCCATCACAGCCAAGCACTGGATAATGCGCTGCTCCCTGCGAAAAAGCAGGGCGACCAAAGTCCGGCCATGCTAAATATTGTCAGTCCGGCAAAGCCTCGATCACTTGCCTCTACATCCGGGGTTTCCTTCGCCCGTGTAGTGTTTGCTGCGGTGCAGTATTCAGTATCAGACCAAAACGGCGGGCCGGAGAAGCCTGTCTCGTCAAATCCCTCGAACCCCGTTGGGGCTGGCACTTCGATGCGTGACTCCTTCTTCGGTTTGCACACTCGACCAACCATTCAGCCGGCTCCATTCCCGACTAGAGATGTGGCCATGCGCCTGGTCACGCTCTACTTTGAGCATGCAAATCCTCAGATTCCCATCCTGCACCGCCCTGAGTTTATGCGCATGTTTGAACGGGCATACGCAAGCGAGGGTCGAGGCCTTAGTGCGAGGGAGCTGTATATGCTCAATATGGTCTTCGCTATAGGCTGCGGCGTCATTGTGGGCGAGCCGGTCAAGGCAGAGGCTACTGGAGGCTCAAGGTTACAGTTTCAGCAGGCTCGGAACCAGAGCAGGCCCGAGGAATATCACGCGAGTGCAATTGTCCACCTTGAGGAATGTCTCAGCAGCAGCGGAGGCGGGCTCGAGGTTCTGCAGGCCGTTCTTTTGCTTGCCAACTTTGCGCTTCTGCGGCCTGTTCCACCAGGCTTGTGGTATATAACTGGCGTTGCGGTGCGTCTCGCGGTCGACCTTGGTCTCCACCACGAGGACGGCACGGATATAGAGGGAAATGGACAGGATGCGTCGGACCATTCCGAATCACGAGACACTAATGGCGGCAACTCAGATAGAGGGAGACGCCTCTGGATCCGCGATATGAGACGCCGATTATGGTGGTGCACCTATTCGTTTGATAGGCTCGTGAGCACCTGTGTAGGTAGACCGTTTGGCATCAGCGACCAAGTCATCACAACTGAATTTCCCTCGGTCCTCGACGATGCCTTTATCACACCGAATGGTTTTATAGATCCACCTCCCGGCGAGGATCACCCGAGTTACAAACGCGTTGCCCATCATTACTTCAGGCTACGCCTGCTACAGTCGGAGATTCTTCAAGTATTGCAGTATAATCAAGCGCAAATTGCCAGGGCAACAGGAGCCCAGGCGAGGTCACTGGATCTGGAAAGGAACAGACAACTGCCGTCCCCTTATCTTGTTCACTTTGATTCATATCGCTCATGGCGGATGGATATTGACCGGAGACTTCGCGAATGGAAGGACAATGCGCCTTCAAAGCAAGATACCGGAGTGGCCTTTTCGACCGAGTTCCTCTTCCTCAACTATTGGCAGGCCATCGTTCTTCTGTATAAGCAGAGTTTGAGCATCCCCGCCATGTTTGAAGGAGAGTACAACCCTTCAAACGAAGTCAACAGCCCCACGGCATTCACTGCTGAGCTACGCGAAGACGAGGAGCGCATATATCTCAAGGTCGCCGAGGCGGGGCAAAAGATTCTCCGCATATATAGACAGCTACATCTGAGCAGTCTCGTAAGCTATACATATTTGTCTACGCACCATTTGTTCATGGCTGGCATATCATATCTTTACGCCATCTGGCATTCTCCTGCTGTGAGAAGCCGCCTGGTAAGTATCCCTTCGAGAATCTCTGCAGGGAGATGAGAAAGAAGACAATGGACGAAACGAAAGAAGAAACCGACCTTGCTGACCAAATAACGTGTGATAGACCATGGACGAAGTAGATTTCACTGTACTGGCAGCAAAGTCAGTATTCACAGACATGATTGACAAGTGCCCGCCGGCAGAGACATGCCGCGACGCTTTTGATCGAACGGCCAAGGCTACCATCCAAATGGCCACTTCGAAAGGAGGGTTTGGTTCTCCTATCCCGCAAACCCGCCGGCCGCCGACTAGACGGGAGACGAGCACCTGGGCTCCTACTCCCGCAGACATGGCCTCCAAGAAGCCGGCATCTCGACATCGCCATCATCACCAATCTGAGCAGCAACAGTTCCAGTTTGACATGGCGATGGGTGATAGTCTATCGTCGCCTAGCCTCTCGACAGCGGGGGATATAACCACTCCGCCGGTAACAATGGCTCACTCCCACTCTCACAGCCATGGCCGGCCAAGCCCCACGCAGCGGACAGGCAGTTATGACGATGGCGGCTCAGTCATGGACCAGTCGATCATTGCGTCGCCATCTGTGCCACGGAGCCAGGCTACTCCGGGCAGCACCAGCGGTGGGAATCCGTATATGGGTCAACAAAACCAGCAGTTTGGCATCCAGGGGCACATGGAGTACCCGGATGCGCAAACCATGGAGCTTCTGCAGACGTTTGGGACGGGATCTAACGGCGGCTTCGGGAGCATGGACCAGAACCAGATAGACTTTGGCTTTGGCATAAACTGGGAGGGCGTGCACAACGACTATGCGGAGGCTGCACAGCCGATGAATCCCTTTGATACGTTTTTCTTTGGCGGGCCGCAGGGAGGCAACGCCGGATTTGGCTCGTCGAATGGCGAAGGTGGACATTCGGGAGGGAATGATATCTGAGGATGAAAGAGAAGAATAGGATGTGGAGTCGATGATTGATCGGGGGATTTTTTTCCATCATATGCATACATACCCAATAGTTTTTTTGCTTTTCCGATTTGTTCTGTTTTTGTTGGATTCCTCTTGTTCTGCTTTGCTCTCCTGTTTCGCGGAGGTTCTCTGTTTTGATGATACAACTGGGAGCTATTTTACTTGGGCATATGGAATCATTGAGAAATGGATTCTTGAATCTGAATTCTTCAAAGTAAGGGTATGCTTAGTTTGAGCGACTACCTACACACATATATGTATATATACATATTCCTACCAGGTAGACAAATATGTGTCTTAAAAATGAAGTCGTGCTATCCATTATTCATTCATTCTTCATCGTCATGTGCCGGCAGTGTAAGTATAATTGTCTAAAAGGGGAAAATCGAAACAGAAAAGACAAAGATAGATTCAACGCCAACATCGCTTCATTACGCATTGCTTACTTGCCTCTCTCTGCAATCGGTCAAAACGGGCACTTTTGCTGCACTCGTACGTGAGTCTTTGTTCTTGGGTATCAATCAATGTCCTCTGAAACTTTGCAACAGTTGTGGCCCTGCAGCTGCAAAAACGAAAGAGAGAGAGAGAGAGAAGCAAGAGTCGATAGCCAAAATGGAACTAAAAAAGGGGAAGGGGAAATATAACGACAAAATGAACTTGGAATCAATCAAAGCGGCTTAGCGGCGGTATCTCCTGTCGTCGTCTTCGCTGTAGCTGGATCGCCGGCTGCTCGATCTCCTGGCTTTTCGGCTCTGCCGCCTTGGAGAAGTAGTGGTTTCCTCAATGACAACCACCTCGTTCTCCTCATCGTAGTCCGAAGGAAGGGGGTCCCTCCTGGGTGCAGGCCCGGCTCCAGATGACGAAGAAATCGTCGTCAGCGGTGACGGCTCTCTCTTCCTCCGCATAGGCTCTACGATGACGGGCTCCTTGCCTCTCCTCTCACTCCTACGCTTGGACGTCCTAGTGGTGCGCTCCCGTCGGATCGAGAGTACTCTCGCACCGTGCATCGAGGGGACCTTCTTCTTGGGCTTTTCGCTCTTTGGGCGGGCGGAGCTTAGCATGCTGCGAGAGACATACGACTTGGACTCGGTGACCTCTGCGGTGCGGACAAGGCTGGACATGGGTCCGAAGCCCAGAATCGTGTATATGACTAGCAGCAGCAAGATGAAGCCAACGACTGCAGCAATGACGATGCCGACGATGGCGCCTGGCGTGAGAGAGTCGTGGAGGGAGCCGTATGTCTCGGGGATGACAACAAAGGTGGTCGTGGCGGAGTCTCGCTGTCGAGCCACGAGGGACGGGACATCGCCATGGATAGTTCTGGTCGCGAACCCGGGAGCTTTAGCGAGCTCGTTTATTGGCAGCCGTAAGAGAAGCGGTAGAGCCGGCATGTTTGTCTCTGTGTGCCCGTTACTGGAACCCCTTCGGATGGAGACGTTGATTGGATAAGTTGTTTTATGAACTCAGCTTCTTGCTGCCGAGATTCGAAAGAGAGGGGAGGAGAGAGAAGAAGAGTAGAGAGCGAAGGGGAATGAGTCGGATAAAGACGCGGATTTTGCTGTCGTTGGACTTTGAGAGCCCAAGCAAGAGAAAGACAGCAAGATCGGGTACGGTGTAGCAGCTGGAGATGATCAGGCGAATAGATGGCGAGGACGAAAGAGCGCAATGCAATGCAACGAGGGCCCTCAGTAGGATGACGATGGCGTGTGCATCAACTGCATCATGTCGCTTTCAGGGGTGGAGGTTTCTACTGCTTGTCTCAGTAGGACATTTTTCGAATCACCGAGGTTGAAGAGGGAAAAAAGAAGCTGTCCCGCCTCATTCCCTGTCTCGTCTTTTTTTGTGGTGACTTGTTTGGTTTGTTGGTTCGTAATAGTAATTGGCATATGATAAGCCAAGCTTCAGGCACAAGGTGGGCTGGATGGGCGGCAACGAACCGAGCCTAGAGAGAAAAAAAATCCCCAGCCACCGATCAAATGGCGCTCCCAGCCACATCATTTTTGGTGGAGGCCATTGACGTATTACCTGGTCCAATGAGAAGAGACGGATAGATTGAATATCTTGCTTACCTTGATGTATATTTAACTTTTGATGGATTAAAGTAAGACAGAGAGAGGGTGTGTCAGAGAGAGAAGAAATGGGAAGAGTTGGATTGCTCTTGGTTGAAGAATTGGACAAATGATGAAGAAGAAGCAAAGCATTGATTGTAAAGCAGGTACCAACGCTTGGAGCATGCTAAAGTCTCAATGCCAAGCAATCCATCAGCTGAACCCCCACGCGTCGGATTATCGTTTTCTCGGCCTCATTGTATTGACATGCAGAAAAGAGAATAGAGGGTGAGTGAAGCTGGCGAGGAAGAGGAGAGAAGAATCAACGATAGGAAGTACCTAAGGACGCAAAGTAACAGCCTCGCACTGGAGTTGAGACCTCAGGTACTGACATCAAATTGGCAAAATGAAAATGAACGGAAGGTATAGTCCGTTGATGCATGACGTGTGAGCCGAGTGGTGGAAAGTCCTGTCAAATACATGTATCAAGTCCAAAGTCACAGCGCAATCACGCATCCAGAAGGCACAAGTCAAATACAAAAGGGATTTGGTATTTTAAAATACTTCCAGATTCAATCACCCATCCACGTACAATGGGGAGACTATCCCAACCACTTTTACGACGAGTAAAACCAACCAATGCTTTATTCCTCCCAAGGCTCGGTTTCATCAGAGCTTCCCCAGTCGTCAACAGTGTTAAACAAGTATATGGATGCAGGTTCATTATGCATCAAATATGTCCGCCGTAAATCACGCGTCCTTTCTTCAATCCTAGCGCCCAAGTATACAAAAAGGTAAAGAAGAAAAGAAAAAAAAAAGACAAAGAAAGAAGAACAGGTGCTTTTTGTAGGACGCAAAAGCATGTCTCTGGGACTCGATTCTTAACGCCAATCGCCTGTGAAATGAAGAGTGCCGCGTTTTATATTAAATGCGGCATACTCGGATGAAACTGATGGGGATATTCAAACAATAACAGGAAAAAAAAATATGGAAGATGAAAAAAAAAAGCCGACCCAGCTGGCCCGATTTATTTACACTTGGGCCATTTGCTTCTGCGGGATGGGCGGCAAGGCACACGTTGGTGGTGGTGCCGGTGGTGGCATCGCCATCCGTGGCATGCTCTTCTTGCGACCCATCAACTGGGCATGGTTGCTGGAAGAAGATGAAGGTCTGGAGGGAAGAGGGGGAAGAGGGCCTGTTGGAGGCGGCGAAAGTGGAGGCGTCTCTGCAATGATGTCGATTGGGCGTACATCGCCAGGGACCGACCATTCGGAAAAGGCAGACGCGATGCTGGCTCGCTTAGGTCTGGAAGCCCATGAAAATCCCAGAGAAAAGCTCCGCGTTGATTCGCCGTCAACCTCTACTGAGGTTCGGTTCCTCCTCACCCTATCACCCCAAGCAGCTGCGATATGAGACGGTAGTGTATAGTACAGCTTCTCGGACACGGGCGATGCTAGCGGACTATCATCTTCAAATACCGATTGTTGCGCGCCGTCAACTTGAGGCCCAGAAGAAGCGAAAAGGCTCGGCCCAGGGCTATGACTTCGAGATTCCTTGGGCACCAAGCTCAGACGCCGTCCCAGCACGAGCCGGCCTCGAGGTAGCTTGGGGACACTAGGAGCATCTGCAGACAGTACTTGGGACCGAGTCTCGGCGTTATGGCTCGTCACAGGCCTCTCAGGCATGATGTTCTCCTTTGGGGATGGCTGATCTTGAACTGTGGACAAGGGACGCCCTGTGCGAATATTTGACAGTTTACGCAGCGAGACTCGAGGTCCGACAGTGGTTGGTGATGGAGGATGTCCACTTGGATCCATAGCAGAAGTGAGCTTGATGTATCGACGACCCATTTGTTGCATTGAGGAGGCGCCAAACGAATGAGTACCACGGGGGTCGGAAGGAGATGGTGGCTCAGTGTTGACCCAGGGCGGAGATGGAAATTGACCGAGTTCAGACATGCCATCACCGATCTCTCCAACGAATGGCGCCATGGTCTGTAGCGACACTCGCCGATTCATAATGACACTGCCGTTGGGCCTTGGCTGTGCAGTCTCTGGAATGGTGGTGATATCTGCTGGCAGCGGAAATCTCTCGCGGATTGGGGAATCGGCTGGTGAAGAGGTGGTCGACGTCAAGATAGTTCGTTGGCCGGAGGAGAGGAGCGACAGCCGATGAGCGGAGTCCCGGAGATTGTCCAGTTGGCGACCGTCGTGGGAGATGACGCTGTTTGTTGTTGACTTATCGTCACTATTCATGTCATGGGTAACGGAGTCGAAGTCGATCACGGGAATGGAATAATCACAAACTCTTCGCCCATGGTCTTGTTGCATGACAGGCGAGGGGTTTGCGGGAACGGCTTGTGTCGATCGGATGGCTTCCTTGTCAATAAGGTTTCCTTGGCTCTTCTTTTCGCGAAGATAGATACTGTCGAAGCTACCCTCCTTGGAACTAGTTTCTTTGCTATCAAACTCCTTGGGCAATCCAGCCTCAGAGAGGCTCCTTTTGCCACCAAGCTGCTCAATCATTGCGCGCAAACTCGTCATCCAGTCATCCATATCCTCGGCACTCTCAAAGACCATGAGCATATTGGACGTGTAGCGCTTTTCTGAAGTTCGAAAGGATAACTTGGAAAGAAGAGACCGAGACTCGGCTGTAGATACTCTGTCGTCCTCTGTGGTCGCCGAAACCTGTAGCACCCAATGGCGACCCGGAATCATGTCAGTGGCAAAGGCGGCCGACGTCTTGCCCAACCGCAGCACCTTTTCGGGCATTCTATCGATGGCTCCATCACCGGTATATTGAAGCAGGTAGCCAGCTGTCGCAAGGATATAAATCTTGGTCGTCCATGGGAGGTTCGTAGTGGATAGAGAATCGCCGCGGTTCCTTCTCCTGAATTTGTCACTATTGCTAGTGTTGGCGGCGCCACTGCCGCCGCTTACATTCATCTCTGTTTGGGAAAGAGGTGCAATAATCTCGACGCTAGTCTTTTCGCTCAGCTTCATAAGAGCCTCGATTGGTAGAGAAACGGCGGCAAGAGACTGTTGCTTGTGTGCTTGTTGGTATGCTCGAAACAAGGTTGGTAATGTCCAAGTGGCGAGAGTCGGACGGGGTTGCTTGGCTATGCTCATGCCAGGTGTGCGTTTCCCTGAGGAAGCAGCAGAAGCATTGGCAGGGCTGCGGGATTGTGAATCTTGGCCGTCGTCAGGCTTCTCGTGAGAGGAATCCCACGGGTAGTTTGCCATGGGAAGGGCGAGCTCAGACTTGACCTGTTGTCCATAAGGCCAATTCATATCTGCAAGAGACGCTCGAAAGCCTCCAGATCGGGGAGATGCCTTGGCTGAGTTGAGCGAATTGAGAGAGCTGGGTGAACGCAGGCTTTCCTCGCCCTTGTGTAGCTTGGTAGAGCGTCCAAAGAGAGTTCGAATGCCGAGTCTCGATTCTCGCCGTCCAGGTTTGACCGGTTTTGATAGAGATGAACTCTCGCTTTCACCTGAGAGGAAGGGTATCGGGGTATGTACTCTTCGAGGGAAAGAATTGTTGCCCTCAGGCGGTTCGGGTCTGCTGATGGGGGCCATGACGGAGCCAAATCAGACAGCACAGGGCCGATTGGGGGAACTCCCAAACTAAGCTCGCGATAAGTGATGAATTGCGTATGCGTATAAGTGATTGGGAGGTTGGTCCTTGGAGTCAATGCTTGGTGGACCCATGAAATGTTGCCCAGTGAGTACAGTAGTTTGCTGTGGAGAAGCAACTGTTTCAGAGGAGAGGATGAAGAGAGGAAAAGTGGAAATGAATGTCTTCGAAGGCGTATACGAGTAATGCCGCAGCACCGACCAGCGTTATAGGATTTGTACAGACTGAGTAGGGGGACTCGAATGTGATCTGAAGGACTGGGCGGAATCGATATAGGCAAGCTGTGAGAATGCTAGCCGAGGTGTTTTAGACGGCCTCGACGGGATACACCGGTAGCAAGAGCAGAGCAGAGCAGGACGGAAGCAGTGCTGAAAGAAGATGTGGAGGGAATGTGGAGGGATTGCAAACAAGAGCAGAGAGCAGAAAACGCACAAAGCACAGCAAAGGATTGTGTAGTTTGCTTCCTTCAAGATGGCATTGTGACGAGGGAGAAGGCCAGTCAGTCATTCAGACAGACGAGAGGTGGGACTGTGGGCTAGTAATAGTTGCAGCTTGACAAATGCAAGACCGAGCACAGGCGTCCTGTACCTTGGAAGTTAGTACAAAGTAGGGTACGATTCCTGGCCCGGCCAAATCAGAAGCTCAAGAGCAGAAAAAAACAGAGCAAAAACAGATGTCAAAAAGGGTATCCACCGCAATGCATCTCGTCAAAAAGCTTTCACAAGGGCCGGGGACAGGGGTCGAGAGCGAGGTTGATGAGGGTGGGCCGGACGAGGTGCTGAACAGTGCGTGACAGGCGGGGGGCACCACCGAGGCTAGCGGACTAGCAGGCACTGGACATGCATTCATAGTGCTGAGCTGCGAGTCCAGGCGGCAGAGAATTGCACTGATGGAGGCTATGGCCGGCTTTGCGAGTACCGGTACAGGGCCTGAAGCCCAGAAGCCCACATAATGCAGGGCATCAATTGCAGCGGAGGGACACCCGGCAATCCGTGGCGGAACTGAGGCTTGGCCTGACAGGATCAATGAATGGGAGACGGGAAGTTCCAGCGCCTCAGAGCCCAGCAGTGGTGGCGCTTCGCAAGTACCAGTACTCGTACCTCAAATGCTTTGTTCGAGATCCTAAAGTGCCTTATCTTGGTAGCAACCAAAATAAAAAATCGAATTAAACGTCGGTTGCCCGTGGCTGAGGCATTGAGTTCCTTGTGCCTGTGTCTGATACGCGCTAGGGCTGAGCAAAAGGATTCAAATTCTATCAACATCCATCCGTCCTATGGCTAACCCACGAGGTAGGCACACATCACAGCTCGGCAGATTTTTGTCCTTACATATGCACCCATTCAGCTCAAGCACACCTGATTTTACTTTTGTGACAGGTAACGCGATCCATGGCAGCTGAGATGCTAAACTAACTACTAACAAAAGATGCTTGCCACTGGCTGCCCAAGTCCTGCACAAGAGCATCATGAAATCTCGCCAAAATTTCAGCGCACACAACCTCCAGGCAAAAGAGTGCGGGGGGCCCCAACACCAACCCGAACCACATGTGAGACCAAGAAATTAATCATATTATTTATCACATTACTCTCGCCTTCCTTTTTATTTTACTTTTTCTTAGCCAAAACTTGTCCCTCACGTTTTTCTTCTTTTGTTCAGGCCGCCAGGCATAGCGGGCGAAGATACCGACGATACGACGCCAACTCGCCCGCGCAGCGTTATTCATTCCTACTTGGTGGTGTATTCTGCGAGCGCATTACCAACAACGCCGAGCCAGAATCATAAACTTGCACAAAGCATGACGTTCTGCCTGACCCGAGTGTCTTGCCGAGCAGCGAATCATTGCCGAGAGATTAAGACGCCTAGCAAAAAGCAACGACGGCTCTCCCCGCCAGAAAAAAGAAAAGAAAGCATGTCTTAGGCAGGGGTTCAAAAGGCGTCTAAGAGACGTATTACGAGGACGGACCATCTTGCCCCGAGATGAGGGAGCCCAAGGACCTGGACATGAGCTGCCCCTAGCTTGCAGGCAATATCAGAGATCATCATGGACTGTCGTCAATCTCAACGCAAACGGCACCAGCTCCCAGTTATTCGGGTCCCCCTTATTGCTGTTTCTATTATTACCAGATGCTCGACGAGGATGCCCAGGCCCGGAGTTGCAGGCTTCTGATCTGTCTCCGGCGCTTTGGGATGGCCCTGCTAGTGCTGGCGACTAGCTAGGGTTGCAGTCTGCTTAGTAGTGGTAGTATCATGCTGACCCACGAGCTACCAGTAGGCCGACGGAGATCAGCGAGACAAGACCAGGACAATAACCAGGCTTTTGCTGGTTGCTCGGCCTAGCTGAGTCGTCTCAGCCCTCGCCCTCCCCTCCACCGATTGGCGTGGAGCTCTGACTTGAAGTGGGTGGGCAGCAAAAGAGGGCATCGCCGTAGGGCCGAGGCCATGCAGCGCTTCGATTGGCAAAAAAGTAAAAGCCCTATCGCGGCTCGCGGCTCGATCCCGATTCGACGATTTCGAGCCAGAAAACTTACGAGCGCGCAAAGAGTTCCTGCAAGACCAACGATAGTGCAAACCTTTTGTGCCGCTCCCAAGACATAAATGAGCACGCGTTGCTTCACGTGGGAGGTCATCGTATCATTTATGAACAATGAAAGCGGCAGACAAAGTTTTTCTCTTGTCCCCTCTTCCGTCGGACCGTCCACGAGCAGGGGTTGATTGGGCCCATTGTGGGTAATGCGTGAAACGGCAATCGTGGAGATCGAGTTGAATCCAAGGAATTTCCGGCTTCCTCGCCTTATTCATTCCAAGTCTTTCCATCGCCCAACTGCATAGCCTCGATAAAAATTGGGCCCAGTGCCGCCAAGTTCGATAGGTGTTTGCCAGTTGGCCATTGTATCTGCCGTACGGGGTGCCTCGTACTGGCCAGCAATCTACGCGTTGCACAGCACGTCACCTTACAGATACGAACATACATCTCTCGTCTGCACACCGTTTTGTTTTGTGACATCTCAAGGGCGTGGGCGATACGTCGAGATGATTCGTCCGCAGCTTCAGTCCGTGAGATGGTGGTGCTATCAGATGCTAGCAGATGCTATCCCAACTTACCCGATGCTACAGACCATCCACAGTGCAGATCAACGGCCGCTTCGTGATGCAAGTCTCACGCAAACTTTGCCTTCTTTCAGTTCTTACGAGATGCAAGGGATTGGTCCACTGCAGGCAGATAATCTGAAGCGCGACCGCGACCGCGACGGCTACGCGCAAAGTTTGACCAGTGACTGACGCGGCCGTTGTTTGTCATCAAGAGTCACAGAGTTCAATGGCCCTCAGGACAGCGGCATTTGCTGAATACGAAGAGCTGCACGGAGTACTCATGGCATGGGGCAACGTTCCTGCAGTAGCGCGTGATATGCAAAAACCTCTGTGCGTGCAGCTTGCATGATGCTAGGATGCAAGAGCCACTGCGGTTTGCTGGGCTGAGCCCCCAGAATCCTGACATGGCTTTCAATACAATCTGGATGCTGGGCTCGTAAGCAAAAGGCCTTTTCAGTCCCTTGCTGCCCGTTCGAAAAGTATTGAGAGCCCATGGGATATCGCAACGCCAGGCAGTTGGTCGTTTTCTCGCACAGAACAACGAGATATGCGGGATTACCACGACATACATGTGCGCGAGTTGTTATGTGGCCAACAAGAGTGGAGCATATACTCGACAGTCAAACTAACTCTTGATGTTTGTTTTTCTCAACTTTAATCAGAGTGTAAGCACCAGGAGAGCTGGTGAATGCTCAAAACACTACCGCAGATTACCGATTTGATTCAAACCCTCGATTTATGCCGTCGCGTGGCTTGGGCACGATCGAGCCCTGGTCACGATGATAAACGCTTTGGCCGCCGATTGACGAGACAAGAGGCTGCGCGGGTTTCAGTGCAAGCCGTCATGGCAAACCAGACACCCGAGATCCTGATGAAACACCCGCGATGGCTTTACGCCATCGCCATTTTGTACACAGAGGATAGAACAGGTTGACAAGGCATAGCTATCAGCATCGTCATCAGCTTGTCGTATTTTATTCCGTTTGTGGAATCTCGGTAGAGCATGGCAACTCAAGCGAGCATCTACAGCATCCTACACATGCGCATGGACAGCGGAGTACAAGTGCATTTGCCACCAAGCCGCAGGCCGCAGCTGTCAGGCACTTCCCGGAACACATACGCACAAGTACATGGCTATAGCTGCCTGGCGCTTCATCAGCTGGATGCGGCCCAGAGCGCGGCCATGAGCCATTGTCAGCAGAAACATGTCCTGCACGGGCCACGGTGAAAACAGAGCTCTGAGAGCCAAGCACGAAGGATCAAGGCCTTGCCGTGCTGCTGGAATCCTTAATGCGACTCTGCAATAATAATAGTAGGTCGTAGATGGTATCAAGCACATGGGGAGCTTGCAAGTACGATTCATGACCGGCGTCCTCAAGCCGGCCTCCCTGGCAATAAGACGTGCATCATATACCTGGTCTCTGTAAGCTCTTTTATTTCCTTTTCTGAATCTGGCTTTTGTGAAACACAGTAGACAATTACGTAGGTAAGAATTTCAGCTGAAGATGTCTACTAAACATAGCCAATCTAGGGAGTTAGTTTAGGTCAGACATGTCTAAGAAGGGCCGTGTTTCAACAAGATGGCTTTTTAATGCCCGACAGCAAAATGCTAACTACCTACCTAGTCAACCAATACTAGACAGATTAGAATACGTAGAGAGATTATACAGATGTCCTAGATCCTTAGCAGTGCAATTGTGAGAACGGTTTGCGTTTGTTGAATGTCTGTGACTAATCCAATCCATTCACACTGGCAACATCGCCAACAACCTCCATTTCACTGACGGACACGTATTCCCTATACGTCAGCCAAAGTGCTCATGCTCAACAACCAGAGGCATATTTCACTTTTGTTGGTGTCAATGACAACCAAATGCATATCCTCCCTGTCAATCTCGTCCACCCCAAACCTATTTCTTACAGGTTCATCAAAATGTTGAGCTTTCGGGGTGGCGTCTGGGAGTAGCCGGATAGCCTACTGACCAGCCCCGATCGGGCACCCAAGGGACCTACGGGCCGGCAGTTTCCCAATGTCCCGAGAATGAACCCAATGGCAAGTTTGTAGGTTCGGGTCATGGAAGCTGACAGCTGGATCGATTCGTCATGAGGCTTGCGGAGATGCAAAGTTCTCCCCCACTTTCAATCCGGGGGAGAGAGGCTTTGGCAGCGGCTATCCGGTTGCGTAAAGTTGCACGGGTTGCCGAAGGGGGATGGCCAACAAAAAAAAATGGTGCCTTTCACGGGTTGGGCATTGAGTTTATCGGATGTGGGAGGTTGAATAAAGAATGAGATAAGGTATATATAGCGTCGAGGTAGTGGTGATTTTGGTTTATTTGGATTGATGACACTTACAAAGCCAACAAACCATTGAAGTAACAAACCGTTTGACAACTGCAACAATGTCCATCATTCAGCCACAGGAATACCAGGCCGTTGACGACGTGCCGTATCAGCGAGGGTAAGCATATCCATCACCAACTCTGTCGTCCATCTTGTTTTCCCATGCTCCATCACATTCCAAGCATTGCAGTAGACTTCAATTACAGACAATCTTACAAACAACATACTACGTCACAAAGGCTAACAAACCGTCCTTTCAATAACTTAGCCGTCCTCTCCCAACCGTCACTCCCGTCTTCCAGAACAAGCTGCCCAACTCGCCCGGAAAGACGTCCATCGGCCTCCTCGTCGACTTCCCGCCCAACTCATCCACGCCTCCCCACACGCACGGCGGCGCGGCCATCTCCGTCTTCGTCATCAAGGGCACCGTGCTCAACAAGATGAACGATGGCCCGACTCGTGTGATCCCGGCGGGCGGCACGTGGTTCGAGGCCCCCGGCTGCCACCACCGGACCAGCGACAACTTTAGCACCACGGAGCCGGCGCAGATCCTGGCGACGATGGTGGTTGACACAAAGACCGTTGAGGAGGGAGGAATGGCGGCTCTTGTTGTGCTCGACCCGGAGTATGCTGATATCAGACTTGGTTGAATTGAGATACTGCAGTGAAGGGAACCGGAAGCTCGGGAAAAGTGGTTGGTGTTGCCAATATCGGAACTGGTCAAGTTAGTATGTGGCAATGGAGAGCAGGAGAGGCTCGGGTTTCTGTTAGTAAACGGGGCATCTCATCAGCAAGGCAAATGAATATGTAAAAAAATCAATAGCAACGAATCGTTTTGACAAACCAGAGTGTCCCCATGATGTCGGAGGACATTCAATTGAGTTACCGTCGTACCTCTCGGAGCATTGCTGTGCAGGTCCCCTATGGCGTCACTGCAGCAGAGGCCGGGCAAGTTGCGTGGCTACCCCCTGTAATTCCTAATTCCGTCCCCCGTAGGCCCCCGAGACTGGAAACGCCACAGCGGCTTCAGGCGTCTGCCAGCACCGCAGTTGGCTGCTGCCAGGCATTGCTCAGCGGTCTGATGACGCCCCAGGTCACTGGGTCGCTCTTCGAGGCGTAGAACATTGAAGTGGTACGAAACCTCGAACCACCGCCCGGCCATTTTGCGTTTTCGCCTCCAATGTTGATCAGCGGCACATCACGCTGGACTCAAACCTTGTGCTCCTGCATATGCCATTGACCGAACCAGCACTCTCTTAATACTGTACGCACGCCCCCTTTCGCCTCAAGCCATCGATTCACCATGGCAGCGTTCGCTTCCGGCCATTGCTTCAACAACTACAACTCTTGACTCATCCTCTGCCAACTCCAACTCCACCATTGTCCTACAACAAACACCTACATTTATTCTCCCGCGCGCCCTCCATCCATGCTCAGCTACGGCAAACTAAAGAAGCCACTTGCACACTTGGAAGACCTGACGATACTTTGCGTCGCAATCAGCCCTACCTAGCAAACTCTACGCTAGGCTACCTACAGTTTTTTTTCTATCACCAGCTTCCAGCTTGATAACCTTGGAAACACCAAACCAGAGCAAACAGACCAGACCAGACCTCTGTAACCCTTCAATCCGTCTTTGCGAAACGAAAACAACAAACAAATCCAGTATCACGCTCATCCGCATCACCGAATTGAATTGCATCTGCCAGCTATGGCGGCCAACGGTGACGTCTCATCCGTGCCCCGCTCCGAGTCCCCCACTGGATCGCCTCGATCCGCGTCCATTTCGTTGCATGCCGCTGCCGCTATGAATGCCGGCCTCCAACGAGAACCTTCACGCAGTAAGTCGGAATCAGCCGATCTGCCTCTCCCGGCTAAAAAGCTTGTCCATCGACTGCGCTTTTTCGCTCTTGCTTCCACCACTCAAACCACCCTGTCCTCACCACTCTAACTCGCCGTTTAGGATCGTCCAACAGCTCTCTAGCTCGCAGCCTCGCATCCCCGCCCAGCCGGCGACGATCAACCATCCTGATGAACCTCCAGCTAAACGACCCTGCGGTGCCAGCGCCGGGCGAGTTCCAAGAACACATGAGGGCGAGCCCGCAGCCTTATAGCGGCGGCATCCCGCCAGAGTCGAGCCGACATATCAGGACACCGAGTCTGGGTGAGCTCCATCAGGAGCTCGAGGCAGAGCAGGAGGGCCATGTCGTAAGCAACCGCCATATCTCTACTAAATACTACTGGTGGAAAGAGCAAATACTGACGAAGCTGAAATTTGCAGAATCGCCTTTTGAACATGATTCGACAACAGCAGCTAGAGCTTCAGCGTCTTCAAGCAAGCCATCCGCATGCAGCTGGCGGAGACGAGAGTGCGACCGCCAGTGTTGCTGGCTCCGAGAGGCCACACCGATCGCTGCCTGTCCCCATCTCGACCCAGTCCCCAACCGGAAACCATGTACCATCAGTTTCTGGCTCGTCATTTTCTCGATCGCCCATCTTTCCTCACCACCGGAACTCCATGGAGATGGCTCGCGCCGACATGCAGCGCCGGTCCAGGACGCCAAGCCGAAACGCCTCACCTCGACTGCGGGCGACTTCCATCAGTGCCGAGAGCGGGGACTGGTCTCTGTTCCGCGACGAAAGTGCCTTTTACCAGGCCGAAACACAAATGCTGACCCGCGAGAACCAGATGCTTCGGCATCGCATTCGGGAACTAGGTAGGTTGCCTGCTTCTTTCTTCCATTGCTGCCTAAATACACCCCGGAAGGACAAGTAAGGGAAATGAAATACATACGCAGATGCTGACACCCATGCATAGAAAAGCAAGTCTCTGAGATGACTAGCTCTCCCGTACCAAACGAGCCGCCGGTGTCCTCAAATCTTACTCGATCGTCGACCTCGGCCGAGGAGAGCGAAACTGTGTCCAGGGCAGCGTAAGCGCACCCTGTGTGTCAATTTACCGCTATGCGGCGACGGTTACGATTGCCAGCCATGTGGAAATTGTCAAGTTGCTTTGAAAATTGGAGGCCGATTGTAAAAGTATTGGGCCGCATGCTTTGATTCATTATGCGAGGTTCACAACATGGTAGCAGGTTGCTTTTGGCTGGCGTCTAGGCGATGGTTGAAAATCCCAATCGGGTCATAATATCAATGGTCTTTTCCCCTTTTGCTAGATGGATTTTTCCCCCCTTCTCGTAAGTAGTGAGTGATATCGAGGGACTGAGATGACCATTGCTAAGTTGCAACACGGATCATCTAGCCACGCTCCGCGTCACGGGGAAGGCCATGGAATTAGTCTGAGAACTAAGAATCAATCACAATCATCAAGAGAATTACCAATAAAAACATGTTGAAATAACAGGCATATCCGGCTATTCAGTTGATTTCTATCTTATTAGCATTTCGTAGGACATGATGGCCTTCTGTTCTGCCAGTCTGGGGTCCATGTGGGGCTCCAGCTTTCTCATGAAGCTTCTCTAAAAGCTACCCACCTCATATAGCCGACTTACTTACCCTGAATCAAAAACCACATCAAAACCCGTTCTTGTTCATCTGCATTCTTTCTTGCTCATATGCAGTTTCAAAAACGATAGGGAAGATGCTGGCAAGCAGGGCAGCAAGATTGATTCGGCTGTCCAGCCAGACTCGGCATGTGCAGGCCTCAAATTTCAGTTCTACAGCGAGTGTCCAAGCTGATTTCACTCATGCGGCAAGTTGTCTCATACAACCCATTCACTAGATATCAAAATCCTACACCATCTCATCTCAACGACACACACACAAGACTTGGTCAAACTCAACCGCTAACATGATCCAATACAGGTAATCGGCGGTGGTGTCGTCGGCCTCGCCATTGCCCGCCAGCTCTCCCTCCAGCCCGGCACCTCCACCGTACTCATAGAGCGTCACTCCGCCGTCGGCACGGAGACCAGCTCGCGCAACAGCGAGGTCATCCACGCCGGCATCTACTACGGCAAGGACACCCTCAAGGCGAAGCTCTGCCTCCGCGGAAAGTACCTGCTGTACGAGCTCTGCGACAAGCACGGCGTCGCCTATAGCAGGACGGGCAAGTGGCTCGTTGCCCAGAACCACGCGCAGAGAGAGGCCCTGGAGAGGATCCACGCTCTTTGCACAGACGAGATTGGCGTTCCGGTGAGATGGGTGTCTGACAAGGAAGTCCGTGAGCGTGGCGAGGGCGTCCTGGCCAAGGCTGGTGCTCTGGAGAGCCCGACGACGGGCATCGTCGACTCCCACGGCCTGATGCTCTGCTTACAAGGTCTCTTCGAGGACGCTGGAGGCATAGTTGCCTTGAGTTCACCCGTCGTGGGCATCCGGCCGCTCTCCCAGGGAGGATCCTCGCCCCCAGGCAGCGCAGGCTGGGAAATCGACGTCTCGGACGGGCCCGGCGGCGACGTGTCCACCATGACGGCCGAGACACTCATCAACGCCGCCGGCCTCGGCTCCGTCGCCGTCCACAACATGATTGTGCCCCCCTCGCAGCGCAAGCAGCTCTTCTACGCAAAGGGCAACTACTTCTCCTACTCGGCCTCGCGCCCCAAAATCTCCCGCCTGATATACCCGGCCCCCGAGCCCGGCGCCAGCGGACTCGGCACGCATCTCACCATCGACCTGGCCGGACGGATCCGCTTCGGCCCGGACGTCGAGTGGGTGGACGACCCGAACGACCTCACTGCCAACGCCTCACGGCTGCAGCAGGCCGTCGCCGAAATCCAAAAGTATCTCCCGGAAGTAGATGCCAGCGCCCTGGTGGCCGACTACGCAGGTATGCGGCCCAAGCTGGCCTCAAAGGGCGCGGCGTCGGCAACGGACAAGGGTTTCGAGGACTTCATCGTCAGAAAGGAACAAGGCTACGAAGGCTGGGTTAATCTTCTAGGCATCGAAAGCCCTGGGTTGACAAGCAGCCTTGCCATAGCAGAAATGGTACATAGGCTTCTACATGGCCAAGCGAGCACATAGAAATATCACTTACATCTCAAGCCAATGAATTCTTTCACCACGATGCCATTACTTCATTTTAAATAGAAAAAAAAAGAAGAGAAAACCATGCAATTTCCATATTTAGACCGGATATCATACACAAGCAAAAAAAGCGAATCCTGCAACAAGTTTGCAGCGACAGGTGGACTGGACCCATCCAGATTTTGGCCAAAAGGGCATCAGAAAGCAAAACGGCGCGTTAGAAAACAGAAAAAGAGAAAAGCATACTCCCACCCCTGTGCAGATCAATTATTCCATGCCAAAGAGGTTGAAAAAAGAAACAAGAGGAAGAGGAAAAAGAACCATGTAAGAAGCAAATAAAATAAAAGACAATGTCAATGCCCAAACACCCAGCTCGATTCCGTTTCGTAAACCATTCATCCCAGAGACCATTAAAAAAGAGTGAAGTAAAATGGAGGAGGAAAGAAATGAGAAGGAAGAAGAAGAAAAAGAAGATAGCGAGGCAAGTTTCATAAAAAAAAGGAGCAAAGCATACAGAGGCGCAAAGAGGGTCCTGATAACTTTTCCCTGGATTGTCCAAATTGGGCAACATTGTCGCGCCTAGACACTGAAAACCTCAAGTTCCAACGCCAACCAATCCTTGTTATACTTGCAAAATGCATTAATCTGTGACGATATGGAACCCTTTTGCGATGGGGCCTCTCTCCCATTCCCTTCCTTGGTAGAGAGTGCTGCTTCAGCGCAGCGTTATACTGTTGCAATACTGTCGGGCAGAGAGGTCAACACGTAGCTGGTAGATGCCATTCTGAGCACCAATGAAGCTAAATAGAGCATTTGGCGTTAGTATCTGTTTTCATAGTATAGTCATGTAGGGAGAGCTAAATAAGCCATTGATCGAGACTTACAGTACGGTGCCGTCCTGGCTCCAAGACAGCCCCGATGTGTTGTCCGGTGAGGGAGGAACCTCAAAGACACCGTGGTCTGGTGCCAGCGTCCCTCGTACGGCGCTCTCCTCCCAGCGACTGGCCGCCTGAGGTGGAACTGGGCGCTCTTCAGAAGTGCTGGCGTCTGCCGAGGGCCGTTCCCGAGCCTGGAGAATCTCCAGAACGGAAAGATACGACGAGTCTTGCCTGTCTCGTTGGTCCCGCAGGGCAGCCATGGTCTCGTTGATGCGGTCGATCCACCGCTGCTCAGCTCGACCGCCACCGCCTTGGCTAGTTTCACGCATCAGCTGGCGGGCATTTCGTACGCGCTCTTGGGCCCGTTCCCGATGGTCTCTGTAGAGATTGAGCAGGTCGTTGGGAGTCTGAACCGTGCCTTGGCGGGCCCGGGTGGTGAAGGAAGATGTTGCCGTGGGTGTGGCTCCGGTTCCTCCTATCCAGCCCGTCGCAGCCGCGGACCCTCGCTCGTCGCCGGGTTGAGCGTTTGGCCTCTCTCGGCGCCGACGTTCGCTCTGGATGGCTTCAAGAACTCTAGTCTCGGCTGGCGTCAGTGGCTGGTGCAGCATCTGGGCACTGAAGAAATTGGCTGCTGAAATAGGAGGGTTCAAAGGCTCTCCCCTCGTCATGCGTGTTTCCAGCAATCGGGGATCAATGGTCTGGGTGTCAAATATGTTGATGTGCTCATACTCAGACTCTTTGTTGAGATCAATAATCTGCCGAACCATGAAGTTGTGTCTTACGTCGGCGATGCCAACGCGGCCACGATCTTCAGTCCATGCCAAAAGGTCATACGGTCCTGGGCAGAAAGCCATGTCTCGAATGGCTCCTGGTCCGCTGTTGGGCCGCGAAGACTGGAACGTCGTGATGAGGGGATCAACCGTCTCGTCGGTCAACTGCGTCGCGTTGAATATCGAAATGGTACCGTGCTGAGTCCCAATGGCAAGGTAACCGCCAGACGTAGAAAAGGATGCCGCGAAACTCCCGCGACTATCCGTCTTGTCATCCTTTTTCTGGCTTTTGAGAAGAATCCTCTGCTTGAGTTCCCACTTGCCCGGGAAGGCTCCAACTCGCTGGTGGACATATAGATACGGGTCATCCAAGATGGCGACCAGGAGTCGCCCATCAGGTGAAATGATGGCCCTGTTGACGAAATCGGGGTAGCGGACAACGTCCAGGGGTTCGGTTAACTCTTTTTGCTCAAAGTCAACCAGGCTGACAAGCGTCACGGTCCGATCATTGTTGGCGAGGACTGCCACAGGTTCCGTGTAGGCACGGCCGTCAATGGGCAAACCTTGCCCGCTGGGAGGAGGAAACCACAGGGTGATGCAATTGACTCGCTCCTTAGCAAGCTTCATGCTCTTTGCTGTCACCTTGGCTGACTGTTGAGCAGCGGCTGTAAGCATATTGAGCGCAGCTTCCTCGGGCGAGGTCGTGGAGCTCTCATTGCCTAGAGAAGGGCCGGCATCAGAATCTGAGCTAGCAGCTGTGTCCTGAGGGTTCTCGATGGCACGACCTCCTTCTCCCTCGAGTCTTATAGCCACAAACTCGCCCGTCTCGCTTCCGCAGCACAGCCATCCATTTTCGGCGACCAGACACCGCGGCGCAAATGTGAGGTGCTTGATCGTTTCGCAGCTGCGAGCTAGGGTGTTGAGCCGCTGGATCTGGCGGCTTCCAACTCCACCGGGATAGAAGAGGTTGTGTTTGTTTTCGGCACTTATGAGGGACCGCAGCTGCCAATGTCTAGATAGCGATGAAACATCTTGATTAGCAAATGTAGATGGATAATTGCAGAAAGCTGGATAGGTTTAGCCATGTGTTGACATACTGTGAGCGAACAGGGACCCGGAAGTGCGTTCGTTGGATCCTGGAGATGAGGCGATCGGAAGTATAGTATCTGCATAACCATCCAACATCGATATGATTAGCAACAGCACAGCAACGAAGCTTCAGCAGCCCAACAGGGGGAATCGCTCACGAGGCATCGTCCTTGCGAGCCATAGTAGCGTCGTCGGCCGGTAGTTCGTCGCTGCAATGAGTTGGGGCTCAATGGCCAAGGGGGTCAGCTGCGTTGCAGCACCCAAAGGGGGCAGCCAGGCACAGGCACAGGCTGGAAGCACGTTCGAGTGGTGATAGATGGGGTGATGTGGTTGTGTGCCTCGAGAAGCGCCGGAAAGCCGAGTCAATGCTTCAAGCAAAGGGAGTGTCCGGTATTAGAAGTGCGAGGATGCTGGAGCGAGATGCGAGTTGAAATGGGCGGAAGAGGAGAGGAGGGAGATGGCGTGAGGAGAAGGTCGTGATGGGATTGGGTTCTGAGGAAGAAGCAAAACAACGGGCTGAGATGGAGGTGGCTTATTCCCAGCACAGTCTGGACGTGCGACTCGACCCGTGGAGTTGCACTTACAGCGGAGTACAGGGTACTTTCAGGCTGCATCGGCGCCTTATCGCCCCCAGCAAGCCCGCTGGAACGGCGCACAGGTACCCTGTACCTGAATCATAGGCCGAGCCACAGCGCTATGGCGGCTCCCCGGATAAGACACAATGGGTGAGAGTGGAGTGGGTAGATGACGTCTGTCGGTTCGATGATTCAATGACATGAAGCTTTTCTGATCTGATGAGAAACAGAGTTGCCCTACTAAGCATTTAAACATATTCATACGCACGCCGTAATCGATACGAGCTAGTTACGAATACTCACTGAATGCTTTGATTTTGCCGGAGGATTTGAATTTGCGGTCTGAGGCTGCAAGGTGAGGGTGTGTGCAACAGGCCATGGATGGGTGCAGTGCATATACTTGATGCAAGTAAACTTGGGGGCATCTATTGGTTTTTGAGTACCCGATCACCACCCAGAACTCCAAATTGTAGTCTATTGCATTGATTAATGGAACGCTTCAACGCTCTGCATGCATAGACTGGATTCTGGACCTGTCGAGGACCCCTGCAAAGTATCCAATACCTCAGTTGCTCAGGTAGCAGAGCGTCAAGCATGCATCGTAGGGAAATTACAGGTCATTATCAAGCAAGTCAGTTGGTAGTACCAAGGACGTTCCACTGCCCAGCAGGCAATAAAACGTGCATCAATAGAGCGTGGCAAGCATCCATCCTGTTTCACGCCACCGGGTGCCATAGTGTTTGCTAATATTCCGGAGATGGATAGGTGCTACTAGGTAGGTAACACCACCAAAAGCAAGGGGGAGGTGGAAAAAGGAAACAAACATTGAGAAAAGAATAGGAGTAAGAAGGGAAAAAGGTCAATATTGATTGGTAAGGTCGTCGGACACGGCAGCTAGCGGGGTTTGCATTTGATGACAGTTGAGGAGTGTTTTCTCTTCCAATCCAAACCCATTTTGGTGGTTTGGGGCGCTGCTTTGGCTGAACCTTTTATGCAGCCAAATATTGACACCAAGTCTATGCCGGAGCCTTGTCACCACCATGATTGAAGCTGTCCAAGCCTGTTTGAATCGAATCTGGATACCTTGCCTTCTTCAAGCCAGGGATTACTAGAGTCACAAGACGTTATAGAAGAATGTCGGCGTGTAGATGAAACTCCCGCTTTGAGCCGATCGTAGCCTGAGCCATGGCCAGCACTTACCGATGCTGCTCAGCTTCTCTCGTCCTCCCGCGGTCCGTGATGGCTTTGTAGCCTCCGCTAACACGATTCAGTCCCCACCAGATTCTTGCAGTGATCCATCCAATTCTCTTTCTGCTAGCAAGCATTCAATATTCTTCTCCGCATGTGCCGCCAGTGAGTGAAAGCATCCCGGACTAACACTTGTTCCGCCAGTGCCGGTGCGGCGGGTGGGACCGGGATTGCGGGACTGCCTGTTGCCTCTTTCTCTCGGCTTCTATGGCCGACGGTCGCAGCACAGAGCGGTTTTTCCAAGGCTAGAAGAAAAAAAAAATTCGCTTCTCTCCACCATTTCCCTCTCCAGCTGTCCATCCAGTCTTCTCCATATCTAGACACCTCTTCCCAGATCGCGTGTCTCTTTTCCCTCTTTTCCTCTTCTTCCCTGTTTATCCATTGTATACCCTCAATTCCATTCGACATGTTGGCTGCGCGATTCTCCAGAGCTGTAAGTGACCCAATGCCGAGGAATCTGCGTCGTCATGAATGCATGCTAACGTGCCTCCGAATAGCTTCCCCGAGCTACTCCCATTGCCGCTCGCTCGGCTGCCTTTGCCAGAACTCCTCTCGTCTCAAAGTTTGCTCGCTATGAGTCAACAGCTGCTGAGGGCGATGGCAAAGTCCAGGGTGCTGTCATTGGTATCGACCTGGGAACCACCAACTCCGCCGTCGCCATCATGGAGGGCAAGACACCCCGCATCATTGAAAACTCAGAAGGTTAGTAGCTACTCCCACTGCCTCCTCGCAGCCATCGTCCAATTTTGCTTACAAGATTCCGTCCAGGTGCCCGTACCACCCCCTCAGTAGTTGCCTTTGCCGAGGATGGCGAGCGACTGGTTGGTGTTGCTGCCAAGCGACAGGCCGTGGTCAACCCAGAGAACACCCTCTTCGCCACCAAGCGATTGATCGGTCGCAAGTTCAGCGACGCTGAGGTCCAGCGTGACATCAAGGAGGTCCCCTACAAGATCGTCCAGCACTCCAACGGCGATGCCTGGGTCTCTGCTCGTGACCAGAAGTACTCTCCCTCCCAGATTGGTGGCTTCGTCCTCAACAAGATGAAGGAGACCGCCGAGGCCTACCTGTCTAAACCCGTCAAGAACGCCGTCGTTACCGTTCCCGCTTACTTCAACGATGCTCAGCGTCAGAGCACCAAGGACGCCGGTCAGATTGCCGGTCTCAACGTCCTCCGTGTCGTCAACGAGCCCACCGCTGCCGCCCTGGCCTATGGTCTTGAGAAGGAGGCCGACCGCGTTGTCGCCGTCTACGATCTTGGTGGTGGTACTTTCGATATCTCCATCCTGGAGATCCAGAACGGTGTCTTCGAGGTCAAGTCCACCAACGGTGACACCCACCTTGGTGGTGAGGATTTCGATATCCACCTGGTCCGCCACATGGTTGGCGAATTCAAGAAGACCTCTGGTCTCGATCTTTCTGGCGATCGCATGGCTATCCAGCGTATCCGTGAGGCTGCTGAGAAGGCCAAGATTGAGCTTTCTTCCTCTCTCCAGACCGACATCAACCTGCCCTTCATCACTGCCGATGCTTCCGGCCCCAAGCACATCAACCTGAAGCTCACTCGCTCTCAGCTCGAGAAGATGGTTGAGCCTCTCATCAACCGAACCATCGAGCCCGTCCGCAAGGCCCTCAAGGATGCTGGTCTCCAGGCCAAGGACATCCAGGAGGTCATCCTGGTCGGTGGTATGACCCGTATGCCCAAGGTTGCCGAGTCCGTCAAGTCCATCTTCGGACGCGACCCCGCCAAGTCCGTCAACCCTGACGAGGCTGTCGCCATGGGTGCTGCTATCCAGGGTGCTGTTCTCTCTGGTGAGGTCAAGGATCTCCTTCTCCTCGACGTCACCCCCCTGTCTCTCGGTATCGAGACCCTGGGCGGTGTCTTCACCCGTCTGATCAACCGAAACACCACTATCCCCACCAAGAAGTCCCAGGTCTTCTCCACCGCCGCCGACTCCCAGACTGCTGTCGAGATCAAGGTCTTCCAGGGTGAGCGTGAGCTCGTCCGTGACAACAAGCTGCTCGGAAACTTCCAGCTTGTTGGCATCCCTCCTGCTCGCCGTGGTGTCCCTCAGATCGAGGTCACCTTCGACATTGACGCCGATTCCATCGTCCACGTCCACGCCAAGGACAAGTCCACCAACATGGACCAGTCCATCACCATTGCTTCTGGATCTGGTCTCTCTGACAACGAGATCCAGCAGATGGTTGAGGACTCCGAGAAGTACGCCGAGTCTGACAAGGAGCGCAAGTCTGCCATCGAGTCCAGCAACCGCGCCGACAGCGTCCTGAACGACACTGAGCGTGCCCTCGACGAGTACGCCGACAAGCTCGACAAGGCTGAGGCCGACGGTCTCCGTGAGAAGATTGCCTCTCTCCGCGAGTACGTCTCCAAGATCCAGTCTGGCGACAGCACTGCCACCGCCGCCGAGATCAAGGAGAAGACCGATGAGCTCCAGGTCGCTTCCCTGAACCTCTTCGACAAGATGCACAAGGCCCGCAGCGAGAACGCCGAGCAGTCCTCCTCCAGCGAGCAGTCTACCGAGGGCGAGAAGAAGGATGAGAACAAGCCTTAAGGTGGCCTTGTGGAGAGAAAGCGAAGAGCAAAGCGAACAAAAATTCCATTGAAAAAAAATCTCAAAATACCACTTGTATCAAAACCACATTTACTGTTCGATTATTCCAAAGAAGCGTGGGGCGTGGCATAGATCCCTCTTCTTTCTGTATTTATGATGTACTCATATCCCGCCTAAGCTGCTACCTATGCAATTGCCTATTTTTTACCAATGTCGTTAATACCTATGGCTGGCGGAACAGGCGTTGGAGCATCAAAAAATTTCTCTAGGGAGATGTTTTTTTCTCCCTTGATACTATTTTCTTTTTCTTGGTTTATGAATGATTGATTGGACGGTCGCAAAGGGATCAAAATGCGCCTTGGAGGTATGGACAAAGGGACAAACGAAAAAAAAAGAGAAAAGAGACCTTTGGTAGTTAGATGATAATGATTTTCTCCCCTCTTTAAATTTTCATTTGAAAATCTCCAAAACCTTGAATCCTTGCCATAATTGTGATTCTATAGCCATGTCTGTGGATTCTGTGGCATAAGTGATGTTGTTACTGTGTAATGCTTCTACTCTAAGCCATCCACCCCCAGGATGTATTCAACATGTTGATCCCATGCCAATGGATTGAATCTTTATATACATTATAATGTCGTCGTGAAGCCATTTCAACACCATTCGTTGGTGGATTGCTATTTCTCTCTGCTGGAAGTAAAGGCTGCTGCAGATCGTCGGTGCGGCTCTCGTCGCGGATGTTGAATGCTCTCTGAATATCTTCACCGGACCTCACAACAAGATTCTTCGGAATGAACGGTTGATTTAGGGCCATCTCTTGCGCTGGTACGGAGGCATCGTCTCGGTGTTGGAGGTGCTTATGATGGTTGGCGGTGTAGAAGATGAAGAGTGCGAGGCAGACAATGGTTGACACGCAGAGGAAGATGGCTAGAGCTGGAGGCATTACATCTGCGTTATGGATGGGTTTGAGTGATGGAGGATGATCAAATGGCGATCGGTAGCCTGGAGCCATGAGTAGTGTCGGTTGAGAAGATGAGATGAGGAGAAAAGAGGCATGTATGAGATCACGATTGGATTTAATTAAAGCTACTATTTCTTAAGAGGAGAATACGATAAAATGGCCATCACGACTGGGAAGGGATTTTCACCTTCCGCGTGCTTCTCGTGTTTGCTGTGGGTGCAAAAGGGTTGATTGCCTCATTCTCCCTGAATTACGAGTTTCATTCCAGAGGCGGACCTGTGCTCTCGTCAACGTGACTACCCGCGTCGTACATCACCAATTCGCAGGGGCAAACCATTTGTGAGACAGTACTCCCTCAGCCATGATATTTGTATTGCCAGCTAAACAAATGGTCACCAGACTGCATGTCACCAAGAGTCAACAGGAGAGAGGTGCTGTCATAAGAAGGAGCCGGGAATCATTAAAAAGAGTATTTTGTTGTTTTAGATTTTAGTGCAAGATACAACACGTGTGCACCGGTATCATCACCGCCCAAAGCCAAACCAGCCTCTCTTGGTCGGCTGAGCAGGCTCCTCGGGTTCCTGGGCGCCTTCGACGGCTTGCCCGCCCACGGCCACCTGGGGCTCTTTTCCTGGATAGTGGATGTAGTTCCATGCAACGTCGAGGAAGATGGGCTTGATCGGGACCACCTCCTCTCTGGGAGGGAATTCTACTATGTGTTCGAGGTCGGCCCCACCGACGGGGTATTCATACAGCTTCTCGACAAGGGGAACGTTGCTTTCGTACTCATCGACCTTGGTTGTCTTCTTCCGCAGGTTGTCGACGTGGACAATGGCGCGGTGGCGCTGCAGCTCGCCGTCAATCACCTGTTCCAGGAACTTGACGGAAGCAGGGGAAATGTCAAGGCTCAAAGGAGCTTCGTCGGAAATGGGCTGTGCATTTGGAAGCTTGGCCACAGCTTTCAGGCTGAAACCGAGACCGCTATTGATGAGGGCCAATGCATTTGCAGAGTTGCCGATAATGGCATGTGACCGGGCAACTGCAAGGTGCCTATAGGTTCTCGTTAGCTATTAAGCCCAAACCTTCATACCCCCTCTGTAAAATAATGGGCAGAGGGCAATAGAATGCGGTGCTTACTTGAGAGCGATGAAATAGTTTTCGTAAGCCTCAACGCGGGTGGCAAGTTCCTCGTCGGCAGCGACTCCGGGGAGCTCTCGGATAGACTCCAAGTTCTGAAGAATTCCATCGTACAGAGCAGCTTTTTCCTTGAGCTTGGCCAGTTTCTTTCCAGTTGGCAATTCCCTCTCTTTCTTTACCTCTGCAGACGCTGCGTCCTTCTTCTTACCCCTCCTTCGCAATTCATACTCTTCTGTGGCACCGTCATGGGGACCTGTAAGAACCCGGTTCCGGCCGATTCTCCAGCTAATCATCTCGTAGTTGACTGCTGTGCGGGTAATCTGTAGCCGTTGCATTCTAGGATCGCTTTGGCCAACGCCATCTCCTTTGAGTTCGTCGATGGCTTGCTTAGTGGCATCAACCGCATCTTGGGTAGATATCAAGATTTCATCATAAGCGGCAGCAACCTCGTGGAGCCCCTTGTCCTGGGACTTGGCAACTGTCTGCGAAAGCCTCTCTTTGGCCTCACCGACAATTGACCAGTATGTAGCTATTTGAGCGTCTTCAATCTGGACCTGGTGGGATCGCCAAGTCAGCGTCTGGGGAACAGTTTCGCTACCCGCAATGCCGTCCTTGGACTCTGGGTTTGCTTCGGCCAGAAGAGTGGCATCAATTCGGTTGATTTCTTGAACTAGAGCGTCGTCTGATCGTGGGAAGGCATTCTTAGCCAGGGTGGCAACTGAGACCGTTCGGGGAGTCTTGAGCTGGTAGGCAGCAAACCGGATCGACGGCTCGACCGTCTCGGAGAGCAAGTCTTTGAAGATGTCGCTCTTGCTAGCGGTAGCCAATGCGTTGTAGATGATGTAGGTCGTAGCGTAACTCCGCAGACAAGGCTCCCAGCTTTGCTTTTCGAATTGCATAGCACCGCGGATGAGCGATGCATATGCCCGAGCCTCGAGGACATCGGTCGTGGTAGCGCCGGTGACGTCGGTCTGCGATAGGATGCTGACGAAGTGCTCAGCGCTTCGAGCGGCTTTCTCGAGCCGTGAGACAATGTGAGACCGGGCGCGACCAGCAACTCCCTTCTGATCGTTTGCATGCCCAGCCTTGATGCTCATTGCCTGAGCCCAGGCGCGTTCGCTGGTAAGGAGGAGTAGATGGACATGTCTGGGAGGAGGCGCAAGAGGTTCAAGTTAGCTCAATTGCTGCTTCTTTGGCGGCGGGACACGTTGACCCCATGGAGAAGGGAGACAGAGAGGGCGGATGATATCATACTCATTGTTTCCCTGGACGTCCTCGGCCGTCACTTGCTCCGGCTTGCGAAACTTGCCTCGATTCTTAGTCACGATGCCCAGCTTCTTGCGCGAGTTGAGCAGGCGCTTGGACAGCTGGCCATGATAGGTAGAGAAGTCGCCGTAGAGCAGAGCTTGGTCTCGGCCCCGGACGACGAAGCTGGTGATGTCCATTGTCACGTCACTGCCCTTGCTGGATTCAATGACAATGATGCTCAGTCTCCAATTTGTGCTCTGGCAGTGGCCAGGCTGTTCAGCGACCAGCTAGTGGTTCTTGAGCTGGGATTGGCGGGGATGGCGGGGCACCTTTTTTTTCTTTTTGACTAGAGGCACGAGATATTGCTGGCAAGGCTGGAGGGCTAAAATCCGGGTGGATGTTGGCTGACATAATATTTCGAGCAGTATAAGGTTTGGGCTTTAGTTTGGTGAGTTGTGGTATCTCTGCATCGAGAGTACTCGATGCACAGGCAGTTGCATCACACCTTCATCGGTATTGGTACAAGCAACATATCCAAAGCTGAATGAAGAAACCATCGCACCGAGGCGCCATCTTAACCCGATTAGCACAGATGAGTGCGCGATTTGAGGACCGTACTTGGGGCAACAGCATCCTTCATGCCCTTTCAGCGACTTCAAGATGGCCTGAATAGACGGACAATCAGTACATCTACTACATAGTAGAATCTTACTAAATAGTAAAATCTTACTACATAGTAGATGGATCTCATCAGGCAGCAAACAACTGCAATGAGACATGAACGGAGTAGACTGCACATCATTGCCGTTTATCATGTTTAGGTGGAGCAGGGAATGAAACAGCTCTGAGCTGCTGCCGCTAGGTCAGAATACGACTACGTGCTGCTAAGAATACTATAGCTCCTGGCGCTCAGTTGGTTGTGCTGTTCATGACATGTGCAATTTTCATAAGCTGCTAATAAGTGCACGACTCATTGGTGTACGTGGGCGAGGCACACGTGTGTGAGACATCTTCTAAGACATCAAATCCACTCGAGTCGATGCTGCGGGATTAGCCATCACTAGCACCTGTAGTAGTCGCCCGATAGATATCGGTGTCTCCCGTTGCACCAGAGGGTTCGATCGATCGCGCAGTAGCATTCTGTCTAGATCGAGCTCATTGAGAACAAAGTAAAGGGGCCTCATCTTGGCGGATGTATGGCAACCGAGACTCATCGATATCGGTCCAGAGCCACTACTCCAGCTGATGCATGTGACGACTCTGGCCACGACTGTCTCGCACGCTGATATCGATTCTACGTTGATAACCGTGAATCGTACTTGGTGTGAAGGACGAGTAGCTCAATATCAGCTCTCATTCGGAGTACTAGCGCTTCCTCCCCGTGTAAACACGGCTCAAGAGCTTCATCCTGCCGGGGTATCTGCAGTTCCATCGCCTTCAGCTCGGATGGTCCGAAGCTAGCAGCCTTGTGATGGCCCATGTTGCAGCGACCTCTGCTTGCTTTGATGCCGGTAGAAAGACGCGGTTGGCCTGAGTCACGGTTCTATTGGTCACGTCGTGTCTAGCAAGCTTTCTCTCTCACGCTCAATGCAACCAGAATCAGCTCATGATAACGCGTCACTGTCTCTGTTCCCCTCTCTTGCTCTCTCTCTCGTTCTTGGCTCTGGGCATACTACTAGTCCCAGCACCTTGCAGTTGTGGCTTATACAAAGCAAGGAAAGGGAATGTACACGTATCGCGTACAGTACTTACAAATCAGTACAAAGCACGGAGTATTAGGCCAGGTAGTCGGTCTGCGTGTCTTATCCCTCATGCTCACGAGCGATGGCAATTGGCAGCAGCATCGGTGGTGGGTGTGGCCGTCATTGTTTGGCGCCAAAGGCCGGTTGCGACTTCGTGTCAGCCATGCATATTATGCGGGCACCTGGGAGGATCTGGGTTGATTCGACGAGACGAAAAACGACGGCCAAAACTGACATGATACGACCCAATGCGCTTGGGTCGGCAATCGTCTGCTCGGGGATTTTGGAGCGCATTCAGGGATCACGGACAACAGCCAGCAGGGTGGTGGGTGACACCATGCATTTGGGTGCTGGGCTTCTTGGTCACGTGGCCCAATCTGTCCAGGGTTGGCCCCTCCAAAGGCCCCGGAGCCCCGGAGCTCCAGCGCTCCAGATAAACCCCCCAGGCCGTCTTTCAGGCCTCTCCAGGACTTCTGGCAGCGTTCTGGCGGGCTGTTGCGGATGGAGTCGGTGGCAGAGCAATGCGGGCGAGATGCGCCACATACTGAAACGGGGCCTTCGGACTGGGCCAGCGCTTGACGATCCCTGTCGATGCAAATGTTGTGCGTGCAGCTGACCTTCTTTTTGGCTCGTTGCAGTAGCCGCAAGCGGTTTTTGCGTGCATCTGGCGGTGGTGTGGCACCAGTCGGTACATCCAAGTGATAAATTGATCTAAAAGCTTGATTGAGGCGCGATGGATGGAATTGTTAGGAGAAGAATCCTTACATCGGCAGCAGCTGAGTGCCGGATACGAGTACTGTTACATGTATCAAAGGGTACTTACATTGCCGGGATGGAACGTTTCAAGGTTTGGAAAATCCAAAGAATGCATGTACCGCGATTGGTGACGAGGCTCAGCTGCAAGGGAGGCGGCTCCTCCGAAGAGTTGCGTGTAATACCGATGCCGAGAATTGATTGCCTTGTTTTTTGACAAACTTTTTTTTCCCTCCTCGTCTCTCCAATCACATGCATTTTCTTCACCTGGAACGAGTCGCAGCGAAGCATCAAGGATCAATGCTAGAACGATATCAACGATGGGTACAAGGAAATCAGCTGCCCATGTGACCAAATGCTGTCAGTAAAGGTTTGGAGAGATCCATCTCCAGCTTGTACCTCCGGATGCCCATCCATGTATCTCCCAGTACTGCAGAGCCACTTCTGGGCCATCTCGCGCCCCGCCGTCCCAGCTATCGTGCACCGCTCCAGCCACTCAGCATCCGCCAATACATGCCTAGCACCTGGTACCCGTACTTGTACATGTACTTCCCACTGCGCTTGGCCCGCTATCCCGCTATAATCTATCCCACTAATTCCCACTACCGCTGTGACCTGCCTGGCGACTGAACATGATTCTGTCAAGGTCTGCTGCATATGTAGAGACTCACACATCTCCAGTCTCCAATGACATTCGCCAGACCGGCCTCTTCTTCTTCCCGGCTGCCCTCCTACTATTAGTCCGCGACCTCTTCATCTTGTTCCTCCACCTTGGCTGTGTCTCTGCCGTTGTCTCAGGCCGCCTTAAAAAAAAGAAACAGAAAAAAAAAAAGCGCGTTGCTGCTCCGAGACAATACAAGACAACCTTATCTGCATCAGTGTCGACGAAACCTGGATTGCGGCCTCCTCACGGCCGCTTTTGCGCTTGCCAGCTGGAGCCTCGTGCTCTATACATCGATATCTTGGCATCTGAGCACAGCTGATTTTTCTCTCCTTTTTCCTTTTCTCTCTCCGGAATCTCACACTATCTCATGCTCTCCTCACCCTGATTTGCCTCCCGCCTTTTTCTCGCCCCATAAGGAAGGCAGTCTTTTCAGTCGCATATTCTCCCCCTTTCACCTTAACTTCTTCCTTACATAATTTCCTTCACGTCTACCTTGCTTTTCCAGTAGCTGTTTATCTGCGGGCTACGCCTTGGCGGTATTATCTTGACTGTTCCTCTCCTGGCGGCGTTCACATCGTGACCAAACCACGTATCTTTCCGTCTATAAAACGGCATTCACGCTTACGAAACCACGCAGAAAGAGAGAGAGAAAAGCACATGAATTAATATAACATAGCCTGTCCGCCCCCATCCGACATTACCCTTGCATGAGCCTGTGTGATGACGAGTTAAGCTTCGTCACACATGCGGTAAAACGCCTCCTCTCTCTCTTTCTCTCTCTTCCCGGCTCCCACCTTTGCTCTGAAGGCTTTCTTTGTGTAGCCCTGAGCGCCACCTAATATATTGCCGATGGATACGAACGGTAAGTTTTCCAACCTCTTTCTGTATCCTTTATTCTCTTCACCTTCCATCTGGAATCTCGAATCTGCAACTCTCCCTAGCGTACGATGATAAGCTTCGCTATCATGATTTAACGCTGCCATGGGAATGCTTGTTTAGACTTCCATCCGCCTTCTTGCTCGCCACATCCTTTGGCTTCAAGAAAAGAAACGTTGCTGAGCACTGCTGATTCGTTGTTAGGTGGGCCTTGGCAGCCTCCAAGTGCTGACCCGAATATCCCATGGACCTCAGCTACCCATTCTCTGCCAAAGCGACCATATCACGAATACAGTGATTCGAATATCCAAGATAATGGGCTGGGCCAGCCCATAATTACATGGCAGCAAATGCCCCAAGTAAGACAAGATACAGACACCACTTCTTTCACCGCACTGCTCAACAGCCCTCTTGACTCATCCGCCACGGGCTCGCCAATTACAGAACTGCCAGTGGCAGTGACGAGCCCGCCAGTTATTCAAACCGTGGGACAGAACGATACTCAGTTTCAAGGCTTGCAGCGCCAGAGAGTTGATAGAGATGTCGTTCCACACCGAGACGGCCCTTATCGCCAGTTGAAACCTCAATTGCAGCCTCGTATCGAACTTCTTGATGTTCTCCAACCTCCTCCTGTTGACATTGACAGCGACCCGCCGACCCCCAAACGTCGGCGACGTTCACCCTCATCATATCGGCCTACTCCCTTTATAAGGGAGGTCCAAGCTGACTGGAAGAAACAAGCCGAGCGTGCGGCTGCAGCAGAGGCGGCAGCGGCGGCTAATCCAGGGTCATCTACCGTTGACTTGACAGATGGTATGAGTGACTTCCCATCTCCTTGATTAACTTGTCGTGGTTCACTTTTGCTTACTGCCCGCGCAGTCAACGATGATGCTGCCCCGGAACAGCCCCTGGACCCCAAGGATGAAGAGGTTTGCTATGGTATGATTAAAACTCGCGCAAACTGCACTCGAGCTCCTTCGCCTAAGCCGGGCGTACAGAGCATGTGGGGTCCCAACTATCAACCTAGCATCAAGGTTATCCTCAGGAGGATGGCCGATGACAGCAACTCTCTTCGCGTTCCCGTTTGCGACCACACCAGACAAATCATCGGGATGGTCGACTATTCCGCTAGCAAGGCTTTGGCGCCTCTGCTGGACTTTAACATTCGCGTTAGGACCGACTGCCGTATCCCGCCGCAGCCTATGGGGCCCGGCGAAGTACCTGGCCAGGCTGTATCACGCTCCTATATCCTCGATATTGTCTTGTACGGGCCCTTGAAATACGCCAGGAATGTTGGGACCCTTCTGGAGCGGTCTGGCATTCCGCTTCAACAACCTTACATCGTCCAAAGAGGCATCAGACTCTGCAACCCTCACACCGCGGACTACTTGCGTTCCCTTAAAAAGTCGTCCTCCGGAGTATATGGAAATCGCCCTTCGGAGCCTTCTCGTGTTACAAGCTTCACCCCAAGAACCGTTGAGGAAGTCCGCTCAGAAGTCATGGGTGTGTTTGATTCTCTTACTAGGAGTGACGAACTACCCACCGAGGACCCCCCAGCATGCATCACAACTCCTCTACTTACTTATCAGAAACAGGGGCTCTACTTCATGATGGCGAGAGAGCAACCTCGCGAGCTGCAGCTAGATGAGACGGGCATGGTTTCTTTCTGGCAGACCAAGCTCGCCCCAACTGGGCAACCGATCTTTCACAATGTCATCACCGACGAGAGCCAGGCTACCGTCCCTACCGATACCCGCGGCGGTATACTGGCTGATATGATGGGTCTTGGAAAAACTCTCAGCATACTGTCGCTCATAGCAAGCACCATGGACGAAGCACAGGAATTTAAGCAGCTCGCGCCTGAGCAGCCTTCCGCCCCGGAAACCAGGCAGACAAGGACCGAAATGGACCCCATACAAGCGCCGCTGGGTTTGACACCCGTGTCCCGAAATACTAAATCGACCTTGATCATATGCCCTCTCAGTACAATTACTAATTGGGAGGAACAAATTAAGCAGCACGTAGCTCCTGGCAAGCTCTCTTATCACATCTACCACGGACCCAACCGGATCAAAGATTTGGCGCGGCTCGCCCAGTTCGACATTGTGATTACAACTTACGGATCTGTGTCCAATGAGCTCAGCTCTCGACGAAAAGCCAAGACGGGCAGCTTTCCCCTTGAAGAGCTTGGGTGGTTCCGCATCGTTCTGGATGAGGCACACATGATTCGCGAGCAAACGACAATGCAGTTCAAGGCCATAGTTCGTCTTCAAGCCCAACGACGATGGGCTGTAACGGGAACCCCTGTCCAAAACAGATTGGATGATTTCGCAGCCCTCTTGTCTTTCCTTCGTCTAGAGCCTTTCCACCATAGGGCGAAGTTCCTTCGGCACATCGTGGAGCCGTTCAAGGCCTGCGACCCGGACATTGTGCCAAAGCTGCGCATTCTTGTTGACACAATCACCCTTCGCCGACTCAAAGACAAGATTGACTTGCCCCCCCGTGAAGATCTCATTGTCAAGCTCGATTTCAGCACGGAGGAGCGCGGCATATACGATCTCTTTGCCCGGAATGCCCAAGACCGAGTCAGAGTCTTAGCCGGTAACCCTACCTCCGTGGCTCTTGGAGGAAACACCTACATCCACATCCTCAAAGCCATTCTCCGCCTCCGCCTACTCTGCGCACATGGCAAAGACTTGCTCAACGACGAGGACTTGGCAGCCCTGCGAGGCATGTCGGCGGAGATGGCAATCGATATCGACGATGACGACGAGAATGGAGGCGGCTCACTACTGTCTCATCAAAAAGCACACGAAATGTTTACCTTAATGCAAGATACGAACAATGATACGTGCATAGAATGCAACAAAAAGATCTCTTCCCAGGAACAAAACCCAATAGATGCCGAAAAGGAGGATGATACGCTAGGATACATGACCTCTTGCTTTCATGTAGTCTGTCGATCATGCATAAGAGTCTTCAAGCAACGAGCCAAAGCTGCTCTGCCGCCCGGCCAGGTTGCAGGCCCCTGTATTGTGTGCAATGCCCATGTACGATTTGGTTTCGTCAACATATGCCGCTCTGATGCAGACGGCGAACACGATGGCATTCTCAAATCAAAATCGAAACAAGCCGGAAAAGATCTCGACAATTATAGCGGCCCTCACACCAAGACCAAAGCCCTCCTTGAGGATCTTCTTAAATCCAAAGCCGCCAGCGACGCCAATCCTCAAGAACTACCCTTCAAATCTGTTGTATTTTCAGGGTGGACATCGCACTTGGACCTCATTGAGCTGGCGCTTAAGGAAGCCGATATTAAATTCACGAGATTGGATGGCAGCATGACACGACAGGCACGCACAGCAGCCATGGACAATTTCCGGGAAGATCGCAGCATTCACGTCATTCTTGTTTCAATCACGGCCGGTGGGTTGGGCCTCAACCTAACTGCCGGCAACAACGTGTACGTGATGGAACCGCAGTACAACCCGGCAGCCGAAGCTCAAGCAGTCGATCGTGTGCACCGGCTGGGACAGAAACGCCCTGTGCGTACGATTCGATACATTATGCGCAATAGTTTTGAAGAGAAGATGCTCGAATTGCAAGAAAAGAAAAAGAAACTAGCGAGTCTCAGCATGGATGGCCAAAATAAGGCGCTGGACAAGGCAGAGGCTGCGAGACAGAAACTCATGGATCTCCGCAGTCTTTTCAAATGATGACTGCTTGCTACAAAAGGCTGTAAAAGCAGCCCGCTCAACGAAGTTACGAATTTAATACTGGAATTTTTCTGCTTTCCCCTTTTCATTCTTATACTATTCTTATACACGAATCGTTGGGCATTTTCACTTTCATCTTCACTTTAGTTTCTGATTTTCATCTCATCATCGCCACCGAATTCAACCCCTAGGTGTTC